CCTGGTGGTTTTCAGTCATTTTCTAACTGATGTCAACTCGTGATAAAACTTGAAACTGTAAATTGCAAAATTAAAGGTGTCAAGGTAATTTTAAACAAAATTTCGATTGTGTGACTTGAAGTCAATTGGTGGATGGTGACTAGCTTTAGAATCAAGGATGCACATTTCGTCCTATTTAAGACTCGTCATCTACATGTACCTTCATTCTCTTGTGAGTGGTAGTGCTCCCACTGGGTTCCAAATAGGACGAAATGCGCATCCTCGATTCCACAAACAGTCACCATCCCTAAATGGCTTCAAGTTACATGATCAGACATCGTTGAAGCATTTGCACAAGAAGCCGACATGCTAACCTGAGGCCTATCACTTTGGTTCAATCAATCTACAGGAGAATCTAAAATTGAATTAAAATGTTGCTTAGCAGGAAAGTAACTCCAAAACATAATGAACAATCGCCATTGAATGGCGGAACATCTTCACACATTGTATTTTGCCAATCAGTAAAAAGTGAAAGTCAAAGTAGCTGTTGAATAGATAGGGAGCAAATGTATTCTGATTTAATATGGATAAAAGCGTCTGTTTACTGGGGTTTGTTTTTCGGAGATTTTCACGACTATATAAGTTGACCAGATGAAACAAATACTTTGATATTCAATAGGTAATGAACAAAAGTAAAATGAAAATCTAGTTTGCAGAGAGATTCTAAACCACCTCCTTCAAGGCTATTCAGTGTAGTTTCTCCGCCTATCTTATATTCATTGCACACAAATAACCATTAGTAATAAACTCTCAGAGATATACATAATTTATTTGTCATCTTTTTTTCATATAGATCTTTTGCCAAAGATTTGGAATAAATTACTGCCATTATTAATTAAGGTAAAGAATATGCATTATGGTATGTTACCATTACCAGTACAGAAGAAAGCCTCCTTCCCATTGACTAATCCAAGTAAATATAACCAATCCTTACAGATTCCTAGTCAAAAGATATGCAAAGAATCCAATCATTTAGAGGCAGCTCAATCATTCTCTGAAAATTATACAATTTATAATAATAAAAAGCAGAAGGATAACACACCGGTTCAGTTAAAGAAAAACAGTTTAAATGTGTCTTTTTCATCCACTGCTGATCAGTATAACACTGAAGAAACTAGTTCGCTGGCATTAGCACAAACTCCACAAATGTCGTCTCACAGTGAGTCTAATCCCCCGTCTAAAAATAAATTATCAAAACAACCTGAACTCATTTATGATATAAATAAAGCAGGTCCTAGTCTAAAGAAAATCAATTGTTCAGATGAATATCCATCATTACTGAAACTATCACCAACAGATGAAGAGTTACAATCATCGGTGAATCAGACAACTGATGATAGTCACCATTCCAAAGATAAGGAGGTGAAAATGAGTAGGATGAAGTTGAATCCTTCAATGAAAAGAAATAATGATATAATGTTTTTAAAACAAAGTAAATCATCTGCAAATTTAAGTGAAACATCTACTCAATCTATAGGTTATACAACAAATGAATATTCATCATTGAATATGGATCAACCATCGTGTACATCATGTACTCAAGAGATGTTAAAAGGAGGTACAGAGAAAATCAATAAATCAATAGACGTGAATTGTCGTGAAAAGTTGATTTCCATGTTCTTTTGGAATATTAAATTATCAGTCAGTTTTCATGGTCTTTGGTTTACTCTGGAGTCAGTAAACGCAAATGATAAGGATGCTGATGAATTCTGCATTCATCCAGAATGTAAAAATCGATGGAATCCAGATTTTTGTGATGATGAAACAGATTACATTGAATATACTGATAGCTGTTATTCTGTAGAAGAGATCAAGGATGAGAATAGAAGTACAAGTAAATTATTAGATAATGCTGTCAAAAACGAACAATCCCGAAAACCAACCTGTGCTGATAGGTTAGAATTACAAGGAACTGAAAGAATTTTCTGTCATCAAACAAAGCTTGGTGGTGTTATGGTTTATGGAAAAAATAATGATCTTGTATATCAGTCTGGACCACTGACAAAAAATTCTGGCTACACAAAGTAAGCTTTGTAGTTTTATTCCCATACATTATATATGTTTATAATTTGAATGGTCACTATGTAATAACCGATCAAAATACACATTACAGTCCTGCTGGAAGGGAATTGCTAGCCTGAATAACTCAGTGTCAACATTTCTCACTGTAGCACTGGGTGATGGAGGTCTGAATCTCAGAGGAGAAACGAGTTCCTTCTAGACTGCAGATACATCTTTCTGACGAGCTCCAGCAGTTATGAAACCTAAGGTGAGGGGTTTCTGAAGACCACTCACAACCATCAAACATATATAAAGTAATTGGCTTTGCACATTGATTGTAAATAATTTGGTATATGTAGCTTGTCTAATCATTCTAAATCTTTTTATATCATCCATAGTGTTTTTTACAATTTTTAAGCTGACAAAGGGGTTAATGGCACAGAGGTAAAGTGCTCGCCAACCACGCAGGTGGTCCAGGATTCGATCGCCAGCTGACGCACTCCTTTACCTCACTAAGCCAGTAATAAGACTGGTAAAGAGGGAAGGTTGGGCATGATACCAGCAACCCCATTCCGAAAAAATAAACACCAATTCTACTAAAACTTCAAGCCTTTAGCGTGAGTCTGAGTTCGTAACGAAATCTGTCGCTTTAAAGTATGAAACGCACATATTTATACCATTTAAAACATGAATCTATTCACGAAATTATAATCATTGCCAAGACAGAAGTCAGTTGGGAAGCATTTTTATCGGCTTGTTAATTTATGCATGGTAAATAATGAAATAGAAGTAGTGAAAGCAAATATAAAATGATTGCATATTTTATAACTAAAGACGATCTAATTAGGACCTATTTCACAGAGCAAAACCTATAAATTCGTCGTGGTAGTAACTGTTCCTCATACCAGGAGTAACTAAATTTCATGCTTTACTAAATTTGAAGAACAAAACAGTTTTTATTGCTTACAGGATTTCATCATGAGTTGATATTCGTTACAGAACCATTGGAAAACTTGTCAGTACTGGGCATCTGTTTACTCCTGGTTTAGGACTCTTCATCAGTACGCACCCACCACAGGAGGTTCGAACCCAGGACCTTCTGTTTACAAGCCGAGCTCGTATACCATTAAGCCACTGGGACCCGATCCAATGGCCCATGAGTTATAACTTCTGCCAATTCACGACATACTGCGACCTCTAGTCAATGTCTCCGGCGAGTATTTGTTCTCACACCTGACCTGCTGTACCCTACTGGTTACGACTTCTCAGTAGAACCCAAGGCAACTACCTACCTGAATAGGGCAAGTCGCTAGTGAGCATCTCACTGATATTCAAGTATTGGTTTGTAGGGATTTGACTGATTGGTTACAGGATTTCATCATGAGCTGAGACTGGTTGGAAAACCACTAGAAAACCTGGGATTACTTGCCGCTTTCTACCTTTGACTTAATATCAATTTTCTTTCATTCTGAGTGAAAAATAGGATTTCAGTCTTCAGGATTTGAGTTTTCAGCGGCTATGATTTTATCGATATTACAGAATGAAGCTGCTAGCCACATGTCCAAACCCGTTTAATTTTTCCGTACTTACTACGGTTTACTAAGCCAGGAGAAGTGTAGGAGTATATCCGTGAGGAATCGAATCTCGAACACCTACGTGGCTGGCAAAGATATTGTCATTGAGCGACCAGTGGTAAAATACAATACTGAACAATAAAGATAGTAATAATGGACTTTGTTATGCTTTATGTCAACGCATGCTCTCATTTAACTGGTTTATGGATGACCAGTTAAAACTGACAGTTTTCAGATATCATCTAATAGATTCCTTGAATAGTGTATGTCGTGAGCAATTTGTTTCGATCTGGTTGTGTTCTCTGAGCTGGATAGTTAATTTGCGAAGCTTTCATCGCCCTACTAGGTGACATTTTCAGCGCATACTTCAATTTGAAGTGAACCTTTATATTTCTCCACGAGTTTATTAATCATCTCTCCTGGGGACTTTGGACGTGATTGGTTGCTTTTGTGTGTTTTCACACCTTCTAGGTCACTTGTAATGGAACTGATTGTTTCCTTGACTTGAACTTTGACCCTTTGTGTGTGAGGTTTATTTCTTATCGATTGGTAAATATTTTCTATTTCTGTGTGTCTTCTAATCGGCTATTCACTTGAATACCAGGCTTCTAAAAATTCTCTAGCATTCTTAGCGTTTCCTCTATCTAATATTTGAACATTGTTCCAGTTGAATTGATGTTCATGGTTGTCTGTATGTAGTGATATGAGGGAGTGGATGTCATGTCTTTTGACGGCTAGCTTATGATCATGGATACGATGATGAAGCGGACATATACTCTGGCAAATTTAGCCTAGAGGGTGTGCAAACCCACAGAAACAACCAATCACATTCAAGGTCACCAGGAGAGATGACTAATAAACTCGTGGAGAAATCTAAAAGCTCACTCTGACAAATTGAAGTATGCGCTGAAGATGTTGCCTAGTAGGGCAGTAAAAGCTTCGAAAATAAACCATCCAGCTAGCTCATGGAACACAACTGCATCAAAATCATCCACCTGAGATACAAATTTTCTCCAGCAATTTGTTTCATTCATGCAGACTGTCGGTAAATCGTATGATGAATTTTTGAATGAAAACATGTATTTTCTAATGTTTTAATCATGTCTAAAGTTTATAGTAGATTAAAGTTCCCCTTAGTATAGTCAGAAAAAGATAATTTTATGTGAACAATTGTTTTCGACAACTTCTTCCTCAGGCTGTACAGTTATATCCCTATGAATGGTAGAATAGGCATAGCCAATGAAAGCAAATGAAAATTATATCAGAAACTTTATTGGAGTACATGTATAGGATGAAATGATAATTCGTTGGTTAATATTGTCATTTGAATTTATACAAAATGTATAGTCATTCAGAACATAAGACAAAATGTAAATAGACAACTGGATGACATACTAATCTATTTATAGTCAATCGAATGTAAGTTTCATCGGGGGTGGGGTGGGATGTAGTGAGCTATATTCACTAGTATGAGAGAAAAATGATTCTGCATCCAGTGATAACATACGTTTATCATTTATATTCAAATCTTTCATCTTTTAAATAAATCCGAAAGTATCTCAGAGAGAGAGTACTTATATAGTTGTTGCCTCACAGGATCTAGCATTTTAGACAGCGGTTTACCGGCCGGATCGTATGGTGACCCTGATATGTCTAAAATTTGTTGAAGTGACAGACCAGTTTTGTAAACCATATGATTATCACAAAATAAATACAAACAAATACCAACATATGGGGAATAATGAATTTAAGTTCAAGGGCTGACAGGCATCAAGAGCCGTGATAAAATATGGAGGTTAAACTGTGAACTGTGATAAAACACTCAAGACATGATAAGCTTAGTGTAAATTACAAAGGTTGACATATAACATGGATGATAATGGAGTGAAGTAAACTAGTTGAAGAGGAATAAAAAAGGCATACTATGACATGAAAATATGCGATCACTATGTCCCTAATGATCTCATAGTAGGCCAACATGATGAATGTTCTATTTTCTCACACAGGTCACTTTTCTTCTCAATAATCTCTACAGCTTCAGCTATAGCAAGGGGGTTTAGTCGTGTGCCTTTGGTCTAATTGTTTGATACTCCATATAAAACCGTAAACGACTTATTTATTTTGGTGTAGTGTTCACTTTCTAGTGGACAAGATAAAATGGCACTATTTATTGATCTCGTTGCTCTATTCCTAAGCCAAAGAGTAACGTGTTTATGAGTGCGTAAAGATAAATTCCTCTGAGTTCAACCTATATAGCTTGATTCGCATAAGCAGTTGATGTGACCATCTTTGATAATTTGTCATAAGTGCACTTTGTAAGTGTCGGTCTGGTTGAGAAACCGATGTATAGTACTGCAGCAATGAAAGTTCTTTCAATTGATCTTATCAATTATGACTTAGTATATCACTGCATACATCACCTTTGAACTGTTCCATTAAATAAAGAGTTTTCTTGTTCACCGTGTTACACTTAATTTTATCAGTTCTTTTGGAAATATACTTGTTTGCGAAATTGATGGAATAAACATTTTATGCTTTTAAGATTTTCAATTTCATCTTCAATACAATCTTGCGGAGCCTGAAGAAGAATTTACCGAAATCAATTTTTCGCTCAAAACCATTTTGTTCTAAAGTTTTCTTCAGAACGAAGATAAACCTTTAAGATAGACATAAATACTTATTAGGATACAGGTACTAGATTAGGAGAACCACACAAATATGTACAAGATTTGATACTGGATGTAGTCAAGTTTGAGTGGTATTCGTTATGAAACTTTTAAAAATGTAGCATACTAGAAGATTTCATCAAAATGACATAGAAATGCCTAATTTTATCCCTGTTTTTCTCATCTGGTAAACTTTTAGGCTGACCACGTTTTTGGATCCTGCAAATTACCATCAAAAACAAATTATCTGTACGAAGTAAGTTTGTTTTAATCAAAACGGTTGTAGACATAAGATAGACTGTTAGGTCACTAAAATATAATGAGGTGTGTTCAGATCCTCGCTCGCTTAGAATTCTAAGTGTTTAGGTGGTTTAGTAACATCCTGTAGGCTGTTAACTCGTCACAGGTTGTCAGAAAACTACTTTTCAAAGGGTGCCCTGATGACTATCAGCTTAGTACCTATATAATTTGAAAGGTACTTCTTCTGTGAACACTCCTATATATGCACTTTAATCATTTGATTTTGCGGACGTCATGAGTAATTTTATTTAGTCATTGTTATATATCCAAATAGATGTTTGCAATGGAGATAACTGCTAGCATGTTACCAAAAGCCTTACATTTAAGCAACTCAGCTAAGATTATATCTCATTTGAATACCCGCCCCCACCCACCCACCTTCTGAGTTTTAAATAATTACTCAGATTGTGGAATGACTTAATGCTAACATTTTTCACTTGTAAATTAAGAGATGCTCATTGACATAAACATATCAAATAGCGGAGAGACAGATTTGATGTTAAAGACTGGAAATAAACCATTGTCGCTGCAAAACATGGGAGATATAAGAAGAAGAAGAAGACAAAGAGAAACAATGCAAAGGTCAGAGATCGCCAAACATAGAAGATTTGTGCGAATGAGGAATTTTAAATAAGGTGTATATAATTTCCATATATACGTGTATTTCAAATTCCTAGCGAACATTTCGCTGCCAAGTCTCTTGTATTCTGCTGTTACGATAATACTGCATAATATGTGCTTTAAGCTTCTCTATTGTGCCTTATTTAAGGGTAGTCTCTTTGAAGTTAATGAATATGTTATATTTTAATCACACTTTATTTGAGTAATGCTAGAAATTTTCCAGATTCAAGCAACATAGTTATCGAGTTATGCTGCAGAAGATTTTTAGCTCAGGTGGATAAAGGAAATCTCACACACTAAGGGTAAAAGTTCAAGTCAAGAAAACAATCAGTACTATTACAAGTAGCCTAGAGGGTGTGAACACACACACACAAAAACAACCAGTCACGTTCAACGTCACCAGGTGAGATGACTTACAAACTCATGGAGAAATCTAAAAGCTCGCTTTGACAAACTGAGGTATGCGCTGAAGATGCTGCCCAGTAGGGTAATGAAAACTTCGTAAATTAGCTATCCAGCACAGAGAACACAACCAGATGAAAATAGTTATTGAGTGCTGCTTCGTTCTCGGGGATTCTCTAGTCGATATCTACCTTGACGTGAATCAAACTCCAAAAAAGTACAAAAACCGAATTTTTGTTATTTGTAAGGCTTTAAATACTGAAGAATATCACAGGTTTTAGCAAACGTATCTAATGGTTTTAATCCTACTGCAACGCAGTTCCCGTTATGTACTAGTATTCGTTTTGAATTTAATCAATAAACAAAACAGTAATGGTATGGATCTCAAACAACTCCTTATTCACTAGGAGGACTTTAGCTTACCAAAGCAGTGTAAACGTATGAATATTAGACTGATACTGCGATCGACGAAGCAATTAACTCAGTAGTAACTTATATTTAATCTAAGACATACTCTATAGAAATGTTTATTCCCGTTTTCATTCTACCATAAAAAAGATAAGAGCTTCCTTCTCTTGCTTACATTTTTATCCTGCATTTTATATTTTCTTTTGTTACCCTATAGACATCGTGAAATTAGATTACACTGGCTACGTAGAACAGTTACATACGCTTCAATTATTTTATCAAAACTTTTAAACAAACTAATGATAAAAGCAGTCACTGGTACAGTTCCAAAGCATTTAACAATTCAATACAATAAAAAATCTTTAAAGTGTCAAACTGTGCTTACTACACAATTAAGAAATTATGTTACTTGTATGTCAGAGATACTCCGCATGAAAATGGATTCAAAAACGTGTGAACTGAAAGTCAACGACTTATTTCCACTAATTGAAACGGCTACTCCACATGAAATACTAGAAAGTGGAATTGTCTTAATGCTCAATGAATGGTTTAAGGTCAGTTAAATTCTTTTCTTGAGTAATGATAATAATAATAATTCATTCCAGTTGAAGCACAAAATAATGTCTTAATTTTCAGTGATGAGACAAGGTAGTACGTTCGTCTATTACATTTGTCACAAAATTCCTAAACCTTCATTAAATGGTTTGAAATCACTTTGTGGTCACTTTCACCTTGATAATATTTAAAGTATTTGTATAACTAAGAAATATCCTAGCGCTTATGTTGCGGATTTACGATGGATTATTCTTGTGGTGAGAGCTGGCTACTAGCTAAAACCGGAGGACAGTATTTTACGTCAATGTTTGTGTCCCAAATATTCGTCGTGAGGAAAATGAGAACAAAGGCTCTGCGTAGGCGGATACAGTTAACATATGGATGATCTGACATTCAAGAAACAGCCACAAAGAGATGCAAGGTTAACTTTCAGTGAGAAATAACCAGTTAGAAGACTGTGTTTGTTTGCTTAAATAATCTATAATAATGTACATGAAAATCTATAAATGTGTGTTGATTTCGCAAATAAAGGATCTATTGCCTGGCCCTTGTCTTCTGTTGCTACATTTGGTGTCGCTGCCTATAGTTTAATGGAAAGCCTATCCCCTGAAGTTTTTGATGGAGACATATGAATCTTCAGGCAGGACTTCTAGGCTTCTGCGCAGTTCACTGGCGTTGAAGATCTGTCAGCAATGAGGCTGCTACTTGCGACGCTGCTAAGAGGTCGAGAGTTAGCAGCATATAAAAGTGTGAGGTGAAATACCGAAGAATGGGTGACAGGGTCAGGCAAACAGCTTCCAGAGTGGGAAGGACCACATATGGTCACGTTGAGATGGGGTTTTGCAGACACAATCGCAATGGCAAACAAGGAGAAACAGGCGAACATAAGCGAGCGCCGAGATTCCAGACAACAAGAAAAACGAACAAAGCCCCTAGAATCAAGAAGACCTATCCAACTCCAGTCGCAAGTCTCTGACGGGGGACGAGTGTGGTGAGAGCTGGTTGTTAGCCAAAGATGGTGGACAGTAATTTACGTCAATGTTTGTGTCCCCTATATTGGTCGTAGGAAAAATGAGAACAAAGCCTTTGCGTAGGCGGATACAGTTAGCATATAAGTGATCTGACATTCAAGAAACAGCCACAAAGAAATGCAAGGTTAACTCCCTGTGAGAAACAACTGGTCAGAGGACTGTGTTTTTCTGCTAACAATAATCTATAATATGTACATGAAAATCTATAAATGTGTGTTTATTTTGCAAATAAAGGATCTATTGCCTGGCCCTTGTCTTCTGTTGTTACATTCTTAGTTTCTTTGGAATAACAATGTCCATTGATATCGACAGTTATTACTTAAACCAACCTCCAAAATAAAGGTTAAAAATATCATTCCATACATCACTAGCTGACTTGACTTCATAAAAAATAGAACAGAAAAGAGTAAAGACAACTCATTCGTCTGGATCGTTTCACTTACAAGCAGAACAGATGAAGGTGTCAAAACAACTGTCTAAAAAGCAAGACAGACCTTGTTAAACTTTAAACATCAGTACGTACCAGTGGAATGCGACCGCACCTATGACCTTGAAACTCTCACCAAGCAGGTTCGTGAAACCTGGCAAATAATGCTGTAATCATAAAATAAGCTTTCTGTTAGTGTTTTGTTAATAAATGCGAGAACTTGCGAATTTCAAGTTAGGTTTGGGAAAGAGTAAGTTAAGGTTTAGGCTTTGGAACCAGTTAGGGTTAGGGTAATCTAACAAGGGTTACATTAGGGCTGGTTTGAGTCAGAATAGGGTTAGTTGAGGAATATTTTCACGTTAGGGTTAAGGAAAGTTAGGGTTATTGTTAAGGTTAGAAGACTTAGATAATTACACGCATAGGACGTGGTTGAATTACTTTGTTTTGATATTCCAATCCAAAACTAAGGGGTATTTTTGTCACAAGTCAGACAAAACTACCCCGTGTAAGCGTTTCATGCCTTGTAATTCATAATATGTATTTTAAACGCGAAAATCGCCTTTACTGTGTGGTTGGTTCGTTCGAAGTCATTTATCCGCTGGTACTTACTAGTGTTTAAGGTTTAACTTTGTCGGAAGGCAAACCATTAATCAAAAATCGGTGTGGAGATCTGCTGCACTCAGCAATAAGAAACACTAAAATATCAAGTCAGTGGTTATCTATGGTTTCGGGCACTTGATGCGTCAAGTAAAGCATTTCCAACAAGCTACTGAAGTCTTTTATCAATATCTGCCTTGGCCAAAAAATAAACAACAGGGAATTCTGGCAACGAATCAACCAGGATTCTGTCACGCAAAAATATATGCCGGAGGAAATCAAGATGAATTGAACTCAGGCTTAAGGGGGACTGTTGAGTAACATTGTGTATAAGAAAGACCGTTGCATAAGATCCAATTAAGAAGTGTTGAGTTATGCATCCGAGTGTGACATAGAAGAGACTGTCTGAGGAAGAAATGAAAGCGAATGGGGTCATTCATGGAACCAGCCAAGAAAAGACTTCACAGAATAGTGTGAAATGCTCAGCATGACGTTGTCCTTCACTTAAAATGTGAAATTCAACAGCTGTACGACAACAGCACATGTCAAGTCATCCACAGCGGAAAACTCAACGAGGCGTTTAGAGTAAACACAGGAGTCAGACAAGGTTGTGTGCATATTATCACCAATGATATTCCTAATTGTGGTGAACTGACTGGATTATGCGTCAGACAGTGGGAAACGAGAAGACAGGAATATCCTGGACCGACGCAAAGAACCTAGAAGACCTGGATTTCGCGCGTAGATGATTGATGTTTTATGTCACACAAAATCGGGGACTTATAAGCGAGCGAAAACCGACAAACTGGTCGAAGAAGCAGCAAAGACAGGACTCCAAGTGAATATAGACAAGACGGAGGTTATGAAAATAACCAACCAACAACAGCAACAACATCCAACGTCAATCACCATCAACGGGAGGGATTTGAAAGAGGTTACTTCATTCACTCACTTATCTAGCATTGAGCATTGTCTCAACTACACGCAGTCGGAACGGACGAGGATGTCAAATCGAGCTAAAATCGGGAAGGCGGGTGAGAAACACATGTATCAACCGGAAACCAATCTGGAAATCTTCGTCACTCGGCATCAACAACAAAATTCGGTCGGATTTTCAATACAAACGTCAAGTCAGTCAGTTCTTCTATACGGATCAGAAACTTGGCGGGCAGGTCACAAAGAATATTTTCAACAGCCTGTTGCAAACGTTACCTTTATCAACAACTGTCTTCGCTCTATACTGAAGATCAGATGGCTGGGCCGGAAAGAATCACCAACAAGAATCTGTGAGAACAAACAAAGCAAAAACCAATCGCCCAACAAATATGCAGGAGAAAGTGGAGATTGATCTGACACTCGCTGAGTAGACCGCTGGAAGACATCGCGCGTCAAGCTCTCGAGTAGAACCCGAAAGGGAAGCGGCGAGTTGGACGTCCAAGGGTGAGTGACATGGAGGGGATTGTGTGAAGAGGAGTTGAAAGAGTATGGACTAACATAGATGCAGGTGAAAAGTACAGCAGAAGACAGAAACAAATAGAGACGTGCAGTTGAAGCCCTATGTTCCACTAGGAACCCAAGGGGGCAATAATAAATAATAATAATAAAATGTGAAACTTCACTCATCTTTAAGTCAACAACTATTTAATAAATGGCAAAGTAATAAGTACATTTATTCACAGTAACTTTGTGATTCTGGTTATACAAATAATATTTCTAAAATCTATCTATCTTTTGTAGTTTATTTTATCAAACATTCAAAATGAATACTCTGCCAAAATTTCAATAAAGTCATTAGGTGACCTGCATAAAGATGCACATTTGTCCGTGTTGAATTCTTCACTTACCTATGAAAACATTGAAATACTAGCAAAAAAGCTGATTTCTGTTTTGGAATTAGTAAGTTCTACCTATAAACTATTCATATAATTTTATAAAATATTCGTGATAATAAAATGGTTATCAAGTGTTATTTTGCAAGGATTTGATTGATCACAGGTTTGGTCATGAGTTGACCGAAGTTAGAGAACCATTGGAAAACCTGCAGTGATTATTGGATAGCTGTTTCCTCCTAGTTTGGGCCCAGCGTTTAGAACTTTCGTCTACCATGCACATGGTCTGGGGTTTGATACCCTGCCGACGAACACCTGATATCTGTGGTCGGCCTGTAAAATTTAGGCTACCGATATCACATGCTGAAAATTCGTACCTGAACCAAAAATAGGATGTGGAGTCAAGCTGTATTTAAAAATAATAAAAAATAAAAATAAAAAATTAAACCCCACTGGCGTTCGATTCCAGGACCTTCCAGTTTCCAGACGAGCTCGTAGACAATTTAGCCACCGGGACTGGGTGCATTGGCCTTTGAATTCCAACTTTTTCCAATTTTGCGATAGTAAATAATTCATTTTTATTTAGGTCATCGTACTGTGTATTTCAGTGCGTCATCGGCTAAATAGCACAGCGTCTGCAAACTTTACACCTGACTAAGTTTGAGACCTCACCAAGTTTACTAGCTGATAGTCAGCCTGAAAGGAAGAGAGATAGGGCGTGGAGCAAGCAGCTCCGCGTCTTAAAAAATAACATCATTGCCAGTGAAACTGCAAACTTTCAGTCTTGAAGTGCTATGCTCCACTCGGAATGTGATGGATGAATATATATGCTTAAATATATTAAAATGGTATATAAGTGAAACTCTCACTAAGTATCACTGCCTAATATATCTAGCTATTTCATTTTTCAAGTTCACTAAGGAATGCATATTAAGAAATACAAGTACTGTCGGTAGTACACACTTTGGACCTTGACTTTTTTCATGAAAAGAATCGAAACGTATTTAACACTTCGCTGCGCCATCACTCATCCAGTTAGCTCTATTTAATCGTGTTTCATTTGAAGTTTTCACAACATTCCTCATAATTTCAGCAGAAAAAAAATAACGATGGTGGTAAGGATAAAGAAACTGCAGATAAATTGAAAAAAGACTACGATTTCAAAATGATGAACTGAAAGGCTATAAGATAAGCTGTTGATACTCGTTGCCAACTTAATAGCTGAAGTTTAAATTCTAATCAATACGATTACTGTGAATCAATCTCAGGCAAGTAATGTATGGTGCTAAATACACCTCAGATTAACAATAAGTAGGGTGGTAGGCGATAATGATATTGTTTATGTTACAAAGTGAAATAAAATCTAAAGAAAAAAAAAATATTTCCATCACTATCAAATGTAAATTGAACTCAGTTGATGGGTGGTAACTAGCAGTGGAATCCAGTATGCGCATTTCATCATATTTGAGATTCGTCAAGTGGATGTGCCTGCATTCCCCGGTGATTGATTGTGTTTCCATTAAATCTTGAACCCAGTGCCCATAATTTCAAATTCCAAGGCGTTATCCACTAAACCAACTGGACTGCAGTTAGAGACGTTGCCACTAACCTTTTCTAGTGACGCGGGTTTGAATCTCAGAGGGGACTTGAGTTTCTTCAAGGCTGCAGATACACCTTGCTGACTGGTGTCAACTAGCACGAAATCTGGATCCAAGGCTTCCTGTGAATTGCATCCAACAATCGAATATCAGCAATTCACAATGACCGTGATAGCGAGCCACCTAGCATGGTGGCCACATTTCCAACATGACTTACAGAATTCAGTTTGCACCAAAGAAAAAAAGACTAGACATATTACACTAGTTTATAGCGAGTGTCTAGTCAAAATAAGTTCTATTTAGTCAATAAAGAACACCGACATAAAAGGCTTCCAAAACCTGGTCTTAAAAATTAGCGTTTACTTCATATAAAATCGTATGGGTCGGTGGTTCAGCAGTAAAACACTCGCTAAACAGTCCAAGTGATCTGGGGTTCGATCTCCAGATGACAGACGTACACTTAAACCTCGCTAAGCCGGTAGTAAAGGCGACAAAGAGAGCGAATATTGTGTATGAGGCCAGCAATCCCACCCCGTAAGCATGAAACTATTTTTCCCGAGAATTCTAAGCTCTAGGTTGAAACCTAATGTTCCACTTGGAACGTGAAGGAATAAAATAAACAATCAAACAAAATCAAGAGATCGTAGAATGAGGTGTTTATTAAATGATGTGAAAACTTTTGTATATCCTCTATTATTATTCAGTATAAATGAAGGATATTATTTTCAAACTCATAACTCATAGATGACGAAAGGCAGTAAGTATTTATCTAAACGGGCTTTACTGTGATAAACCATATTCTGAAATTACCAATAGTATATATATATATATATGTAATGAAAATAGCTTTATTCTGAAAAAATACTTTTATACACGACACAGAATTTATAGCAGTTTTCTCACTGTAAGTTATTTACCCCATAGGAAGAATCTTTAAGTAATGTAAGAGATGACAATATGTCAACTGAAGTGATAATGTTTTATCACCGTCAGGCTTTCACAATCCACAACGTTTCCCCCTCCCCATTTTCGTTAGAAAACTCCCTAGCGGTAGGTTAAAACATATTGAGAAATGTGCCTGAGTACTTTTTACTATGCGGTTCTCAGAAATAACTGTATGGTTAAGACTTCGCCGACTTCGCAAAAGCCTTTGACAGTGTCGACCAAGAGGTGATTTGGAAACTATTTCTCTACTACTGGGTGCCACAAACAATTATACACCCTATCCAACAGTTTTACGATAATGCTGCATGCCAAGTCATCCACAATGGGAAACTCATGGAGTCCCTAGAAGTGAAGAAGGGAGTAAGACAAGCTGGCTGCCTACTATCTCCATTGATATTCCTGATTGCGGTAGACTGGATAGTGTGACAGAAAACAGGCATAAAATGGATCCACAAATGCAAAAAACTTGGACGGTCTGAACTTCGACGATGACATTTGTCTGATTGCCTACAAACTAGAAGATATGCAAGTGAAAAGCACCAAGTTGGCAGAAGAAGCATCCAGAGAAGATAGGCCTTCAGGTAAACATGGAGAAAACACAAGTGGTCAAGATTCCTGGCCAAAAGGCACAGCAACAACAACAGACAATAATCAGCATAAATGGGAGAAATCTGGAAAAACCAACCTCATTCACCTACTGACCCGGGAAACATCATTTCAACTACAGGTGGACGGAAATGATGAGGATATTATCAAAGCGAGGATCTGGAAAGCAAGGCAAGCTTTCATTACTCTCAAGTCTGCGTGGAGGTCAACAGCACTCAGCGTGAAAATGAAATAAGATCCGGATTTTCAACTGGAATGTGAATGCAGTGCTACTTCATGGATCACAAACTTGGCGCGTCATGAAGACCTTCATCAACATCTGTCTTTGATCAATACTGAAGATCAGATGGACAGAAAAGACCAGCAACACGGAGTGATCTCTGGGAGCCAACCAACCAGGAACCGATTGTGCAACAAATATGTAGGGAGAAATGAATGTGGATTGGCCATAACCTGAGAAAAAAACCATCAAGTGACATCAGACACCAAGCCATCACTCCAGTGGAACCCAAATGGTAAACGGTGAGTTGGTCGTACAAGGGTGACTTGGAGGAGGTCATTTAAAGAGGAAATGAACGCATTTGGGCGGACGTGGAGCCAGATGAAAACGTTGGCAGACAACCAAACGCAATGGAGACGTGTGGTTGAAGCCCTATGTTCCTTTAGGAATTAAAGTAGACAATAATAATAATAAAACGATTTAAAATGGGGGGTAAACACAATATATTTAGCCAAATCGAAAATTTAGGTAGTCCAGTGATTTATACAGGCCAACAAAATTGAAGTGCCAGCTTCTATTTTGCAACTTTGAAGCTACAGCCAGTATATAACCTAAAGGTGAACTTTATACTACAAAAACGACATAAATATTTCTTCTTACTCAGCCTACTCTATATTTTTCTACTAAGAATTACGGAATTTCACTTATGTCATAGAAATGGATCCCAGTTGAAGCATTTGTTTCAATCGAATTAAGCCCAAAAACATTTAAACTATTTTCATCCCTATTATCATATCTTTTTACCTGTCCGTCCCATTAAAATGGAAAAGTGATAATTTTCTAAATATTATGGTAAAACCCTTTATACATCCACTTTTTATTCCCTCGCGTTCCGTGTGGAACATAGAGGGGGCCTCAAGCTTGAGCTTTGAAGTTTTAGCAGCATTAGTGAGGTTGCTAGTCTTATATTCAACCTTTACTCCCTACCGGGGTAACTACCAGCTATGGGGGTGGGTGAGTTAGGAGCGCATCGGCCACAGATTGAACCCCAAACCAATCATGTGGTTAATGATTATTCTATCACAGAACCACCGAAGCATACTCTCAACGCATTGGTGCTGTGATTTTAAAGTGTAAATGTGTAGATGCACTTAAATTCTATGCTAAGGTAATCTAAAAATGATGTCAGTTTCATATTTCACTATTCATTCAAATTACCGCCAGTACAAAGATCTAAACGATCACAATTTCTTTCCTTTTTTTAGACTGAACACTTTCCAGTTTCAACACTTAGTCAGCTAAATTTTTCTGAGCAGTTACTGACAAGTCCGCTACGTTTATTTCCACAATTAATAGAAAAATCTGTGGCTGAGATTTTAAACAAAGAAATGTTTGTTGAGGAGCATCAGCCTTATTTTCGACAAGTTGATATTTCAGGATCTTATGTTTCTGCACAACCTTTAGTAAGTGTAAAACAGCTTCAAGATTGGATACTGAAAACTGCAGCTAAAATACCTTGGTAGGTTTGACAGTTTTACTCATGAACATTTCCTCATTCACAAAAATTTCCATTTGTTTTTTTATGTTCTTAACTTAGTCCTTTTTGAGTATAATAATTCATTAAAGTATTTGTGCGAAAATGAAGCTTAATCTTTCGATTACGCCTTAAACACCAAGATTGTATTTAAGTTCATAATCTCAATTTGTCATGAGTTCGTTTGTATGGATTTGATGTTTCAAGTTTGATCACGGAGTAATATCAGTTAGACAACCATTGAAGACCAGTATTGCAGTATTGAGCAACTGTTTCTTACTAGTTCAGGACTGATCGGAATTACGAACCTACTGGGTTTAGAATCCAGGATCTTCTAGTTGAAACTCAATCTTGTAGACCATTCACCCACTGGGAACTGAACCAACAGCCCATCAATCCTAACTTAAGTAGATTCCTGATTTCAGCGTGACCACCAACCAATATCGTTGACTCGTATTTGTCCTTACTCCTGACCTGGTGGACTCCATGTGGTAACGCGTTCTCATTAGAACTCCAGTCAGTTTTGTCCTGCAGCTAGTCACTAGTGAGCATCCGGTTTATTTTCAAAAATCTGCTTACAGGGATATCACTCATTGGCAGAAGTTAGAATTCATAAGCCTCTGGATTGGTTTACACTGCCTGAATGGTCTACGAGCTCGATTTATAACCGAAAGGCCTTGTGTTTGTACTTCCGATGAGTCCAGAACTAGGAAGAAACAGTTGTCCAGCACTCTGATACTGGTTTTCAATGGTCCTCTGGTTGGTATCAATCCGTGATCAAACGTGAAACAAAGCTTAGTTTCGCTTTTGATTTAAGAAAATAAATAAATTAGACTATGTTACCATGGAATTTCCTTGGCTGCATGCTTTTGTTCAGCGTGATCAGTGACTAGCAATATAAGAAGCGATGTAGTTCTTGCACATCATCAAATGATTCAAAAGAAGTGGTCATTTAATTCAAAATATAACAAAGAAATAATGGAGAAAGTTTGTAGCCCAGGCGGATGATCTTCCCTGTGTCAAATTGATGAAGAGCGTTCAAGGAGCGAACTATGAATTGCATACCAAAGTTAAATAAATTTTGAAATAAAAATATAGTAAGCAGAAATATTAAAGATATGTGAAATGTTTTCACTTTAATTCACTACCAAATAGTTATTTAAAGAAAGTCATAAAAAGTTTTTAAGGAAGCCCAGTTAGAAGGTAGTCGACAATTCTTGTTAAGAAACAGTAAGATACTTTGGTGGTTTTATTGCGTAATAAGAACAGCCATGAAATAGGAGACGTGCTTTTACTCTACTTACACAGTGAAATCAACATCGGTCAAGTAGCAGAAACTTGATGAAGATGTCAAATCAGGAATCGGTAAGGCAACGCAGACAGCCCTTGATCACTCTAAAATCAGTTTGGAAGTATGATATACTCTGAAGCATAAAGAACAAGATTTGAATTTTCAGAGCAAATGTTAAATTAGTCAGTTCTTCTGTGCGTATCAGAAACTTGGCATCAGCGTCACCAAAAGCATTCCCAACAGGCTACCGCAAACTTTTATCAATACCTGCCTTCACTCTGTATTGAGAATCAAATGGCCAGAAAGAATCAGAAGCAAGAAACTATGGTAACAAACCAACCAAGAACACCTATTGTTCAACAAATATGTGGAAGAAAATGAAGATGGCACAAGCTGTTGCGCACCAGGCCATTGCTAAAGTGGAACCTAAATGGGAAATAATGAGAGTAGCGTGTGTCTGAGAGTGACATAGGGGAGATCGTATGAGGAAGAAATAAGAGCATACGGACAATTGTGGAGCAAGATACAATTCGTTTATGAAATAAAAAAATCAAGAGTAACATCCAGGAATGTAAATATACGGCTTAATACGTATAAACAATCCTTCGTGATAACTCCTGAAATCTCACTGGATTTGAAAAGAAATTAGTGATTGCATTATAATAAATAAACGACTTAACAAAAGATTTTTCGATTATAAAATTAGGATTAGGCTACAAATGCTCTACATATGTGAGTTAATCCAGATAGCCTGAATACACAAGGTGGCATAATGCTTGTTGCTGCTTATCAAATGATGATTAAGAAATAATATGGTGAATAATCATCAAGTATTATTTTTATTCCAAGGAAGTTTTGCATCGGAAAAGAAACTATGCTATATTGAGGTTATCGAAACAAGTTACGTATTGAATTAACTATTATTTAACTGACACATCGAAGATGTTATTAATGTAACCCATATGAGTGTTAATGTTTACTTAAACATGTGCATGTTTTTGCAACAAGTACCTTATTTCACAGTGTATTTCAGTGATGCTGAAACTTCCATGTACCATAATCACCAGTTTGATACATTCAATTATAACACATCCAGTTTTAAAGAAAGGCAGTTATTGTAAGTATAATCCTCGATACATAAGTAGTATCACATATAACTTTCATAGAAATGAGTGACTGATACTGTGGGGGTAACTTTTAATACTTGGATAGCTATATCACATGAAATTTAGTGATATCGGATTCACAAGGAGCGGCAGGAATAGAAGTAACAAGTAAAATTGACTTCTTAACTACATTAAGGCTGTCAGATTATTGTTAAAGTAACATTTTCTGTACTAAGCGGGCGTGGATTTTGATCATCCTGTTACTTTATATCGTCCAATGCATGAAACATAGTTTCAGTGTTTGTTTGCTTCTGTTTCATTTTTGAGTTGATTTATGTGATTTATATCTAGTGATAATTTCCTGATAAGAAATAATAGGCTTATAGGTTAAGTGAAATGCAATTAAAGCGATAGAGTAGTAAATATTTCACTTCCCTCTGTCTCTTTCTCTCTCTATATGTATATTTAAGTAATGGTTTGTAGGAATTTGTTTGATTGGTCGGACGATTTCATTATGAGCTGACATGAGTTAGAGAGCCATTAAAAAACCAGTAGAGAGCGTTGGACAGCCAGCTGTTTCGTGAGTCTAGTTTGGGACTCTTCAGTAGTATACACCTATCACAGGGGTTCCAACTCAGGACCTTCTGGTTACGAGGTGAGCTCGTAGACCATTAAGCCACTGAGACCCTATCCAATGGCCTACCCATGAATTCCAACTTCTGTCAATTCAATGTTTTCGATGAGTAACTGTCTTCACCATCGACCTACTGTACCCTGCTGGTCACGGCTTCCCACTATATATATATATATATACATACATATTTAGGTGATCACCACTAATTTGAATATTTTGATCTTTGTGCATCTGGAATTCTATTCTTAATTTGTCTAGGTATATGGATGAATTGCACAACCTTGGTTTTGTTCATGATGTTAATGTAACACCAGGTTACATAAGTCTTCTTCCTCCAAAATACTTGATGGTAAGATAAAACCTGTGTTTTGCATCTAATAATACATAATAATTATTATATAATAATAATATATAATATAATACATTTACCAGTTATTAAATAAAGATAAGTTTGCACATACCCTGTCATTCTGTGTAAATATGATGAAGTATGATTTCAGCGTGGATCATTTCTGGATATAAGTAGGTGGATGAACTAGCTGTCCCAGGACTAGAGGAGTCAAACTGTAAAGACTAAGATAACTCAGAGGTTAATGAGAAAATAGTAATCTCGTTTTGGGCAGTAGGTGGAACGGAATTTATATTCCTTAGTTAGGATAATATTCGATAGTCAAATTCGTCGTCTGCAAAATATGCAGTTTGAGATGAGAAACTACCTCACTTCACAGCTACTGTGCATTTTGCAAACGTAAAATTCTATTCGTTGTATGAGCAGTTACTCCAAGTAGGTAGGTAGAATACGAATTGTTTGAACTAATTGAGCTCTCTGACCACAGTCAAATCGCAAACACTGCTGATACACTTGACACCAAACGACCGACATAGATTATTGGTGTTTAGATGTTTTCTGTATGGTCAGAAAGCCTCCCAGTTTGATGTCGATGATTCACAATTACTTATAATAATCACACATATGTATACTACCACAATATTTATCAGTGTATTTAGAGCATTAATGATAAACTAAATAATATTTTTATTAAAGTTTCAAAAAGGAGTTTTCTTCTAGAAGTCAGTAAGGTCATTAAGTGTTATTTCAGTTGATAGTGCCTACCAATGGAATCTAAGATCCGAGTATCATCCTTTTTGGAACTTATGAGCTAAATGTACTTGCGTTTCTATGAGACTCAAAATCTACACCAATTATTGAATATTTTTTATTTTTGATTACAGCTTGATTCCACACCGTATTTTTGGTACAGGTGTGGAATTTTCAGCATGGATATCGGTAGCCCAAGTTTAGCAGGCCGACCATAGATATCAAGTGTGCGTCGGCAAGGAATCGAACCTCGGACCATGTGCACGGCCGGCGAGAATCCTAACCACTGTGCCACCGAATACTCCAAAGCACTGTTTACTAACTATGGGTATTAGGTGTTATGTAATGAGACATTTCAACTCTCTTTTGGTCATTTCCCTGGATCAAAATGTCTGGTTTATATTGGCATATTGTATCATAGTTTGGACACTTCAGTGTGGATTAGTTTAATAATTTTCTAAGTGCCCCTTACTTGTAGATTTAGTAAAAATTTGCACTGATTTATTCAATTCCAAATAATTAGAAGTTACAAAATGTTATCCATTTAATGTCTTTTGACTGCGTTAGACGAATGCATATTCTTAAACTGTGTTCTGTAGTATTATGAATTGCTTAAGTCGAAACAGAGCTTCCATATACTTGAATTAGGAATGAATTTCTGTCTTCAGAAGTATTGAGTGACATTTGAAAAATAAAACAAGAATACTACAGATAAATAAATCAACAAATGGGATTGACTACAAGGGTGACTAATAACAATGATAACGATGATGTGGTGTAAACTTTAAAGTACTATTGGTGAAGGATTATCAGATAATAATGAATTTATTGAAATGAACAGAGTTGTGTGAATATAATAACAAGTTAAAAGAAGCATTACATAAACCTAAAGTAACAGAAATCATAAGAAAGGTCATGAAGACATTTCATTTTTTATGGATAAGATCCATGAGATCTTATCCATAATAGAGTTATACTCTAATCCAGTGCCCATGTTTGATACTTATATCAATAATTTTATTTTTTATCTTTTACGACTTTGTAACGTTTCCTCTGTAGTATTCATACTGTCTCACATTTCACTGATTACGCTCACTCTCGAAACGTGTACTTCTGTTGATGATATATATATATATATATAATCAGTTAGAGAACCACCAAAAACCAGAATAGGAGTACTGGACAGCTATTTCATTCTAGTGTTGAAATCATCGGCAGTATGCACTCACCAGCAGGCTTCGAATCTGGGATTTTCCGGTCACAAGGCAAGCTCATATACTATTTAGCCACTGCTACCAGACCCGACTCAATGGCCACTCCATGAATTCTAACTTCTACCGATTCGTGATTTAGCGCGACCCCATCCTTTGTTGTCGGTGGGATATCCATCCTATCATTTGACTGGATGGACCTCACTGGTCACGACTTCTCACTAGAACTGACTCCAGGAAACTCCATCCTAGTCACTAGTGAGCATCAGATTAATTTTCTATAGTTTGGTTTGTAACTATTAGGTTTGGCTTTTCGAGTTGATCACGGATTGATATCAGTTAGAGAACCATTGAAAACCAGAGTAGGAGTACTGGACAGCTGTTTCATTCTAGTTTGGGAAACATCGACAGTACGCACCCACTACCAGGGTTCGAACTTAGGACCTTCAGGTTACAAGGTAAGCTGGCTCGTATACCATTCAGCCACTGGGACCCAATTCAATGGCTCATGAATTCTAAATTCGACCAATTCGTAACTTAGCGCGATCCAACCAATTTTGCTCTAACTTATGTCAATCCGTGATCAACTCGTAAAAACATAACTAACCCTTAAAAACCAAACTGCGGAAAAAAAGATATAAATTATTTTACCTCATGTTCTAATTGATCCTGCATATTCAAAACCAACTGAATATTGTCCCATTTCATCTTATACTTATTCCATAATACATTGATATGATTTTAACATGCGTTTACTGGTTATTGTATTCTTAAATTAATGGATGTATAATTATAGAGGCTCAAGAATTTATTGAAAACAAAGTATTCGCTCTGTTTTTGTTCTGAGTAAAATGTAAAGTTTTCAATTTTTTTTAAAAGCATAATAACTCATTTCTTTACAGCTAAGAAGTGATGAAGTCGTCAGGAAAATATACTGACAATCTTATCTTTGATTATTGTATTTATAAAAGGAATACATGCAGCCACTGTATAGCGTAATCCATGTTCTGGGACTATAAACACCTCCATAAATGTGGCGCTAATTCTTGTTTTGAAATCGATCAAAACTCCATAATTTTATTGTTTTTTCAATCACTTAATTCAGTGAATTTCGAGTTGATATTGTTAAGATATACGATGACTAACAGGGCAAAGTTAAACTTTAAGTGCTACCAACTACTAATTGGCGAATGACCTCGAACGCACCGATCACGTGAAGGAGGCATTTTTGTGCATGGAATACATATATTTATGAAAAAGTGCATAAAATCTATGTACTAGTGTTACAGAGGATACCTTTCTCTCACATTTGATAAAAAATAGCTCTCAGTTTTAGGTTGGAGTTTCAACACAGTACAACTCCAATGTGGGCAAAATTTATTCTGATAAAGTCTCAATGTTATGCATTAACATTTACTGGACAATAAACTGTGGTCGATAGGTCATGAATAAATATTACTGTATAACACTGTGAGACTTTATCAGAATAAATTTTACCCCCAATGGAATTATACTCTAACACCAGAGTGCACAAGTTCTACTCTTATAGCAACAGAGTAATTTAACCACATTCTATGCATGTAATTATTCGGGCCTTCTAACGCTAACAGAAAGCCTAATCTTTCCTAGGACTAGCCTTAACGTGAAAATATGTCTAAGCTAACCTTAATCTAACTTGAACTAACTTTAATGTCACATTTTGGTTGGTTAAGCTAAACCGTAATTTAATCTTTCCCAAACCTAAGCTGAAACTTCCCAGATATCCCATTTAATAATCGAATACTTCGATGAGCATCTTTGATTGATGATAACAGCATTACTTGCCAAGTTTCACTAACTTGCTCAGTGAGTGTTTCAAGGTCGCTGATGCGGTAGCACTCCATTGGTAGTTCGTGGTGCTTAAAGTTTAACTTGGCCACTAACAGTATCTTATGGACAATGATATTATATGTATGACATTTTCATTACACAAATGGATTCCCACTTCTTTTTTTTTAATTTTCATCAATAAAAGCAGCAACTGAATGAATCACCACTGGAATCTCTACAGCATTCCTATCATGGTGGAATTTTCAACTGGATTGGTACAAATGGTGGTCGTGAAATAAAATGGGCTAATCCATTACGATTAAATGGCTTTGTACGTGTAATGAGTTCAGATCGAAAATTGAATCAAAAACCTCAACTTCTAGGTTATTTAATATCGAGAGAGAGAAATATTGGTAGATCACCTGCGAAGCAGTTAAATCGCTTAAATTGTAATCATGTCAAATCGGAAGGCAAAAAACTTAAATGTGGCAAACAGATAAAACCAATGAATAAACTAAACGAAATAGTAATTGGTGTTGATTCAGAAGAATCCAGTTTTATTCAGACGATACTAACACCATGGATTGCATTTGATCTAGGTGTTCTCTTAGAAATAACACATTATTCAATTCAAGTGAATCTAATATCAAATAATTGGCCATCTTTAACCAGCTGGCAACTTCAGGTAGGTTTAGATATATACGTATGATGCTTGTTAATTACGTAACACAGTGTTAATGGACGCAGTGGACTGTCTCGCAATTAGATGCAACGTGAGAAAAACAGACAAATTAATTCATTTGTATTTTATTATTAATCAACTGATCACACTTAAAATGTGGTCCACTAGTTCTGATGACACTCATTTTATTTGTGAATAGGGAGGTTTAGTAACAAAGTAGAAGTGTTGGCTTTTATGACTATACAGTTCACTGAAAACAGTTGGAAAAGGTTATTCAAAACAATAAGTTAAATATATAAGATGTATTTTTAACAGGACAGAAAGTTAAATTCGAAAATGAATTTTATAGAATACACCACAAGTGAAAGTTAGAGAACCTAGGAGTAATTATCCTGGTGGATTAATGGTCTACAAGCTCGCCTTGTAACCAGGAGATCCTGGGTTCCAACCCTTGTGATGTGTGCGTACTGGTGAATTGTCCCAAACCAGACTGACGAAACAGCTGACTGATCAGTACTCTCTATCGGTTTTCCAATGGTTCTCTAACATGTTTTATCATGAGCTGACATCATTTAGAGAACTACTGGAAATACCAAAGACTATTGGCCAGTTGTTTTGCCCTAGTTTGGAAAGAATCATATAATAAGGTGGCTTGCTTGAATTTAAGCTATTGAAAACATCCATCAATATATTGCAGATAATTTTTCTTCTTCACTTGGTTTACATCTAATAAAATATGGCCCCTAATGGCAGTATTTACTCTCACGAGTATTTAAAGTGCTTATGATCCGCTGACTCGCAGGTTTCTACTGAACGTGAGAGAAAGCATAATCTTGGACGACAACGTATCACAATAAATGAGATAATTGTTCCTGAGTTATGTCTTTGGTTCTCAAAAGTGTACTCCTGAACCTATCATAGTTACCATTGCCCCGAATTTCTTACATTTATCGAAGGTGACAAAAAAAAGATAACATAACATCAGGTCAGATAGAACTGTGTCACACGGCCTACTATCAATTAATACTTTATTTGGAGATCCTGGACGAAAAGAAAATGGCATACGATAAACTTGGCTGAAAATTCTGTACATTACATAAATACTGTTCAGAATGAAATTGTTATTATTATTTTCATGTATAGGTTTGTAGGGGATTTTGTCTGATTGGTAGGAGGATTTCATCATTAGCTGACATCACTTAGAAAACCATTGAGAAACCACTAAGGAGTACTGGACACGTAGTTTGGGACTCTTCACCATAACGCACCCACCGGGATTCTAACCCAGGACCTTCTGGCTTATAAAACGAGCTCGTAGACCATTAAGCTATTGAGACCCGATCCAATGGCTCATGAATTCTAACTCCTGCCAATTATTATTATTATTAAAACAACTGTCCAGCAGTCCCTGATTTCCAAATGGTTTTTTAACTGATATCGTCTTGTGATCAATCCTATTAAATATGTGACAAATGGATTTCAGAAAAACCCTCCAGATAGTTCTTTGAAATACACTTTTTAAAAATTTAATTGGAATAATTCTGTATCAAACAATTGATGGTTCCTTTTACTCTTATCTTTTAACTACCTATGAAAATAACTGTGTTTTCGCAAAATAATGAAGGCACTGACAAAATACCCTTTAAATCTTACATACAATGTGTAATTTAACCGAATTTGCGACATTGAAGTTTACAAAATCATATGCTTTTAAACTAGTGTTAAATTTTTTCTTGAATTAAACAGAAGTTTAGTGAGTAACTACATTAATTGAAAACATTTATTTCTCGATACAAGTTTAAAACAAGCAACAAATGTGGTTAATAAAGCAGGAGGATTTAATGATGGATTCATCGAATTTCGGTAGAACTCGTCAGATGAACACTCCACATACACGGGTATATATACTTTTGAAACTACATTAGTTAATATAAGACTGATAAGTAAATAAACTACATTGAATTAGTCATGCAGGAAGACAGATACGAATGTCTTTCCAGACCATGTTCAAATAGATAAGGGGAAGGGAGTATGAGAGATCAAAATTAAGATAAAATGCATTATGATTCAATTACATCACTTAGATAAACAATTAGTCATTAGACAATATAACAAAGATTGCAAACAGAGTACTATCAGTAGTAATAGTTATAATAATAATAATAACAATAATAATAATAATAATGCTGAGGTGATTTAAGATAATACTACTGATAAAAGATAGTTTTAAATGGTAGAATAATAAATAAAACGTATTACCATAGTAGATTAAGAGTAATGACCATCTCCTCTTGTACACAGAGACATTGTTTATAAACTTGAATTGCACAAGCCTCTGCAACTGCAAGTATCTCCTTGTTTCTTTGTGTGTCAACAATAGTGAATGACTTGACAGCGTCAATATCATGTCCATAGTCCAGAAGATCTAGTATCAGTAGGATTATCTTAACCCACTTGTAGTAATTTATTGTACTTGGAATATTAGTATTTCGAGATGACCGAATCACAAGAATCCAAACAAAACACGGAGAGGGCAGAACTCAGGAATTTGTATTTAGTGGAATTATTATGCAATTCATATAAGAAACATAGCAACAGTCAACAGTAAGTATTTAAACAATACAGAGATAGAAATTGTCAATCACCACACCACTTCAACACTATTATCATTATTATTGTTATTATAACTATTACTATTGATATTACTCTGTTTGCAATTCTCGTTATATTCTCTAATGTCTGATTGTTCATCTAAGTGATGTAATTGAATCGCAGTGCATTTTATCTTTATTTTAATCTCTCACACTCCCTCTCCCCTTTTCTATTTGAATATGACCTGGAAAGACATTCGTATCTCTCTTTCTGCATGATTTCTCGAATGTAGTTTATTTACTTATCAGTCTTATATCTCCCAATGTAATTTCAAAAGTACATATATCCGTGTATGTAGAGTATTCAGATGACGAGTTCTAACCAAAATTTGATGAATCCATCATTAAATCCTGCTTTATTAACCACATTTGTTGCTTGTTTTAAATACTACATTAATAATTAAGCGCTAGCGGGTAATAGAAAATAATGAGCAGTTTACTGAAATTTATTCCTTAGAAACTTTGTTTAGAATACTTGTCATGGGTATATGCATATTATTTATAAAAATTCTGAATTCTCTGTAGGCCTCGAATAATGGATTTCTATGGAAAGCAATATCAGAACACCATATTATGCCTACAGGTGATCCAAAAGTATATTGGGGGTTGTGTGGAGAAAAGCTTTGGAAGGTTAATGTAAACCAGTGTTACAAGGAAAGAAGTTGGCGATTTTTTCGTATTCAACTACTACCCACAAAAACAATGTCTGGTAATAAATTATGCTTTAGAAGTATTGAATTTTATGGGAATATTCACAAAGTTTTCACAAGTGCTGATGAGGTAAGTTGAGTTATCTTTAGATATCATATCAAAGTTTGTGTTGGTGGTACAGCGGTTAGGACGCTCACCGACCATGCACACGGTCCGAGGCTCGATCCCCGACCGGCGCACTCCTTTACTTTGCTAAGCCAATAGTGGGACTGGTAAAGAGGAAAGGTTGGGCATGAGGCTAGCAACCCCATCCTGTAAAAAATTAACACTGCTACAGAAACTTCAAGCCTCTAGCTTAAGGCCCTATGTTCCACTGGGAACGTGAAGAAAAAAAATTATTTCATAGTAAGAGGTAATTAAAATAGTAGTAGGCTGAAGTGACATTTTTGTTTTTGCTGCAATCTCAAATTTTGAATTTATCTATGTGCTAATTATCTGTGTAGAAAAAGACGAAGAATTATCTGAATAGGTGGTTTTGATTACGCATTGAATAAGTACCTTAGTTATGAACCTCTGAAGTTTACGTACTTCATTATTTTCTTAATTCAGCTTCACTGTTTATGATGATGTTTATCATCACCCTTAGTGTCTTTATCCAATTGATGTTTTTTTCGTGATTCCATTGCATTCCTAGAGGAACATAGGGCTTCAAGCTTGGGGCTTGAAGTCTCGGTAATGGTGGTGATTTTCATAGATTAGGGTTGCTAGTCTCATACAAATCTTCCCTCTTTAACAGGCCTGCTTAAAACTTGGGCTACCAAAAACGTCCGTCTCTCTATTGCATATATATTTTCTCTCGTCCAGTTTGTTTTATTTAATTAAGATATTCCCTCTAATCGTATTATTTACTCTTGTGTGTATTTGAAATATTTACAAGCTTCTGATTTGCAAGTTCCTATTAAACTTAAGATAGGTCTAATTGTGGGTGTTTCCATAATGAGATAACTGTTCTTAAGTTACGCCCTTGGGTAACAAAATAAACTTTTGAACGCCTTAAAAAAGGCTTTCAACCAGATATAGTGGATTTCTTGGAGAAAACAAAGCAGATATGTCATAATGGAACGGTTTGTGCCTCAGCTTAAAGACCATTGTGTCACAAGATAAACTGTCAGTTAATATTTTAACTGAAGATATTGTATTAGTTGAAAATATCATGCAATGAACTATTCTGAAAATTTTGTACATTTTATAAATACTGTCCGGTATAAAATAAACACTAGTATTACTACCAAGGTTTTAGGAGTAAAGCGGCTGGGACTCGAACCTGGACAACCAACACGGTTAGCAAGCATTGTATTGTTTAACGACCCATACCCGTTAGAATCTCAGAAGGGAAAGAGTTCATTCACGACTTCAGGTAATCTTTGCTGGCTGCTTATTGCCAACAAACACGAAATCTAGGTGAGAGACGGCTTCCTGCCAATCGCCTTCAACCATATAATAACAATACTTCTGAGAACATAATGATGGCGAGCCACCTAGCATGGTGGCCTTATTGGAAGCTTGACTGACAGAATTCAGTCTTCAGTAAGCAAAAGAAAACACGCATGACAATAGATGCACTATTCAGTTGATATTCAAAATCTTTAGCAAATTAATTTATCATATCGGAAGACACTGGTGGCTGAGAACATTATCAGTAAAGTCGGGTTATCACTGTTATACTATATTTTGTGCTGCTTTTTTTTGCATTAGGATACACAAATAAATGCAATTTCGTATTTGAATGAATTTCAACCAAATACTTACGTTGTACCAGATATTCCTGTTCTACTGTGTGACAAAGTAATACGAGATTCTTGTGATGATTTTGACTGTGAAATTTGGCCGCCTGCCTCAATCAGCAATGAAGTTCAAATAAAATATGAACAATCGCATCCCGAGAATTCTATAACTTCTTTGAACTGTGCTTGCATGTTTGGAAGAATTGTATCTATAAAGTCAACTGGTCGTGTCACTGTAGAATGGTTAACTGACTTTCAAACAACAGATTTAGAATGGAAACGCCGAATAACTTCACACGCTATAGATATCAAGGTTTGCGAAATAATTTTATTTTTTCAATCCTATGGAAAACAATATCATTCATGCTGTTGGCATATGTTTATCCCGCATTGGTTTACGTTAACTTTTGAAACGCTATAATATGAAATATAATACTGTGTTTATGATGCTAAAATGGACGTGTAGATCCAAAACCTCAAGTGATCTGGTGTAAAGCTCAAGTACATCAATGTGTAGAATAACAGATCGAGATAGAACACAGTAAAAGTAACTGCGTGTGTCAGCGGCACAGCGGTAGAGTGCTCGCTGACCACACAGGTGACCTGGGGTTTGATCCCCGGCCAATGCAATCCTTCACCTCACTTAGCCAGTTGTAAGACTGGTAAAGAGGGAGGGTTGGGCGTGAGGCTGGCAAACCCATCCTGTGAAAATGATCACCAGTGCTATCGAAACTTCAAGTCTCTAGCTTTAAGCCCTATGTTCCACCAGGAACGTAAAGTAATACATAGAAGTAAATTCATCGAATTAAAAGAAAATTATGTGGAATTGTTATTTACTTGATAAGGGCTAGATGAATGCAACAGGAATGATTTAGTTACTTTCTAGATATCTTATTATTAATTGTTGCTCTTTTACCAAAGACATTTATTGAAATTAAAGCTGCATGTATTAGATTCCGCGTTAAGGATTACACTTTCGCATAAATAATGACATTAAACTGCTCGAAACTACTTCAAGAGAAGTAATACTCTCTCCTAGTGTAACTTTGTGTTTTATGGGATTAAGATACGAATCTTCTTGATAAACAATGGAAACAAACGTAGTGTAACATCAGACTACATTGGCATTCGGTAGCAAAATTATTTATTTGGCAAAATACAAAAGGTATATTCGAGCTGGTTTATTGCCTTGATGATATTAATATAATGAATAAAAATAGGTGTTCTTTCTCTTTATTCTTTAATGTACCCTTACTTAAAACATTTGAGATTTTGTGTGATCACATTTCCACACATAACTTTTTCATCCCGTTCCTTAAATCTTATTTAAGGGAACTATTACTTCTATACTATGTACTAGAAATGATAGTTTTACATTTGAAGGTGATTGTTTCTGCCAGGTTGATAATGCTGGTATGTGAAGTTCGTCAGGCCCTCTTTTAGCAGACATCTATATGTTGTACACTGAGAGTTTATCGGAGGATTTAATCGAAAATATGCTACTGTATAGAAGGTATGCAGATGACACTGTCACCATAAGCGATAAGCCTTGTTCTTCCACCTCAATTTTAAATCGCATGAATGAAGTTCAGAATAGCATATCACTTACATCTGTAGAAGAGGAAGATAATCGTTTATCTTTCCTAGACATATTGGTTAGTTGACGGCTTGATGGGTCAATAAAACGATCTATTTATAGAAAACCTACCTGGAAAGGAGAGCATCTTAATTATCACAGTTTCTGCCCTGTTTGGTACAAAAGAGCCTTAGTAAGGTGCCGTTTTAGTAGGATCCAACGAATATACACTGAAGACACACGATGAGGAAGAAAATACAAAAATATCAGAATAAAATTTTCTTGTGCAAATATCATTTGTACACTGCAGCTTATGCAATCCTTGGATGCTTTCTTTATTGTAGCACACTGCTCTTTATTTCCGCCCTTCAGCACCTAATCTATCGCTTCATTGTTTAAGGTTCCTGGAGAAGAAATCACATACAATATACTACTTACAAGTTCTTTGCAGTAACACAAGCCACAGCAGTATCATATTTAGAGTTTTCAAAGTATTATTATTATTGTATCCTTTAGTTCCTAGAGGAACATAGGGCTTCAGCTGCGCACCTCCATTGACTTCGGTTTTCTGACAACTTTTTCACCCTGCTCCAGGTCTGCCCACATGCTTTCATCTCCTCTTCACATGACCTCCTCCAAGTCACCCTTGGACGACCAACTCGCCGCCTCCCTTTCGGGTTCCACTCGAGGGCTTGTCTAGTGATGTCACTTGATGGTTTCCTCAGCGTATGGCCAATCCATCTCCATTTCTTTCTGCCTATTTGTTTCACAATCGGTTCCTGATTGGTTCGCTCCCAGAGATCCCTGTTGCTGATCTTTTCTGGCCATCTGATCTTGAGTATTGAGCGGAGACAGTTGTTAATGAAGGTTTGAAGTTTGTTTGAGATGCTCTTTATGACTCGCCAAGTCTCTGATCCGTATAGTAGCACTGACTTCACATTGGAGTTGAAAATCCGGATCTTATTTTTGATGCTGATTGCTGTTGACCTCCACACAGATTTGAGAGTAATGAAAGCTTGTCTTGCTTTTCCGATTCTGGCTTTGATGTCCTCGTCAGTTCCGCCTGTAGTTGAGACGATGCTTCCCAGGTAGGTGAAGGAGGTTGTTTCTTTCAGGTTCTTCCCATTTATGCTTATTGTGGTCTGTTGTTGCTGTTGATGTTGGCAAGGAATCTTCATCATCTCTGTTTTATCTATGTTCACGTGAAGTCCTATCTTTGATGCTTCTTCTGCCAACTTGTTACTTTTCATTTGCATATCTTCCAGTTTATGGGAAATCAGACATATATCATCGGCGAAATCCAGATCCTCCAAGTCTTTTGTGTCAGTCCATTTTATGCCTGTTCCCTCGTTGGTTGCCGTTGTCTGTCGCATTATCCAATCAATTGCAATCAGGAAGATCATTGGTGATAGTAGACAGCCTTGCCTCACTCCCGTCCTCACTTCGAAGGCTTCCGTAAGTTTCCCGTTGTGGATTACTTGGCATGCAGCATTGTCGTATAACTGTTGGATGAGGTGTATAATTGTCGATGGGACCCCGTAGTAGCGAAGTAGTTTCCAAATGACCTCTCGATCGACGCTGTCGAAGGCCTTTTCAAAGTCGATGAAGTTGAGATAGAGAGGTGACTGCCATTCCAAGCTTTGTTCAATGATGATCCGTAGAGTGGCGATTTGATCAATACATGATTTGTTTCTCCTGAATCCAGCCTGTTCCGGACGAAGTTTTTCATCTAGGGCTTGTTTGATTCTCTCCAGGATGATGCGACTTAGTATCTTGCTTGGAATGGACAGAAGCATAATTCCACGCCAGTTTTTACATTGACTTAAGTCTCCTTTCTTTGGAAGTTTGAATAAGTAACTGTTCTTCCAATCCTCGGGTACTTTGCCCTCTTTCCACACCTTCTCCAGTAGTGGTGTCATCAAGTCCGCTGTTGTCTCTGGGTCTATTTTCAAAGCCTCTGCTGGGATTCCATCTGGTCCCGGTGTTTTCCCAGTTTTAAGCATCTTGATTGCATTCAGGACTTCTGATTTCGTCGGGGGGTCAGTGTTCACTGGTAGTTCTGCTTCCGTTGTTGGTATTGCTGGACGTGTTGTAGGTGGCGGACGATTTAGAAGTCTTTTGAAGTGTTCAACCCAGTGCTTTCTCTGTTCCACCTCTTTGGTGATTGACTTTCCATTGTCGTCCTTTATTGGCTTAATCTGTGTCGAACGTTTGCCCGAAAGGTTCCTAGTTGTTTGGTAGAGTGTGGCGAGGTCTCCTTTGCCTGCAGCTTGTTCTGCTTCGTTTGCCATGGTTTCATAATATTTTCTTTTGTCTTCCCTGGCACTTTTCTTCACTCTTTTGTTCAGTGTATTGTAGCTTGCATTCAGCTCCTGTTTTTGTTGCTCGTCCGTGCACTGGATAATCTTTTGCTTCACTGTCCTTCTCTCTTCTATTAGTTTCCAAGTGTCCGTAGTGAGCCACTGTTTGTCCTGTCTCTTTTTTCTGCCTAGAATTTCTATGCAGGTTTGGCTCCACACCGTTTTCAAGTTGTTCCAGTGCTTTTCAACGCCGACCTCTTCGCTAGTGTTGATTTGTGTCTCGGCTTTGTCCTTTATGCTTGCAATGAAGATGTCCTTTGTAGCCTGGTCCTTCAGCTTTTGAGTGTTGAACTTGGCTTGTGGTCTATCTGCAGCTCCTGATTCCCTGAAAGCTTTTAATTTGATTTGGATTGTCCCTTGTACGAGATAGTGGTCTGAGCCAACGTCTGCTCCTCTTCTTGCTTTTGTGTCCAGTAGGCTGCGCCTCCACTTCCTTGAGATTGAGATGAAGTCGATTTGGTTTTTGGTTTGCCCGTCTGGTGACACCCATGTAGCCTTGTGGATATCTTTGTGCTTGTATACACTGCCACCAATCACCAGTTCGTTGAAGGCGCAGAAGTCGGCGAAGAGTTCTCCGTTTTCATTCATTTCTCCTAGAGCTTCTCTACCCATGATGAGTTCCCTTCCCGTATTGTCTGGTCCCAGTTTGGCGTTCATGTCTCCCATTAGTATTTTCATGTCGCCAGCTGGAGTATTGTCCATTGTTGCCTGTAGTTGCCTGTAGAATTCTTCTTTCTTCTCGAGGTCTGCGTTGTTTGTGGGTGCATAACATTGTATGATTGACACTTTCCTTCCTTTGGAGTTGAACCTGGCGGTCATTATCCTGGACGAAATCGCCTCCCATTGTATCAGGGCTTTCGTTGCCGTTGGTGACATCATGATAGCCACGCCCTCGGTGTGCGTGTGGTTATCTTCTGGGTGACCGGAGTAGATCACTGACTCACCTGTTGACAATTTGGTGAGTCCACTCCCATTCCATCTGCTCTCACATATTCCCAGCACTTGTATTCCGTATCTTTTCATCTCGTTGGCGATCTGGGCAGCTTTTCCAGTCTCGTACATAGTTCGGACGTTCCATGTTCCTACACAGACTTTTTCTTTTGGTGCAAGGAGGTTCAGCATACTGAAGTTCTGTAGCAATTTTTGTTTACAGGGTGGGGTTGCTAGCCTCACGCCTGAGAAAAGAATGATTACATTAAGTAAAAGTTTAGAGAGAAGCAACTTTTTGGGTTGCTCCCCTCAAAATCAGAAAATAACGGACAAACAATGAGAACAACATCAACAAAGGAAACAGTTCACAGAAAAAAGGGCAAAAAGCGACGACAACTATACAATAAGACAACATGCAATATAGTTCAGTACATGTAACTAAAATGATATCTTAACCATAAACTCACTGACTTGGAGCAACTTGAACATATAAATCCAACAATATATACAATTATAGATGTGTTTATGTTTAAAAATTCCACAAATCCAAACAGTGAGTTATGTGTATTATCTGTCAATAAGATTGTATTTTTTGGATTCAGTGTTCGAAAGGTTAATAATTGTGATAATTTCCGCAAACACTTTGCATAAAATTTTAGAGTAATAAGATATTTTATTTATGACCAAAATGTAGCGTAATAGTCGAAAAGCGCGCGTCTTCAAAGTACTATTGCAATTTCAATCTTCTTGTTAAGTGAGCACAATGTTAAAAATGTCAGCAGTATCTCTCATTATCTCCTTCAGAAAATCAGAATAACCAAACATAATTATGTTAGATAAAACAGCCGTTGAATCTAAAGTAACCGGTTCACTCACCTCATGGAAGAGCGCACCAGATATTAATTGCTAAATGTACTGAAATTGAAAAGTAATCTTCTTTTTGCTAATCTGATGATGGCGACTAGCAGCGGAATCCAGGATGCACCTTTCGTCCTACTGGGGAATCGTCATCCAGATGTGCCCATATTCCTAGTCACGTTAGGGTGTCCCTGCTGAGACTGGAACTGAGCACCCGTCGTTTTAAACATCAAAGCTTTGTCCACGAGGTTACTGGATCACGAGAGTTTATTATGCAAAACGTCTGAGTTTGAAAGGACAGACGGTCAATTCTAGTCCCTCTAGGGAAACATGGACTCACTAGAGATGTAAGCACATACAGCTGACGAGTCACACCACACTGATATCATGTTAATCCTAAAAGACATCTAGGCCTCCATAACAGGCGCCTACATGTCAGTGGAAACTGAGGATTTCATTTCAATATAATCAACCAACAAAAAATATAAAGTTAACTTGAAACAAAAATCAATTCTCATTAATGTAAGTGTAGAAAGGTGGCAGGATGTAATTCCATACAGGATAAGTTTATCTGATATAACACACAATGATATAGTATTATTAACTGTATGAAGTTTCATAATTATGAAGCCGTGTCAATAAATTGATACGAAGATGAGCAATACAATTTTCTGAGAACTCTATCCAGTTATCAATATTTTATTATCGTGTTATATCGAACAAACCTGTCCCACATAGAAATAATTCTCTTCGTTTATAAAGATAACGAGAAACCTTTTAGATGAAAAGATGCTCATCGTCTATATAACCAGGCCATTTAGCCAGAAAGTAGCAAATAGTTTACGTTACATTGTTTAGTGCTTTTCTGTTTTCTGTATACTTTGTTTTTAGACTAGACATATTCTGTTGTCCAAGTGTTGATTTGTAAGGATTTGATTGAATGGTGACAGGATTTCATCGTCAGATGAAATAGGTTAGAAAACCACTGGAAAACCTAGGAGTAGTGGACAGCTGTTTCGTCAGCCTAGTTTGGGACTCTTCAGCAGTACGTATCCACCACAGGGGTTTGAAACCAGGACCTTCTGGTTAGGAGGTGGGGTTATAGACCATTGAGCCAATGGGACCCGAAATGATGGCTAAACCATGAGTTCCCTAGAGACTGAGCCTATCCATGTAGGTAGTTACCTGATGTTCTACTGGAAAGTCGTGACCAGTGGGGTATAGTGTCTGATTTTAGAACAAATACTAGCCAGAGATGACACTGGCTAGTAGTCGCGCTATATCGTGAATCGGCAGAAGTTGAAATCCATGGGTTGACCTTTGGATCGGGTTCCAGTGACCTAATGGTCTAGGACCTCACCTCCTAACCAGAATATCCTGACTTCAAACCCCTGTGGTAGATAAGTACCTCTGAAGATTCCTAAGCTAGAACAAGAGGGCTGTCCAGTGCTCCTAGGTTTTCCTATGGTTTTCTAACCGATTTCAGCTCATGATTAGATCCTGTAACCAATATTCCGTTTTTCTGTTTTACTGCTTCATGTTCTGACGGAAAAATAAAGCTTCAAACTTGAGTTTTGAAGTTTCAGTGGCGCTGAAGTTATTTTCTTATGAAATTGGTTTTCTAGCCTCATTTGCGACCTTCCATCTGCACCAAGCTGACTACTGGCTGATATTTAAGAGTGCATCAGCTGTGAATTCAACGCCTGTTCACGCAGGTGATTTTCAAACAGTTTACTGCATAACCATTGACACAGATAGATTCTATAGAATAGGAATTCATGAGACAAAGTCTTTTCCATTATCATTTTGATATTTTTATAATTTAGCTAAATATCTGATTTATTTTTATTAAGGGTCGATGTGATATACGTTTAGCTATAGATAAAGAAATCCAAATGCATTCTGATTTAATATGTAAGGCGATATCTCAGATCAAAAATGAATCTCAAGTGCGCACTTCACTTTCTCCATCTGATGAACAAGACTGTGAAGATATTTCTTTAAAGCGTATGGATGCTACAATGAACGGAACTATGTCAGACTCATTAATTGATCAACCAGTTGAAGAAAGTATGATTTGTACAAGAGAAATTCAATCAGAAACTGTACAGGTATACTTTATTTATTCACATCTGTTTGAATCAGTCATCTTTTTCTAAAATGAATATTCATTTAATCAAATATTTGATTGTAGGGATTTTGTTTAATTGCTTAGAAGATTTCATCATGAACTGACATAGGGAGTATTGGTTTGAGACTGTGCATCAGTATGCACCCACAGGGGTTCAAACCTAGGACCTCCCGGTTACAAGGCCAGATCGTAGACCATTCAACCACGGAGAACTGGCAAAAGTTAAAATTCGTGTGCCATTGGATAGTGCCCCAATGGCATAATGGTTTACGAGCTTGCCTTGTAACCAGAAGGTCCTGGGTCCTAACCTTAGCAGTGGGTGCATACTGATAAAGAGTCCCAATTTAGGCTGACGAAACAGCTGTCCAGTACTCCCTATTGGGTCTCCAATGGTGCTCTAACCGACATCCGCTCATGATGAATTCCTCCAACCAATATTCATTTTCCCTCATATTTTTTTGCTAAGTAGGTTCAACCTGTCTTTTTGTTTTAAAACTTCATTTGATATTGCCATTTGATTTAAATCTTATGAAACATTTCCATTATAGTACAATAAAATTTATGAGTGTCAGTCAAGCGATTAGCAAACATTGCATTCTGACTGCTATTTATGTCTTCTTGAAGAGTGAATGTATCCTGTGAAATCACAAGACCTATTGGCTTTTAAAAATGTGTTTAAGAGGAAATAGTAAGAGCAGAATAGTCAGTGACGAAACTCCTTTAAATAAATTTATTTTTATGAGTTGATCATGGATTTATATCACTTAGAGCACAACTGAGAATCAGTACTAGAGTACCGGACAGCTGTTTCATCCTAGTTTGGAAATCATCTACAGGACGCACCTACAACCAGGCTTCAAACCTAGGCGCCTTACAAGGCAAGCTGATATACCATTCAGCCATTGGGACCCGATTCAGTGGCCAGTCCATGAATTCTAACTTCCGTGACACAGCGTTTAGGACTCCCGCCGACAATGCAAATGATCTGGGGTTCGATCTTCTTCCGACGCACATCATAAATCAACTGGTCAACCTGCGAAATTTGGTCTACCAATATCACATTCTGAAAATTCCATAGTTGTACCGAAAATACTGTGTGGAACCAAGCTACAATCAAACAAATTTGTGATTTAGCGAAACCAGTAACCAGTGTCATCGGTGGCATATCTATCCTTACACTTGATTGGATGAACCTCACTGGTCACGAATTCTCACTAGAACTCCAGGAAACTCCATCTTGTAGCATATCACTGATATCAATCCATGATCAACTCGTGAAAAGAAATCTAATTCTTACAAGCCAACCATTGAAAATAAATTTATTATCAAACTGTACAATTGTGTATATGTGGTTTTTAAGAAACAAGCAAAGATGTAAATACATAAAATGATAATAGTGTAGTGTGCAATGCACTTAAAATGTTTGTGATTTTAATCATTGGGAATTGTTATGTACTCGTCGCCAAATTATTGCTATGTACTGGTCGAGAATTTAATAGTCCTGACGCAAGAAGGCGGAAATCAGAAGACCACTAGGTTTGCGATGATACTTCTATTTTCCAAACACAAGGAGAAGCAATCAGTGGTATCACACCAAATAAAGTAAGTCACAAGATTGTGAGAACGAAATATATATATATGAATGTTCAGATAAGGGTGTGAACAATCATTAGACAGTCTTAACATGAATGGCTAATTATAATGAAGTATCGATCCATATATACATAGCGAAATATAGCAGACACATCAACAACCACCATATATGGATATATGTCACCAAGCAACAGACTGTCAACAAACACTCATATATAATATAATATGAGGGGAATATACATTGTTAAAGAGAGACAGGTTCATACAAGTGAAATGGTCACAGACTAAGAGAGCAAACAGAAAGAGAGACCAACATACACACACATAAATATATATATATATGTGTGGATACATATCAGGAATGTTTTTCACAAGGATACGAGAACATATTCCAGTATTCTTTTACAAGGGAAAAAGGAAGAGTGTGAAAATTCATGGGCTGGCCATTGAATTGGGTATACGAGGTTGCCTTGTAACTAGAAGGCGGTGAATGCGTACTGCGAATTATTCTTAAACTAGGCTGACGAAGTAGCTTTCCAGTACTCCCTACTTGTTTTCAGTGCTTCTCTAACTGATATCAATCCGTAGTCAACCTAGATTAACAAATCAAATCCTTACAAATCAACTCCTGAAAATAAATAAATGGAATGAAAATGATGAAACGGTTATTACTGAATTCCACAAATAAATAATGTGTAACAATGATACCTGTAATAAGCTGATTTTTATTTACACACTACAAAGTTGGCTTATAGGCAAACTACCGACATTTATCTTTTTACAAAACAGACACTGCAGACATGATATGATTGAAGTTTTATGTTTAAGCATTGTAGAATAAATGCTTATTAAGTTTCTTCTAATTTCACCCAAAAGTATACAAAGAGAAGGTTATGAATAAAATGTATGTTAAGCATCCGGATGAGTGAAATCATTTAAATATCTATTGACAACAATATCAGCTAGTTGAGTCAAAGGCACACGCTAACAATCCTTCTAGCAGGAGAATAAGTAGGAACAATAGAGAAGAATGGGTAGAATAAATAAATTGATAAGTTTTATAAATATAATTTTATAAATGTTTACTTCTCACTCAGCGGTCTATTATTTTGCAACTATCCGGTTAAATCTTGATCACAGTTCATATGAAATTGATAAGTTGTTAGAGAAGAGACTGACTCACACCAGAAAGTTTGGAATTCCCTAAGCAATAAGTCAAACGGAAGACTTTATTAGAATTCAACAAGTTATGGGACGACCAACAAATATTAGAAGTGACAGGGGGTTGTTGTGTAGTATATCTCTGTTTTGAAGTGGCACCATCTGCTTTATCCGGTCAGTATTGTTGAGTTTCACTAAACAGATAGAATATACTGCCATGATTTCATGAAAACCCAAAAATATACGCTCAGCTTCTGAACCTACTGCATCGTTTAACCCACTTCATTGCACACGTGTTAGTATCAAGGGAAATTTTCTGATAAAACTGCAGTCTTTGAAGAGCAGTTCAAGAATATAATGTCACTGATAGACAATATATATGTCAGGAAAAGATGTTTTTCAATGAACGAAATATTCCCATATTGAGTCATAAGAAAAGGCACAAACAGCGAAGAAAATTTTCTTTTCGACGATTCATTTTCATGAGCTGTACAATCGTAATTATAATAAAACACATAAGTTTTTGACCAATCAGATACTGGTAAACTTTGTCCTTGAAAATTCTACTACATAATGTGAGGTGTAAGAAGGGATGACTAATTGTAAGTTAGAAAGGAGACAGAAGTTGGCATGACCTAATAAGTGTGAGATAATGACTAATCAATAAGCTAGTGTAGAGTGGACAGGAACCAGTGGAAAGGTTATACAGTAGTTTTGTATAAGATCTGTGTGAAAAAGCAATGTTATTAATAAACAGTCATAGAGTAGTAATAAAATGTGGATGGTGGGAATAGTAATAATAATAAAGGTATTAAGAACAGTATATAATAATAATAATAATAATAGTGAACTTACATATTAAAAGAGAGGAGAAAAATTATAGTAAGAAATTTACTCTGGCCATGGTAGGGCTAGAGAATGTATGTATCGTTTTTGTATGCATAGGTCCGGTTTTATGTCACGAATAGCTAATGCCTCAGCTATGTACAGATGTCGTATCCGGAGTCCTTTTGTACGATATTGAGGGACTCTGTGTACCACTGTGAAGCATTCGTGTGGGGGTGCTCGATGTCCGGAGATAACAAGGTGTTCGAGGATTGAGCTGTTGCTATTCTTCTTTTCTCCTCTGGCTAACCAAGCTGGGCAGTGTTCCAGGATACGTTTGTGGACTTGACGTTGCGTACGGCCGATATACTTTGCTCCACACGAGCAAGTGAATTGATAAATACACATTGAAAAGGCCAAAGGCGGTATCTTGTCCTTAACGTTAGACTGGATTAACTGTCTGCAGGAGAATGTTATACGTAGAGTGGCTGTTGGGAATGTCTTCTTCAGACTTTTTGAAAGGCGGTTTCTGAGAATTTCCGCTGCGATGTCACCTTTGAATTCTAGGTTCATGAAGAGAGTCTTCTTAGGAACCGTTGTGATATTTGGCACCGGGGGCTTCTCCTTCATGTTTTTGTCGATGAATCTTGGCGGATACCCATTCTCTAGTAGGGTTTCACGCAATAAATTTAATTCTTTCTCCACCGTGTCTTCCGAGCAGATTTTTCTAATCCTTGAGCACAATGTACGTACCAAGTTTCTCTTTCGGGTCAGTGAAACAAAGCTCTGGAAGTTGATAAACTGTCCAGTCCATGTTGGCTTACGGTATATCGATCTTTGGATCGTACAGTCGTCTCTTCTGGTGAGTAATACATCGAGGAATGGAAATGCGTTGTTCGATTCGCGTTCTAAGGTGAATCTTATTGATGGATGCGCTGCGTTGAAGGTTTTCAGGAGAGAATCTAAATCACATTTTTCATCACAGATTATAAACGTATCATCTACATATCTCTTGTATAAGTGCAGTTGACTTATCAAGGGATCAAGGATGTTGTTTTCAAGACTCGCCATGAAACAGTCAGCTAGGAGTGGACCGAGAGGAGACCCCATGGCTACTCCATCTTTCTGTACATAGAACTGTTCATTGAATTTGAACTGGATATTGAACGTGCATCTGAGAAGAAGTTCCTTCAGGTAGTTTATGGGGAGAGGAACTTCTATGTTGTTGGTTTCTATGTAATTACAAATGAAGCATATTGTCTCAGTCAGGGGGATACTTGTGAATAGAGAGGCGACATCTAGTGAGATCATTTGTCTTTCATACACGTTGACATCCTTCACTGAGTCGATGAAGTCAAATGTATCTTTGAGGCTATATTTTGTCATATGTCTTTTAACTGGTTCGAGGATATCAGCTAGCCACTTCGCGATTTGGTGATACGGTGAGTTAACCATGTCTATGACCGGTCGAAGTGGAACATTTTCTTTATGCACTTTCGGCAGTCCATACAGTCTTGGAATAGTTGAACTACATGGTTTTATTTGCTCATAAACCTCCTGTGTTATGACTGAATCTTCTTTCATTCTCTTCAGCAATTTTGTGAGTAGGTTTTCTGTTCTTTCGGTTGTGTCTTTTTGGTTGGGTGATTCAAAGAATTTGGTTTTGTCTGATAGTATATTTGTCAATTTCTCATTATAATCGGATCTATTCATCACTACAATCCCACTGCCCTTATCAGGACGGACAAGGATTATGTCCTTATTTTCTTGAAGTTGTTTAAGTTGTCTTCTGTGTTCTTTGGTTAGTAGGTAACGGTGGCTCGGTTGCGTACGAATGTACTTGTAACAGCTGTCAAGAATTGAAGCTTTGAATTGATCTAGGTCTTTTTCGGAAGTCGGTGACAAATCGGATGTCTGTGACATTAAATTCTCAAACTGCACTTTAGTATGTAATTCGTTGGTTTTACTCGATACATGGCAAAATTTTGGGCCAAGTGATAGGACTTGCATTTGAACAGGAGTCAGAGGAAAATTCGAGAAATTGAATACATATTTCTCCGGATTCTGTGGAAACGTCGAAAAAGTTTCAGATGGTTTCAAGCTTTTTGTTAGTCGTGAAGTAGTATCGTCACAACGCTTTTGTATGACACTAGATACGTAATCCTGGAATGTTTGTCGTTCATCATCAGATAGTTCATATAAAGCATGGGTTCTTTGTGATATGTTTCGCTCAAGTTCGGGTATGCGTGAGCGGATGGCGTCGATGTGATTCAGTGTGTGACGTTTAAGTGTCTTTGAATTAGGGTAAATATGATTCCGGCGGAGATTCTTCCAGTAATGTTTTGGATACTCATGCTTATCGATGCATCGTTTAAGAAAATTAAGCTCCGTGTTGACTTCAGCAAGCTTGACAGAGAAACGCAGGAATTTGTCTAATTCCTTTACTGTCGCTGGGTCCTTGGAGTTTTTCAATGAACGAAATATTCCCATATTGAGTCATAAGAAAAGGCACAAACAGCGAAGAAAAATTTCATTTAAAAAGCACATACAAAAGACAACTTCCCATTAAACCAATTAAGCATTGGACTACGAAGCTACAATCAGCGGGGATATGCAACGAAGCCACCACAAGATAGGTAAAATTTGAATTATTTACTTTCAAAGTGTTGTCAGTATCACAAAAATCATGCGAGTTAGTCCGCCAACTCAAGTTTTGTTCACACCGGATGGATTTTCAAGTATATTTTAAAAGCCAACAAATTTTAATTCCAATTAAAAGATCTGTTTTAGCTTTAATTTAACTGGACAAAGCAAGAACAACAATTGTACCAGAATAATATGAGCTCATCTTTTATTATTTTGAGGATTCTTCTCAACTGGTTACAACCTGAAAGTTACAAATATGAATTACATTAAAGATATGAACATACTTTTCCAAGATCACAAGGAGTAATTGATAGGAATTAAAAGTAATCTTAGTGTGGAATGATTTAACTGACGAGGAGTTACAAACACTAACTAGCTTCGTGCCAAGCGTCGGTGGCACAGCGGTTAAGAAGCTCGCCGACCATGCACATGGTCCGGGGTTCGAGCCCCGGCCGGCTCACTCCTTTACCTCGCTAAGCCAGTAGTGAGACTGGTAAAGAGGAAAGGTTGAGCATGAGGCTAGCAACCCCATCCTGTAAAAATCAACACTGCTATTGAATCTTCAAGCCTCTAGCTTGAAGCCCCATGTTCCACTGGGAACGTGAAGGAAAAAAGTCTGGAATGATTTAACTGACTAGGAGTTATAAACACTAACTATTTATAGAATAATTAGACAATTAGGCTTGGAAACAAAAAAAGGGTTGTTTATATATATGTTTGTGTATAGAAAAAATGTTTAGCTAGAAAGAGCATAACAAAAAAGTAGATTACGCAACTAAAAAAACGTCTTATCTAATAGCCAATAGGAAAAAGGGAAGAAAGGAAACAAGGTAGGGTGAGTCATGTTTAGATGAGACAGTAGAGTTTTGTAAACAAGAAAAAGGGTGACTCATGAAAGTTGTATATTTTTTGTTATCACTGAACTGACAGCTAAGTGAAGTGATATTGAATGAATTACATTGGTCATTTTAGCCTTCATTGCACTGTATCATCGTTAGAATAGGATTTTAATACACAATACCTTATTAATGTGAGGGTAAGAATTGGATAACATTCAGTGGATTCCGTGAGGAATGCAGTGCTGTGGATTAATCTTTAGCGACTTTTGGTAACAAGTGCCAGAATTGATTGCATGGCTGGGATGTATTCACTACTTTTGTTAAGCAGATTCGTGAAATCTTCACTAGACTTGATTTAGTTGTTGTTTGTCGCTTCCGCGTCTATTTTAGTCTCATTACTTTCGCTTTCTCTTATTTCATGTGTAATTCTTCCAGGTATGGCAGTTTGATCTTATGCACTTTTGTTAAAATTGCACTGTGCGCCGGTGGCATAGTGGTTAGGACTCTCACCGACCATGCACATGGTCCAGGGTTCGATCCCCTGCCGAAGCACACCTGATATCTATGGTCAGCCTGCGAAATTTGGGCTGCCGATATCCATGCTGAAAATTCCATACTTGTAGTAAAAATACATTGTGGAATCAAGCTGTAATCAAAATTAAAAAGAATTTAAAAATTAAATGAAAAACTAGATTCACCACTGTCTCTTTCTGCGTACAAAAATTTGGTTTAAGTCGTTTGCTAGCTGTTGCTTCAACAAAGCGTAGTAGGTTAGGTTTCTTTTGCTTGTTGATTATTTTTCAAGTTTATTAATGGGAAGAATTGCATAAAATTTTTAATCTAACTGCTTTGAATATTTAAAGAATTAATATGAAGCCAGATAAAAATCATTTCAGGATTAAAACACCAGTAATAAATAAGTAATATTTTGTAAACATCAGAGAACCAAAGGAACAATATTTTTCACAAGCTGACTATTTGGAGGATTCCTATTTTTTGCATTTTCCTTAAATAACAATAAAAACTAATCGCTATGAGTTCTATTCCCTTTTTTTAAGCAACTGTAATAGCCATTTGTCTTATGCATCACTCAAAATATCCTTTTCAACCTACTCTCAAAATATTCAAAGCAGTAACATGATTTATTTGTATACATTTTAATGCTAACAGGTATCCCTTACACAGATTACGTCATATTTTCTACCGCTGAGCTTTAATTGGCTAACTGATGCATTGATTCCAATGTTCAGTAGAATTACTCCATTTATTTTCGCCTCTGGAAGTCCTAATATCATACGTGATTCACCAATTATGAGTACAGAAGTATCAAGTATGTTCTACTAAACAACTGTTTATGTCTAGTATCTTTCATTTTACAGAAATACACAAAATAATTATGAAAACCAAAATCAGAAGGAATATCCTTGTATACGCATTTTCACTCATTCGGATAACATTTTTGTAATTTAAAACGATCGGTTCTCTTTTCATGAATTTTGACAAAGTAATAAAAAAAAACGTAATTTGTCTGAATTGTGTAATGTATTTGTGCAAAAAACATTTTTAACAGTCTGAACACACACGGACTTGTCATAGGAATATAGGCGAAATTAATAAGGAGTTAAGAGGTGAGAAAATACACTTGGATCACGTTAAAAGAACATATCAAAAGGTCAAAATAACAGTGAAGATCACTAAACCAAATAATGGAGGTATTAATACATCTACACTGGCTGATATCAAAACAAAGTTCACCAAAGAAAGTTTAGTGTGGTGACGAATTGTTGCATTGGACGCATAAAGGTGGTTTGAACTTGCTAATTGCCAGCTAGGGCTTCCACAAACTTTAGGTTGCGCCCCAAACACGTTTTGTAGATAGGTTTGAAAGACTTGTAAACATCAATTTTAAGTCCTGTTTGTGTAATGTGTTTCACGATAGAGGAGCCAGGTTGCCTACTGCAACCATTAATGGGTTATGGAGATTCAGTTTACTTCTGAAGCCATTTAGGAATCTGCTCTACAAAGTGATGAGGTAGTTAAATGTTTGATTGTATTTCAAATACCATCTGAAAATATAAATTAATTATAATTATATTTCAATAGTTTACCCACATTCATAAGTTTCTCGTTTCGGTAATATTTCAAGCAAAATGACTACTTGTGATCACACCAATTGTTGGAATTATTTTGTTTTTAATTCACATATTTATGATTTGTAATCAGGTATATGATTCGTCTTTCGTTGGTTCATTTTTACGTATCCAGAATAATATTCTGGGTTGTTGACAGTTGTTCTGATTCACCCTCGTTACATGTATTCAGCACAACTTTAATGAATACAGATTCTATTATTAGTCTTTTCTCCTAATTGTTCATGTTAGATTTTAGAATGGAGCTGTTGTCCAAATCAAAGTTGTGGTTTTTATCTCATGCACTTGCAGCTGTAGACGAACTTTTCTTAAACTGTTATAAGGCTGCGTTTCTGTGGGATGACGCTTAGTTGGAGTTCATTCACTCTTATTTTCAGTGATCTAGACGTTTAACTCACATATTTGATGGGACATTCAACGCAAGATATTTTGTAAATTCCATTACTATTATCCATTATTTTTATCGGGTCTTTTAGTTGATTTATTTTACTTCTAATTCGATTTTTTGGTGTAAACGTCATATAAATCCCAATGTTTTTGAGGATTCTTTCGATTGCCTCTGGTTTGTCATTATTGTGTGTTATTGTGATCGTCTTTTTGCATTCCTCCTTCTTGTCATTCTCTGGTTTTACCCTTTTTTTTCTCCTTATATTATCTCGGGTAAGTTCTTTAGGGTAATTGTTTTCGAGCGACATTTTTGTTGATCATCCGTTTTTGTTGTTGTTGTAAGTCTGCTTATTCTGATTGCAAGACGTTGTATTAACCATCATTTTATCGTGAGTAGATGAGCTGAGTGATAATCACACAGTCTCTGATAATGTGTATTTTTACTATATATCTTAATTTGCAGTCTAATTATAGGAAGTTTCACAATTACATTACCTATTTCTATAGCGAATTTTATTCAATCTACTTGACAGTTTATTCATGAGAAGAATTTCTCAACATCGTTCTTTTCATAATTACTAATGTGTCATCATATATCTCCATCATCATTTTATTGATGGCATGAATAGTTTAACAGGATTTTCTTTTCAAAAATCCATGAACATGTCAGCTGTTATTGATGAGATGGGTGATCCCATAGCTATTCATTCACTTTATATATGTCCAAACCAAGTTCACTTTTAAAAGTTTGAAAAAATTTGGGCATTCGGTACATGCTATTCGTTATAATAAAGGTTTTTTTGTGTTTCCTAATGAATGAAAAACAAAACGATATTGTTGTTTTTACTGACTTTTCGCTATTTAATGCTAATAGCTTTATCATCATTATTATTTTGACTTTCAATATATCCTGTTAACTTGACTTAACTTGTCTATTTTCTCACCCCTTAACTCTTTGTTATAGATATATGCTGAGTGGATTTTGTAAATTCCGGTTTAATAATACTTTGAGAAAGCTATTAGCATTAAATAGCGAAATGTCAGTAAAAACAATATCGTTTTGTTTTTCATTCATTGGGAAATACAAAAATAATCAATTCATTCACTTTGTTGCCATATATTTTCTTCAAATGTAAAGTGTGTTGTCGCTAAACAGAATTCAACCCTTTTTTATTATTTCATCTACGCATAATTATGTCCTGTCTTGTTATCGGTGGAACCATACTCATGTGAATGGGTATTTCAGTATACAGACTGTTTACATCAAAGATGACTAGTATCTGTATCCATTATGGTCACGCTGATTATATATAACGAGGGTGACTTAGCACAACTATCAACAACCTGGAATCACAAAAATGAACGGATGAAAAATGAACTCTATATACATATGATTACAAATCATAAGTGTGTGAATTAAAAAGCTAGACAATTCCAACAGTTCTTGTGATCACGATCAGTCATTTTGCTTGAAATATTACCAAAACAAGAAAATTTTCAATGTGTGTGAACTATTGAAATACGATTATAACTAATTTGATCTATTCCACAAAGCACAAAATCTTTACTGATATTAAATGTTAAAGTATATTGATAACGGAACTCTAGATTACACCTAATTTGTAAGCAATAGCAGACAGATAAGGGTAGGAGAAGATTAAACATCTCAGTACTGTGTTGTTGTTTTTCTGTTAGACTTCGGGATTTAAACAAGTATTTAGGATATTAACTTACCATACTTATCAAAACAAAGAGTTTTTTAGGCCTACGATGACTTTAAGAGATGAAAGAAAAGAAAGGGGATATTTTAATTAATGTCAGTAACTCTTACTGCAATAAACCGAAGAGCTAACAAAGTTTAGAAAAGCATAATTCCCAGAAAGTTAGGTTATAACAATAATCATTTCAGAGGGATTAAAAAAATTTGTATGACATTCAAAATTGTTATATTAATAAACTTACAGCAGGGACTTGATTTTCATATGGTATTCTAGTTCACCTTAATGACAAATTAGTAAGTTAAAATATATAATAAGCAATACAGTTTGTGTGCAACAGACTAGTTGTCAAACCAAAAGTACTTGGAATGACTGCCTTTGGAGGTCTCTGTTTTTCTACTTAAAGATTATTAGAAATGAAGAGCTTTATTTTGTGTCACTCATTTAGATGTTATACACGTCCCAGTCACGAGGATAACTAAGATATTAGTAAGGTTATTCATGAACCCTTATGATGTCAGAAGCTATTTACGCAACTTTGAATATGAATAATCTGAATGCGAATGAGAGGTTTTAACAAGATATCATTCAGTTGACGGGTGATGACTAGCAGTGGAATCCAGGATGCGTATTTTGTCCCATTTGGGACTCGTCGACTGGATATACCTGCATTTGCCAATCAGTGAGTGATGGTGTCCTCACTGAGGCTCGAACCCAAAGCTCTATTTACTATACCGTTGTGGCCACTACTTCAAAATAGGACGAAATGCACATCTTGGATTCCACTGCTAGTTCCGATCCACCAACTGACTTCAAGTTGCGTGACCAAACATCGTCTAAGCATCTTCACAAGGAGTGGACATGGCAACCTGAGACCAAGCACTTCGGTCCAATCATTCGATAGGAAAATCTAAAATTGAATTTAAAAGATTTGATCCAATTTTAGTCTACTCTTATGAACATAAATTATAAAAAAAGAAACCTGTAGAGTTAGGTGTTTCTACACATGCATATATGCCCATCTAGTTGTGTAACTTATAAACTTATCAAATAAGGCATTCTGTGCAAGTTTATTATCCTTCAAAACTGGAGACAATAGTTTTTGCAAACACAGAACTTTAATTTTAATATAAATAAGTTTTAAGAACACCAAAATAGGGAAATTGCAATCAAACAGTCTTGCTTTACTTTACACCGGGAACTACACTTCTTAAAAAATAAAACAGCACATGTTTAATTTGGTTATGACTAACAATCGAGTCTAGGGCTCACTTCATGTCTTCACTTATGTTCATTATCATCATCAATTATGAATGGTAGTTAATCTACAAGAACTGGAAATCCTTGGTTTCAGAAATGATGTATTCTCATTGTGAGTCTAAAATGCAGATTCAACCATATAACGACTATTGAATAAGACAACATTTTATATTTCTAATGATACATTTAGCTGTCATTATCATAATAAAGATTTAAGCATTTTTAAAACGATAGGCTTACAGGGAATTTTCTTTTGAGTTGTCTAATGCCGAACAGAATGTTTGGTAAATTACAAAAGTACAAAAAGGATTTACTCTTGTTGGGATAATAAATGAGATTAAGTTTTAGACATAAAAATTATCTAAAAGAATTATAGACTAATTGTATAAGCACTATGAAGATGAAAAATAAAGGTTACTCGGATTTCAGTGTGACTGAGGATTAAGAAGAAAATCAGTAGGATACAAGGTTGTTTCATTATGAAATGTAGCCGTTATCTGTCAAAAGAAGGACGCATAAAAACGTCTTAGTCAAACAAGATTAGATTGGATACTAGTAACTGGTGTCCAATAAAAGTATTCAATACAGTCCTACAGGAGAGGTCAACCGTGAGTCAGAATAGCTCAGTTGTGGTAACGCCTCCGACTGATTGAAGCACTGATTGACGTGGGTTTGAATCTCAGAAGGGACATGAGTTCCTACAAGGTTGTAGATACGCCTTGCTGATTGGTGAGTGTCAACTAGCACGAAACTTAGGTCAGATATGGCCTCCTGCCGATTGCCTGCAACTATCTAATATCATCAGATTATTTACTTTTTATCGCTGAACAGTGTTTTCAGCTAATAAAATTTTCCTCTCTGCTTATTGCACGTTTAACGTTAGACTATTCAGATACAACAAGTTTGTATGAATATGGTGTACTCTGTTCAACTCAGACAACATCAATGGAGCCTTATCATCAAAATACAATTTCTGAAGAGCGGAAAACATTAGAATCAGTATGTTTGCTTTTCATTATCAATTAGGCTTAATTGTTATGATAAATATAATAACGTTTTGATGTTTGAAAGTTTGTTCATATATATGTTTTTTATTGTTTTCTGAAGTTTCTTTGACGATTGGATTGATGCTTTGGGATAGTATCACTAGCGCTACACCCACCCTCGCCTCTTTTCCTGGGATTCAGACCGGTTAGAAAACTGGCGAATTAGTAAATTCGAAGAAATGCAAATAAAAAGTTCATGTTTTCAGAAGAAGCAACATGGACTGGAATTCAAGTGGATCTATAGAGAAGACAGAGGTAATAAAGACAACTAACCATCATAATTGTCAACAAGCACTAATCACTATCAGTAGAAGGATTTTTTTACAGATCATCGTTTCAACTACAAGTAAAACTGGTGAGGATGTCAAAACCGGAGTTGAAAAGGTGAGACAGACCTTTATCACTCTGAAATCAGTGAGGAAATCATCTGTACTCAACACGGAGAACAAAATGTAAAGTCAGTCAGTTCTTCCATATGGGTTAGAAACCTGGCGCACATATCACAAAAAGTATTTGCAACATACTGCAGGCTTTTATCAACATTTGCCAGCTTCGCTCCATACTGGAGATCAAAAAGGATCAGCACCAAGAAACTCTGGGAACCAGCCAACTAACCAAGAACCTATCGCTTGGCAAGTATGCGAAAGGAAGTGGAGATGGATTAGTTGTATACATACAAAAGAGACCGCTGGGTGAAATCGCGCGCCAGGCCATCGCTCGAGAGGAGCTCGAGTAGGAAATAGTCATTTTTAGCTTGGATCGGAGGTTGACATGCAAGATACTGTGTGAGATGGGGATGAGAAACTATGAGCAGCCGTGCAGCCGAGTGGATAGGAATCTAGGAAGAAAGGTGAAATAGAGACATGCTGTTGAACCAATAATATCTGCTTGAAACATAACAGAATAATAATAATAATGTTGAAAGATTCACGTTGGTGTTAAAATGCTGGAAGACATTATTTATTTTTCTATCTTAGCATTGTATGGTGTTCACCAGAAGTAGAATGATGTTAGTTCATAAACTGACTTTGAAATGATGGATGCTGTATATGAGTTTCACCAAGAAAAACACCATTAAGTGGTGTGTAGGCATATCAATCAGACGATTTCTAGATTCTGCAAACAGTCTCTATATCAGTCAAATATGTACCATTTGGGTTCATTTATTTGATCGAACACTATAATTTTTTATTCACTACATAAAAATTACACTTATTTACCATGACAGTTAATAGCATAAATGAGTACTGAATTTGCGCAGTTAATTGTTCGGAGTGTTGTGTCGATATTAGCATTGAATTCAGGAAACATGAAGAAAAAGTTGTTTTCTGCCAGTTTGCTGGTTTTTCCCTGCAAGTCTTCGAGTGTGTGTGTGTGTGAGTGAGATTAGACATAAATTGTGCATGTGCGAAATTCACATCTTCTAGAGTTTTCTCATCGGTGGTCCAGAGTATTCCTGTCTCCTCGTTCTCCACAGTCTGACGCATAATCCATTCCACTACAATTAAGAATATCATCGGTGAGAATAGGAAGACGGCTTTGTCTGTATGTACTTCGAATGCCTCACTGAGATCTTGATAGGATCCCACGCACTTTGTTATTGATCAATTATTTCAACGGTTGTTAATCTCGCATAAATGGTATATCATCATTTCCCACGCACTTTGTTAGTGATTATTACGATCAATTATTTCAAATGCTGTTAGCTGTCTGAATTGTTGTAAAAATGTATAAATACGATGACTTTCTTTGTCGTAGTTGTTGTACTACAATATACAGTCACAGGCCAGCCTTTGTCTTTTGATATTTGCGTGGTTCACTGAATCGGAAGGTACCACAAGCGGATAGGCATATTAGTCAGGCGCAGAGAGAACAAGGCGATAACGTCTTCATTTAATTCCCTACGGTTATAACAAATCTCTGTTGTGGATCACCTGACATGTGGTATTGTCATGTAGCCAGCTGTTGAATGAGGCTGACAAAGATTTGGGTCACTGCACGCCATAGTGTTGAAGTAGTTACCAAATTACCCCTCGGTCGACGCTGTCTCTTCAAGGCCTTTTCGAAGTCGATGAAGTTAAGGTAGAGTTTTGACTGCCATTCTATGCTTTGTTCGATAATAATGCGTTGGACTATAATTTGATCAGCACATAATTTGCCTATCCTGAATCCAGCTTGTTCCAGTGGGCGCAGTTCTGCATCCAGTGCATCTTCCATTCTCTCCAGGATGATGCGTCTTAATATTTTGCTTGGCTTGTAAATGAGCAATATTCCACACCAGTTGTCGCAAGGTGAGGCCTATGTAGCCCTTCTTTGATAGCTTGATAAGGTAGACAGCCTTTCGTCCAGTCAGCAGGCACCATTCCTTCCTCCCAAACCTTTCCAACAATGACGTGAGCACATCTGCCACAGTTTATGTGTCCGTTTTTAGTGCTTCGGGTTCGAAGAAATTCCGTTTGATACTGATGCCTTTACGGCTGGTGTTCAGTAGCTTGATCACATTCAGGATTTCGGCTTTCATTGGAGAATTGCTCTGTACTGGCAAGCAGTTCTGCTCGTGCTGTTGGTGGTGATGGTGATTCTAGGCAAGTTGCAGTTGATGGTGGATTCAAGAGTCCGTTAAAGTGACCAGCCCATTGTTTTATTTCTTTGTTCTCGTTGTTAATTAGGTTCCTTTGAACATTTTATCGGCTTCATCATCTGTGTTGATCTCTTCCCGGATGGAGACATGGTTATCCCGTATAATTTTCTTAGGTCTCTTTTACTTGTTGCCTACCTGTCTGTTCTGCTTTAGTTACCTTCAGCCAGTGTGTTGTGAAGTTGTCTTTCTGTTTTTTCTAGCACTCTCTTTCCCGTCTTTCGTTATTCACTGCAGTATACATTGAACTTAGCTTCTCCTTCTTTTTCTGTTGTCCATCTCTGCATTGAGTCATCTTCTCTTTCACCATCCTGCTCTCTCTTCGCCTTTTAGCTTCCAGATATTCGTTGAAAGCCATTGTTTGTTTTTCCTCCTGTCGAAATATAGATATTTTCTGTCATCCCTAATCATAATTGAAACTGTTTTCAGTCAACAAAAATCTCAAAGGATTTCGATTTAAAATAAGTTTAAGAACCATCCGAACTCCTAATCAACACATTGGTTTCATTGATATAAGAATAAAACTTGTGCACTGTGGTAGGGTATAATTCCATTCTGGGTAAATTTTTGTCTTGATAAAGTCTCACAGTGTTATACAGTAATGTTTACTGATGACCACGTTTCGAGCACAATTTATTGCCACTCATAATCATATCAAGGCACCTACTCACACGACTTCCTAACTTCATTTATATAGTTCCATTATTTTCCATCGCTTGATTTTCACTTGATTTGACTGGTAATAGTATTTTCCATATTTTTTTGGGGATGAGTGATGAATCAATCCTATTGCATGTGTTTGGTGTAGACTCGATGAACAAGGATTCAGTAATCAACCTCTCTCTCCACCTATCTAGATTACTGATATATATCCATATAATATGTGTGTTTGTTTGACAGTCTGATATATTTTCCTATGTATATGTGGATCGATTATCCATTATAATTAGCCAATCATGTTAAGACTGTCTATTGATTTGTTCATTTTGAATATTCGCTCTCACACTTGTGTTCACACACTTGTTCGGACATTCAGATATATTTTGCTCTCACACTCTTGTGTGACATATTGATTCTCCTTGTGTTTTGGAAAATAGAAGTATCATCGCAAACCTAGTGGTCTTCTGATTTCCGTCTTTCTTGCGTCAGGACTATTAAATTCTCGACCAGTACATAACAATAATTTGGCGACGAGTACATAGTAATTACTTTTTAGAATTTTAACCCACCCACCAAAGCATCTTTGGTGTTAAATAACTATCCTTTAAAATTCATTAGGAAGATCGAAAAAGGCCAAACGAAAAATAAAAATAAAAAAACAGCTATCCAGTACTCCAAGGTTTTCCAATGGTTCTCTAACTAATGTCAGCTCATGATGAAATCCTAAAACCAATCAAATCCCTAAAAACCAACACTTAAATTGTGAAACTATTAAGAATAAAATAAATAAGAGAGAATATAAGTCATCTACAGTTATACCATATAAAGAGGGGACATCTGAGACACTACGTAGGATTCTAAATAAAGCAGGAATAAGGGTGGCATTTAAACCTACAAACTCACCCAATCAGTGACAAGTTCTGCGGGCTAAAAGACCCAGTTGACCCAATTAGACAAAATAACATAATTTACAAAATACCCTGCAATGACTGTGAATTGAGTCAACCATATAGGTCAAACGGGTAGATCGGGTGTAGTCAGATTATCGGAACATAAGAATTAAGCTAATGTGAGAATGGCTGACTCCCAGAAGATAAGTAATTTAGAAAACAGCTCAGCGATTGCCATGCATGCATTAACACACAACCACAAAATGGCATGCTGGAAGAGGGTTAAAATTATAAAAAGTAATCTAGGTAGGTGGAGAGAGAGGTTGATTACTGAATCCTTGTTCATCGAGTCTACACCAAACACATGCAATAGGATTGATTCATCACTCATCCCCAAAAAATATGGAAAATACTATTACCAGTCAAATCAAGTGAAAATCAAGCGATGGAAAATAATGGAACTATATAAATGAAGTTAGGAAGTCGTGTGAGTAGGTGCCTTGATATGATTATGAGTGGCAATAAATTGTGCTCGAAACGTGGTCATCAGTAAACATTACTGTATAACACTGTGAGACTTTATCAAGACAAAAATTTACCCAGAATGGAACAACACATTGGTTCTCGAACTGATGTCAGCTCATGATGAAATCCTCCATACATTGGGAAATGTAGGAAATTTTGTTCAGACGGCATCATCTGGCGCTATGCAAATATCAGGTGCTTGTCTTGGCTTATTCAGCTTCTTTCATCTATAAAACTCAAACACTACAGTAGCAAATAGAATAGTACAATATTAGGAAGGAATATATTCAGCTTCACCCCATTCCCGTTATTATTCATAGGAAGTTAACTCAAATTTGGTTGGAATCAAATAACGGAAACACAATCAGAATTACAAAGTCCCCTTCCGGTTTACTCTTCTTTCTCTTTAGTGGTGAATGGTGACTAGCCGTGGAACATAGAGTGTGTGTTTCATCCTGTTTGGGACTCGTCAACTAGATGTATCTGCAATAGCTAATGAATGATGGTGTCCCTACTAAGACTGGAAATGATCACTGAATCTTTCGGAAGAAATTAACTTAGGGAAATAATAACTGGTACCCTTTGCACAAGAAGTGGTTTTCGTAACCCAAGTGGCCTAGTGAATAACGCTATGGCATTTGAAACTATGGATACTGGATTCTTATCTCATTGGAAACGCTATAATTCGCGAGAGATTGCACAAACATCTAAACGACGACATGCATATCCTGGAATCCACTGCTAGTCACTATTCATAAAGTATCATCATTCATGTTAGGAGGTGATATATCAACAGAGGTTGAACATTTCGGTAGAATCAATCAACACATACGAATCAAAGTGACTAAAAAAATAATGGATTATTTTTCAATGTCACGTTCAAATACAGTTTGTCTTCAGGAGCTGTTTAAAAACGTTTTAGAGGGAAAAGAACAAGAAGTTCAGCAAAGATATATCTTTTCGACGATTTCATTCTCAAAAGTAGCTGTACAATAGCATTTATATACATAAGTTTACATAGTTGCAATTATTATTTAATTCTATATAGCAACGAAGCAGACTAAGGGTAATAATAATTTCCAACTTGACATGAAAGTTTGAAGATGTGGGAATATAGATTACAAGGGTGTGAGAGACAAGATTACATGCAATTAGAAAACAGTTATAATGTATGTAAAATTAATATTTGATAACTGAAGGAATATTTTGAACTTTAACCTGGTATGAAAGCTTGAAGGTGTGAATATGGATTACAAGGGCCTTGAAAACAAAGTTATACAAGATTAGAAAAACTTTTTTTAACGACTAAGGGTAAGCGCAGGATGGGCATGGGAACTAGTTGAAAGAATAATATTTTAAAAAAGTGAAAAAGAGGACACATAGGGGATGAAAAACCGGGCCATAAGGCGACAAACTGAACTAGATTCATGGTAAATGTAGTGGTTGGACCACTTTCTTTCGAACACATATATCCGGTTTTTCGAGACATATGGGGAGGGCGTTTGCAGTACAAAGAAGTCGGAGACACACTGTCTTTGTGACTCTGAATGATGAGACGTTTGAGATGCTGTGATAATTGTTGACGAAGTGTTCACTTATGGCGCCCTTGATTGAAACAGAACCTTTTCTTTGTTGCCATGCTGGATAACGTTCTCTAATACGCCTTGATACAACCCGGATAAAACAACTTATGTATCCAGCTCTAGATGAGCAGATGAACTGATAGATCCACATTGAAGTGGTCATATTATGTGGAAGCCTACCCTTCACATTACCTCGAAGCAGTTAGTGGTTGCAGAATATCACTCTTAAAGTCACTGCAGTAAAAGTTTTCTTCAAGAAACTGGAGATTCTCCTCTTACAAATATCTGCTGCTAGATCTCTCCTGAATTTCAGATTCAAATATAGTGTTTTCTTTGGCACCAAAGTTCATTCTTCCCTTTTTTATCTTAGGTTTTATGTTCTTCTCAGTTTTGATGCAGCATGTGTTTTGTCAAACATATCGCAAAAAGCATCAGGATTCTATGTGTTATGACATCTTCCTCACGTGTATTAATAGTTTAAATACGGTTATTTATGACATATTGAAACTTTTAAGGCAGAATATGCCACTTAGATCAATCTTGAGGGTTCGATATAAGTTTATTTCTACTTTTTTTTCTAATTTTACAGACATTTAACAAACAAAAGCAATATTTTATAGACAAAACACCATCCAAGTACCAATCTGCCGGATCTTATGAATCAAATCAAAAACATATTATGACTACATCTAATTTTATACATGCAGTTGAACCAATTTCATTCAATTCACATAGAGAAGTAATGGAGACACATTTAAGTCCACCACTTGCGAAACAATCCAGTTTATTCCATCATCAAAATAAAATTTCAGATTTCAATCTACCCAGAAATGTTGATGAAACAGAGACAAACGGAGTACAACTGACTGATCAAAACAGACAGATCAATATTAAAAAAACAGGTTTAAACGCAATTAACTATGAAAACCAAAACGATAAAGTGTCTGTGAGAGATTATGCGAATGAATGTTCTGAAAATTATTTCTATAGTACAGACAACTATACTGATCCAAATAAATACGTCATACAACCTAATCATTCATCTAATTTAGAAGTTTCGCCTAGTGAAAATGATCTAGATGATGAGTTGGAAGTATTTAAACAAACTGTCGACATAACTGTTTCAAAGAATGCACAGAAAAACAATCTTCGTGCTCAGAATAACAGTAGTCCACAATTTCAATTAGATTTACCAATCTGTATGAGAAAACAAAATCAGCTTAAAATAGATCAGTGGGAAAATATTGATCCGATTAATTTTGAAGTGGTTAGTCCATTCAAATTGAAAAAAATTATAAAATAATATATTTTTTAGTTGGTGGATGGTGACTAGCAGTGGAATTCAGGAGGCTTATTTCGCTCCATTCGGCAGTCGTCATTTGAATGTGCCTGCATTCCCCAGAGAGTGATGGCGTTCCTACCAAGATTCGAACCCAGTGCTCTTAGTTTCACACGCCAAAGCGTTATTCACTGGATCACTTAGGTCACGAAAGCCACCTCTTGTGCAACCGGTATTATTAATTATTTAATCGAGCCTCGGTGGGAACATCATCACTCACTGCGGAATGCAAGTACATCCATCTGAAGAGTCCCAAATATGACCAGAATGCGCATCCTGGATTATACTGCTAATTACCATCCACAAATTAAATTCTGATCACATGCTCAGACATCGTCGAAGCATCTGTACAAGATGCCGACATGTCAACTTTAGACCGAGCACTTTGGTCCGATCGATAGACGGGAAAATCTAAGGGTTACTTATATTTTTACGAGTTGATCACGGATTGATCCACTGAAAACCAGCACTGGATAACTGGACAGCTGTTTCATCCAACTAGTTTGGGAATCATCGGTAGTGGGTGTGTACTATATCATATCAAGGTGATATGATTATGAGCAGTAATTTGTGTTCGAAACGTCATCAGTTAATATTCCTGTATAAAACTATTTGATTTTATAAAAATGAAATTCTATCCATAATGGAGTTATACTCTACCACAGTGTCCACGTTTTATCCATATAAACCCAACAATACTGCGATAAATGATGTAATTCAGATTATTGCTTTACACGTAAACTGTGTATGAAGAGGAAATTATTTGGACCTAAATAAGCTGACAATTTCTGTTTTATACGTTCACATATTGTCTGAAATAAAACTTTACGGTTATTAATATTATTATCTATCCGCCACTATACTAAGCATGACCATTCATACTACACAACACACAGATTAAGTGATTAGACTGATTTCCACGAAATGGAATTTGTTCTACTTAGAAGAGAGCCAATCGACTCTTTCTTGCATTTTGTGAATGTATTTTTAACATTGGAGTTTGAATGCATGAAATCAACCTTCATATGGATGCCCAAACAAGTAAATAACAACTAAGTAGTCTATTACTAAGTTTGTCGTATTTCACAAATGTTTACTTTTAGCCTAGAAAATGATATAATCATTAATACACTGGTGGTTTGTTCTAATGAGCTTCCTACCTACGAGCCTACTGTTATGGCCACGATAAGCAACTACAGCAAACGACACGATACAATACCACCTCGCAAGAAGACAAATCGTTGACGAAGAGAGCTTAAACCGTTTCGAATCAACTTCAAAAGGGGTTGAAAATAATTGCGTATATATTTTCAAGATTTGAATTGTAGGGATTGAATTTGTTCTTCGAGTTTGACCATTGAATTGGGTCCCAGTGGCTGAATGATTCGAACCCTACCGGTGGATGCGTACTGCCGATGATTCCGAAACTAGGATGAAACAGATGTCCAGCACTCCCTCGTTCTCAGTGGTTCCCTAACTGATAAATATATTAATTAAAACAATTAGTCCCTTTGATAAATTTGAACAAGGCATTAAGAAGACAAATTTCGCGAGATGATATCGTCATTTCGTAGTTTCTTCACAACCGCTTTACAACTAACATGGTTAACAATGATAAAACAAAGTTCATGAAAATTACTCAGTTAAATAAAAACAAAAGTACATACTAATGACCAATCATATTTAGATAGGTCATGTTGTGGGAGTCATGTAGTCCAGGGTAGGCGAAGATTGAAGTCTATTGATTTTTGTACACACAGTTTAGGCTGTATGTGATTAATCCAAAGTGCTTCCATCACCTTCAATAACCAACCTTAAATTAGAGTTATGTGAAATAATTGTGAGACAGTCATTAATTGATATTGATTTTGTGACCAGACATTAATAAGTGTTTTGCAATGGATGATGCTGGATTTCTATTAAGATTAATCGCGTTAGGATTTTCGATATGATTTACTAGACATTTCGGAACATGTTCTTTTCGACGACATTGGAACATTCTGTTAGTTCTACCTATATAGGTGTCACCGCAGCTGCAGGTGATCTTGTAGATACAGTTTGAAGTAGAGTCCACAGAATTTTGTCCTTTAATCTTAGGTACAGGGATCGAAAATGTTCGGCGAATGAGAAAAAGAGATGTTGCGGCGTAGAATGTGCGATTGATGGCTGACTGAAGTCTTTGAGCTGTCAACTGCATAATCTGGTCGCCCTTGAATGGTAGATTAATAAAGATAGCTTTCTTTGATAAATATATGCTTTAAACGACCTTAGGAAACACTAATTACATTGATAGGCTAAGACAGTGAACAGCCAATAGGCTTCCAACGTCACAAGTGGGGTGGAAGAATGGAAACGGCAATATACTGGAAAGATAAATATAGCTCCTTAGAAAAATTAAGTTTATATAACAAAAAGAAAGTTACTGGAATGACTACCCTTTGAATAATTATTGTGACCATGTCAATGTATTCGGTTTGGAATAGTATACTCATATACACTACTAAATAAAAATGCCAGTTTTTTTAGGAATTAATACATGTTTGTGGGCAGTTTCTGTAATTGGACGAAAAATCTATTCAACTATTTAAATTTTTAATTAATTTTCTGTCCAGTAAAAGTTATAATATAACTTCATGAAGTGATTTCTTTCAAAGTACACATACTTTCGCTTCTATCTTTTTTCTTTAAACATCTAAACAGATTCTTGATAAATGCGTGAATTTAAAAGTTCTTAGTGATGTTCAATTTCTTCAGTTGTTTGAAAAGAAATGTGACACAGTTAACTCTGACAGCCCCAGCTCTATTCCTTCACTAAAACAAGGCTATCCTATCTCAGAATCACTAATAAATAAAACATCAAGTTATACATGTGGGCCACATTTCCATAGATGTGATCACAGTTCAAATTCTGAAAATTCAGTTACCCTTCAGCCTTCTGAACAATCACCTATAGCACCAATCACAATTCGATCTGATTCTTACAAACAATCCTCATTTTCTACACTTAAACCACCGAATCCTCCCAGTATGAAAACTGATAAACTATTATCTCAGTTATCTGGTTTTATTCCACCATTTGAAACAAGATCTCGAGCATCAAATGAACCATCTACAGTAAGATTTGAGATACCAAAAGTAATCAAAGATCCAAAATATAAACAGCCATCTCCTGGTCCAAGTTTACTAAGAAATAAGAGAAATGGAAGGAAGCATTATCGAGCCAGAGTGTTTGTAGATTTCAAACATTCGTCAAATGAAAAACTCCAATCACCGAATCCAATGTCATCGTCTCAATGTATTCAAAATAATTTAATAGCTCATTCTACTAAATGCAGTGTGAAAGAAAGATCCTTTAATATGATTCCTAACACAGATACTTTTGGTGCACAGAATTCTTTGCATTACCTGTCACCATACTGTCTAAAAAATGAAAATGATTATCTAATAAGTTACATGTTGGTAAGTTTCTCTTCCAAGGCATAATTTCAGGTCATCACTAAAAACAGCTAAAATTAAAATGATGAGAAATATGTCTTATGAATAATAATATTATATAATGGGAATGATTGGTACTACCATGACTTAGGGGCTGGCATATTTCTACGGCCCAACAGCATGTTCTGGCTGGAACGAATGTTCTTATAAGCTCATACATGCAACAAAAGTTTTTGGGATAGTACTTAAACCATTAGCAGTTATTAGAAAAGTTCAAGTTGCCTGCACTCTGAATGTAGTCGGAGGGCAAGCATTCCACTAACGAAAGCAGTAAGGGGTTTTCTTTCAACAACCAATGAATCCGCTTGGCTTTCTTTCTTTTTTGAGAACAGCGATGGGCTGGAAAGAAGAAAATCCACCGCCTAAGTGAAACTGTAATACAGGAGTAGAATTCAGGAACTTATTATTTCATATTTTGATTGTAGCTTGATTCCACACAGCATTTTGGTACAAGTATGAAATTTTCAGCATGTGATATCTGTAGCCTAAATTTTGCAGGCCGACCACTGATATAAGGTGGGCATCGGTAGGGTGCCAAACCCCGGACCATGTGCATAGTCGGCGAGATTCCTTACCTCTGTGCCACCGAATAGACTTCCATAATAGATAAGCGATAAATTAGAGTATTCGTGTATATAAGAAGCAAGTTTGATAGCTTTTGTGAACACAGTAACATATTAATGAGCAACAAACAGTGCTCAAAACCTTATCCAGCTCTTAGCGATATCACTACATGCTGTTTCAAGTGAAAATATATGCAACTGGATCGCAACATACAGTCGTCTATGTTGTGACATTGCGTGTCCTTAGCAGTAGGAAACATTTCGCGATAGCTATAGATTTCTTTTCGTAATATCTACTTAAACGCCTTATTTAAATGAATTTTACGAGATTTCTAGTTTGCTGTGAAAAATGAAACTCTCGTTGTCAACAAAAAACTAGCGATTTAACAAATTTAATTAAAAAGCAGTCAGCTGAGAAGCTTAAAGACGCCTATGACTTTATGAGATCTTGAAGCCCGCACTTAGACAGGTGTTATCTAACCACTTATCATGAGAATGAAGGCAATGCTTATTCTAAAGAACCTCAGTATCCAATCAATTTTTGATTGAAAACAGTGATCAAAACATTACATAAGATGTAGACAGAAGTTAGTGAATATCCTCTGACTTATGTTTTTTCATCTAAAGTGGATATTGCAAGGAAAATGATTCTAATGGACTCCAAACACAATGAGCGTGTTCCGCTCAAAAGCAAATTTAGAAGATTAAAAGAAGGCTAAGCAAGGAATATTTTTTCTGATGAAAGCCTCGTTTGGTTTTACAATTACATATGTATATATTATTACATCCTTTAATTCCCAGAGGAACATAAAGATTCAGCCGCCCAAGTCTCCATTGTCTTCGGTTTTCTCCCAACTCTTTCACTCCGCTCCAAGTCTGTCCACATGCTTTCATCTCCTCCTCACATGACCTCCTCTAAGTCACCCTTGGACGACCAACTCGCCGCTTCCCTGTCGGGTTCCACTCGAGCAATGGCTTGTCTAGTGATGTCACTTGATGGTTTCCTCAGCGTATGGCCAATCCATCTCCATTTCTTCCTACATATTTGTTTCACAATCGGTTCCTGATTGACTCGCTCCCAGAGATCCCTCACTATAGCTGATCTTTTCTAGCCATCTGATCTTGAGTACTGAGCGAAGACAACTGTTGATGAAGGTTTGAAGTTTGTTTGAGATGCTCTTTATGACGCGCAGTGCAAGTCTCTGATCCGTATGTTAGGTGGCACTGACTTCACATCGGAGTTGAAAATCCGGATCTTATTTTTGATGCTGAGTGCTGTTGACTTCCACACAGACTTAAGAATGATGAAAGCTTATCTTGCATTTCCGATTTTGGCTTTGATATCCTCGTCAGCAACCTCGCCAGATACTAGCTTGCTAGGCTACTAGCTTACTAGTTTTCTCGCCGGTCCCAAGCCCGGGTAAAGAGGGAGGGTTGGGGCGTGGTGCTAGCAACTCCACCCCTGTAAAACAACCAAATCGCTACAGAAACTTCAACGAATAAATATATTAAAAATTCTAAAAACATAAGCAATAGCCTTACTTTTCGCTGGAATCGGGGAAGTGAAATGACGCAGGCTGGTGAAAGCCTTCGGGAAGCCAGTCAGCCGATGTGCCTTCTTTCGATGAAAGCAAAAGTAAGGATGGGTACCTGGAATGTTCGCACAATGTACGAAACTGGAAAGGCTGCCCAGATAGCCGCTGAAATGAGAAGGTACAGAATAGAAGTGTTGGGAATCTGCGAGAGCAGATGGAACGGAACTGGAAGGTGCCAACTACCTACTGGAGAGACAGTAATCTATTCCGGCCACCTAGAGGACAACCATGAGCACACCGAGGGAGTGGCCATCATGATGTCACCAACAGCAGCCAAAGCTCTCATGCAGTGGGAACCAATCTCCTCCAGGATAATGACAGCCAGGTTCAACTCAAAAGGAAGGAAAGTTACAGTCATTCAATGTTATGCGCCTACAAACGTCTCAGAACAAGAGAAGAAGGAGGCGTTCTACAGACAACTACAAACAATAATGGACAACGTCCCAAATGGCGATATCAAAATCCTGATGGGCGACATGAATGCGAAGCTGGGAGGAGACAACACAGGAAGAGAACTCACCATGGGTCGTGAGGCCCTCGGTGAAATGAACGACAATGGTGAACTCTTCTCAGACTTCTGCGCCTTCAATGATTTGGTGATTGGCAGTAGTGTGTTCAAACACAAGGATATACACAAGACGACATGGATTTCACCAGATGGAAACACCAAGAATCAAATAGACTTCATCTCAATTTCAAGAAAGTGGAGACGGAGCCTACTGGACACAAGGTCAAGGAGAGGAGCAGATGTGGGTTCAGACCACTATCTAGTAGAAGGGACTTTCAAGGTGAAACTAAAAGCCTCGAGGATAGCTGGGGATAGGCCACAATGCAAGTTCAACACTCAGAAACTGAAGGACACAACCACAAAAGACACTTTCACTGCAACTGTCAGAGCAAAGCAGGAAACACTACGCGACAGCACTGAAGAATCATGCGTGGAAGAACATTGGAAGTCTCTGAAGGCGATTCTCAACGAAACGTGTTCAACGGTTCTAGGAAGAAAGAAGAGACAAGACAAGGAATGGCTCTCAACGGACACTTGGAAATTAATAGAAGAGAGGAGAATGGTGAAAGAGAAAATGATTCAATGCAAGGACGGACAGGAGAAGGAGACGATGAGCTCAACTTACAAAGCATTGGACAAAGAAGTGAAGAAAAGTGCTAGGAAGGACAAAAGACGATTCTACGACAATCTAGCTACTGAAGCTGAAAAGGCAGCAGGCAAAAGGGACCTGAGGACACTATATCAGATAACCAAATCTCTATCCGGGAAGAGATCAACACAAGCGAAACCTATAAAAGACAGCCAAGGGAACGCAATTACCAAGGAAGAAAAACAGATTAAACAATGGGCGGATCACTTCAAAGGACTCTTGAACCGACCATCACCTGCAACCCGTCCAGAAATACCAACAACAGCGCGCACACAACTGCAAGTTGACACCAATCCTCCAACAAGAGCTGAAGTCTTGAATGCAATCAAGCTTCTGAAAGCTGGAAAAACAGCCGGACCAGATGGAATACCCCTGAAGGCAATGAAAGCGGACCCAGAGACTACAGCAGACATGCTGACTCCATTATTGCAAAAGGTCTGGAAGGAGGGAAAGGTGCCTACTGACTGGAGGAAAGGTTACCTCGTGAAACTACCAAAGAAGGGCGACTTACGCCACTCTGCAAGAACTGGCGAGGAATCATGCTCCTATCGACGCCAAGTAAAATCCTGAGTCGCATCATCCTGGAGAGATTAAAGGACGCACTGGAGACAGAACTCCGACCAGAACAAGCTGGATTCAGGAAAGGCAAATCATGTACTGACCAAATTGCAACTCTACGCATCATCATCGAACAAAGCATGGAATGGCAATCAAACCTCTACCTCAACTTTATAGACTTTGAGAAGGCCTTCGACAGCGTTGACCGTGAAGTAATTTGGAAATTACTCGAGTACTATGGCGTACCCCAAATATTCATCAACCTTATTCAACAGCTGTACGACAACGGCACCTGCCAAGTGATCCACAACGGAAGACTCAGCGAGGCGTTTGGAGTAAACACAGGAGTCAGACAAGGGTGCTTATTATCACCAATGATATTCCTAATTGTGGTGACTGACTGGATTATGCGTCAGACAGTGGGAAACGAGAAGACAGGAATATCCTGGACCGACGTGAAGAACCTAGAAGACCTGGATTTCGCGCGTGGATGATTTATGTTTGATGTCACACAAAATCGAAGACTTACAAGCGAAAACCGACAAACTGGTCGAAGAAGCAGCAAAGACAGGACTCCAGGTGAACATAGACAAGACGGAGGTTATGAAAATAACCAACCAACAACAGCAGCAACATCCAACGTCAATCACCATCAACGGGAGGGATTTGAAAGAGGTTACTTCATTCACTTATCTAGGGAGCATTGTCTCAACTACAGGAGGAGCGGACGAGGATGTCAAATCGAGAATCGGGAAGGCGAGAAACACATTCATCAGCCTGAAATCAATCTGGAAATCTTCGTCACTCAGCATCAACAACAAAATTCGGATTTTCAATACAAACGTAAAGTCAGTTCTTCTATACGGATCAGAAACTTGGCGGGGGTCACAAAGAATATTTCCAAAAGGCTGCAGACCTTTATTAACAACTGTCTTCGCTCAATACTGAAGATCAGATGGCCGGAAAGAATCACCAACAAGGAATTATGGGAACAAAAAAAGCAAGAACCAATCGCCCAACAAATATGCAGGAGAAAGTGGAGATGGATCGGACACTCGCTGAGGAGACCGCTGGGTGACATCGCGCGCCAAGCCCTCGAGTGGAACCCGAAAGGGAAGCGGCGTGTGGGACGTCCAAGGGTGACATGGAGGAGATCGTGTGAAGAGGAGTTGAAAGAATATGGATTAACATGGATGCAGGCGAAAAGTATAGCAGAAGACAGAAGAAAATGGAGACGTGCAGTTGAAGCCCTATGTTCCACTAGGAACCCAAGGGAGCAATAATAATAATCCTCGTCAGCTCCGCCTGTGGTTGAAACGATGCTTCCCAGGTAGGTGAAGAAGGTTGTTTCTATCAGGTTCCTCCCATTTATGCTGATTGTTGTCTGTTGTTGCTGTTGGCCAGGAATCTAGTTTGCAAACGTAAAACTGAAGTGTTTATGAAGACACAGTGAACTTCTGCCGCAATATATGTATATATTTATACAATATTCAAAGAGTAATTGTCAATGACAACACTGATACCAATCGCGTAGCTCAACAGAAAATACAGTTTAAAGGCTTTTATAAGTGGTAGTATGCCTGAGGATATAATACTAAATTGAATGTCAGGTTAAATTAAGAGAAAAGGTAAAGATCGTTAAAATGGCTTAGGTTAGAAATGAAATAGTCGGATTTTTCCGATTCAGTAAGGATAACCGAGTTTAGAAAAGAGTCTGTACGAGTTTATTTTCATTGTAACTTCAGCTTCTATAGGTGAATTCTAACATCTTCAGCTATGTATAAAAGATAAACTTTTAAGGTAGAATTAAGATTAGTCGGAATACATTGGATAATTTCAAATGCTTTTACGTTCATTATCTATAAGATGGACTTAAACTGAGCTACGAATAGACCATTTTTGTTTTTTTGGTTAACCACACAGAATTGGGATGAGAAACCCAATGATCATCATCTTTAATTTTACGTCTGGTGGATTTGGCTCCACAAAAGAAGTCAGACTAGTGGGTGAACTTAGATGGAGAGAAGTTGGGTGGTTTATCTCTAATTTGCAAACGTAAAATTGAAGTGGTTATGAAGACACGGTGAACTGCAGCAATAAATACTATTTTTAATGCATCCTCTAAGTGTTGTGTTATTATTGCACTTATGTTATCACCAGGGAACTTATTGATAACATAATTTTTTGCTTAACCTTTTTTGTCATCTAAATGTCTGATTGAGGATTTTTTCTACATTGAAAAGCAGGTTTACTAGATGTTGCCACAAAGTCAGCGAATCATAGCATTCATTTCACCATTATCGAATAAAATCCGCCATTTTGTAGTAAAAAGTTTCCTTCATTGTTTAAAACTTATTCCACTCTCTTTAGATTAGTCTTTGTCTGTTCTGTGTTCTTGTACATTGGCTTTTAAGTAAAATACAAACTACCATCGCTTTCTGGGATACATCATACTAAATACTGCTTATACCTACTGTTTTAAGTAGTAGACATCATAGTGTTTACTTTGTAGAAATAGATGCATTAAATTAAAAATGTTCGTAAGCTCATTAATTGTCAGTATTCTTTAAAGCAATAGCTATTCTCAAGCAGGATCCATTATTCTCATTAAGGATGATTTTTTGAATATTTTAGAATAGTTGTGAGTGCAGGGAAGAGTTCTGCGGAAGTGGTGTGCCTAACCCTACCAGCAATCGGCTAAGTGCGACGTTTAACCGACAATATACACTGTCATACTATTTATACGAATGCCCACCTGACATGAAAACAATCACTGGAAATAGTGAACAAGTAAGTTCTTCGGAATTTCTATTCAAACCACCGTAGTGTATTAATGAACGTTTCTTCAGATTGAGGTAGCGATTAAAACTAAGGCAAAAACACCTGACTATCTAACACAGAACTTGACATATATACGTAAGGAAAATTCACAACTGAGTATATAAAACGATTCCTCAGTCTAGAGTACGTCTGTGATGGAGTGGTTTTCGCTGACGGCCCTGATAATATGCTGATATCTCAAGCGCGTTTAATTTCTTTTGTAAAACACAACATAATCGAGCAAAGAATATTCTTTTCAATAAATTCCTCTTCTGGCTCTACAATTATATACATGTTTATATACACAGAATATTCAAGGTTGGTAGTTAATAACAATATTAGTGTTTTTTAAATAATATCGATTTGTAAAGCAAGATCAATGCAATTACAGTTCACTAAAAATACTTAAATTATAATAGTAATAAAGATATAATAGCGAGTAGGATATCAACTAAAATTAGGAAATTTTCACGAAAATTGAGAATCATTCAAATCTAGATGGCCAAGGTAGGGACAGCGTCTGAACTAACTTCTTTTGGACGCACAAATTAGGCTTTTTAATGTGGATCCCAACAGCCTCAGCAGTATTTAGTAATCGAACTCTTAAGGCGAAGTTGAGATTTGTTGGTATCCGATAAATAACTCTGAAAGCTTGATTAACATCAATCCTATGTTCTGTATCCACCAGATGAGCCAAAATAGCGCTACGGATAGATTTTGTTTGGCCTTTGCTTAACCACGCAGGGTGATGTTCGGAAATTCGACGAGAAACACGCCTAATTGTGCGGCCTATGTAACTGGCTCCACAGGAGCAGTTAAATTGGTAGATACACATGGATGAGGCGAAATTAGGCAGTTTGTCTTTTACTCCCGAACGCAGAAGAGTAGTAGTCTTAAAGATACAACGTAATTCAGCAGCAGGGAATGCTCGTTTTACCGCGTTTCTAATACGCTGTGTTATTATCTCGCTAGTGTTGTCCCCAAGGAACTGCATCTGAAAGAATAAGGCCTTTTTTGGAACTGTTGGTAACTTCGGCTGCTTTGGTTTCAAATTCATATTCTTATCGATAAACTTTTCAGGATAACCATTCTCACTTAGCAACCGTTTAATATTATTCAGTTCTTCATCAAGACATTCGTCCGAGCAAATCGCTCTTGCTCTGTGAACCAGGCACTTTATCAAATTGCGTTTGTATTTCAAGGGCACAAAACTGAGAAAATGTGTGTACTGGCCCGTTGATGTAGGTTTTCTATATACACTTCTTCTTATTGAGCCATCCTCTTTTCTGGTATTATTATTATTATTAGTTTTTAGGTTAATTTTAATTTATCCTCTCGGTGACTTTTATGGCCCTATATGTTGGTGAATAACCCTATGGTGTTAGAAATGATGGGTACAGGATCTGAGTTCCAGTGGGAACACCATCGTTTACTGTGGATTGTATATACGTCCGACCGACAAATTCCAAAATAGGACAAATTGTACATTCTAAAATTCCATTGCTGTTGACTATCCACAAAATATAGTCATGTTAATCCCCAGAAATCCTCGAAGAGTTTATATTAGGAACTAGCTGATCAAGCGATGCCAGACATTTTGACCCAACCAATCGTTGGAAAAGACAAAACTGACTTGCAGAAATTTATATTAGTTAGTTAATCAAATATTTCTTATAATGAAGCATCATTCTCCCATATTTCATGTGTCGAATACAAGCTTTATTTTTACTCACAATCGTATAGAAACTTTAATTCCATTGAGAACAATAAACTGTATTCCAAATACTATACAGTGAATAATACTCTCCCACTTTACTATATATCACTTAAGTGAAGCTATATACAGCAGCATAGATTAGAATACAGTTTCCGTTTGAGAAGTATGTAACTATTGTGCATCAAAAATCCAAGGAGTTGTCATGTAAATATATAATTGTTTGCCTTTGATTTGATTCTAAAATATACTTAATTAACAATACTAATTAATGGCTTATTCTTCCTATAGACACAAAAGTTAATCCCATCATGCATGGGCTACTATAATAATGAAACATTTACAGAACAGCTACTAAATGTTCTTTCAATGTTGCATGAAATAGCCAATTTTAAGTTTAAAAATCACATGCAAGATTTAATTGGATATCAGGAGACAAGTGAAACACTAAGCAAAGGCTGTTGTGGAGTAAACTATGAATACCATGACGAACAAGACTGTTATGACTACCATTCGCGGCTAGAGAGAATTACAGAACAATTTTATTCATATCGTTTAAATATGAAAATAAATTCATACTGTAAAGATATATGGTCTGTTTTATCTCAAAATTGTTGGTCAGCTGGACAACACAATCAAAATTCTCATCTACTTTCAACTTGTGACATATGTCAATGGATATATATTTTATGTACAAGGTATAATTTTATTATTCCACTTGAAACTCGTCTACAATTTTGGAAAGTCTCATGTCGAGGGACGAGCAGGTAAATTTTTACTTTAGAAAAATTGGGGTTTTTGATGTTTTAACGAAAGAAAAGTAGCATTCATTACTCATATCTTAGTTGAGTTAGGTTATGTTCCACAAACATTTCATAGGACGTCTGAACACTTACAACTTATGTGGAATTTGATATAACACACCATTTTAGATGAAGTGAATATCTTTGCCTTCAGATTAAGTATATTCTGTGTAGCCAAGTAATGCTTTAAATGTTCTTGTTTAAGTGAATAATAATTTTTACGAGTTAATCACAGATTGATATCAGTTACAGAACCACTGAAAACAGACACCATAGTACTGGACAGCCGTTTCATCCTAGTTGGGGGATCATCGGAAATACGCAACCACCGCCAGAATTACAATCTAGGACCTTCCGGTTACAAGTGAAGTTCGTATACCATTCAGCCACTGGGACCCGATTCAATGGCCAACTCATGAATTCTAACTTCTACCAATTCATGATTTAGTGTGACCACCAACCAATGTCATCAGTGGGACACCCATCCTCGCACTCGACTGGATGAACCTCACTGGTCATGACTTCTCAATAGAAGTGGGTTCAAGTCCTGGTGGTGAATGCGTACTGCCGATGATTCCCAAACTAGGATGAAACAGATGTCCCTTACTTCAATGCTGGTTCTCAATGGTTCTCTAACTGATATCAATCTGTGATCAACTCGTAAAAACAAAAATAATTCTTGCAAACCAAGTATAGAAAATGAATAATATTTAAATGTTGGTTGTTTAAAATCTCTACCATGATAACTATTCACTATCGATCGAATTTTTGGCTCAAAGATGCATTTACTGGAGTTTCAGTGGGAAGTTTTAACTGGCAAGGTTTTTTACTAGGTTGATTATGTGGATTGATACTCATCCAGGAAGTAGGATTGTGATGGGTCTTTGTTATAAACTGACAGAAGTTAGAACTTATTGGTTGTGTGGTGAAATTTTAGTCTCGGTATATCACTATGAAAAAGTATCATCTACTGGATGTTACAAGCACAGTTTATTGTTCATGATCGTCTCAATAGGTTGCATATCGTACATATATCACCATGGTGTCAAAGTTTCATGCTTGATTCCCATCAGGGTGATAGGACCGCATGAAGAAAAAATTTCAAACATGGACAAAATATCTGTGTAGTGGTCACTGGTGTTCAGTGTAGTCAAAAACATTGGCTTGTAAAGTGCTATCTGACGTAATCTTTTGTTTAGTATCCTAGTAATTTATGATAAGAAGAGGTTGATGGTTAGAGAGATGTCGCTAAAGCATTCACAATACATAGGATCATGAGTGACATAGACTTTGAAAATTATGTTATTTATTTGAATTCAGAACAAAATATTTAGAGCGAACAATTGTTTTCAATAAATTCTTCTTCAGGCTCTACAATTATAAATCCATTAATGTAAGCATACAATAGCCAGTAAAGGCGAATTAGAATCATATCAGAAAGTGTATTGTGGAACAAGTATAAGATGGGATGAAACAATAGTCATATAGTCATATAGTTTTTTAATATGCATGGTCAATAACAACATGGGACAGAATGAGATGAAATAATTTAATTTAATGATGTGTGTATATATGTAAATATAGTTAACAGAAAATACAGGTTTCAAGAGTGAGTGTAATCAGGGTGTGTGAGGCAATATGAAAATAAACCAACGAATGGGGCGGTCTAGACTTAAGTTCAAGGTTGAAAATAACAACAATAAGAATGATTGTAAAATAATAACGATGATATGGTGTAAAAGTGAAATTAAATGTACTATTGGTGAATGATTGTCAAATAATAATAATGAATATAATGAAGTGGAATGAACAGGATTTTGTAAATACGATAGTAAGTTAGAAAAGCACTATTTAAACCTAAGGTAATAAAATCATAAGAAAGGTCATGAAATCATAAAAGTCGAAAATGAACGTTTGTCAATGAAACAGAGGAATAGGAGAAGGAAAAGAAAAGAAAATCGTGAAAGGAATTTATAGTGTTAATGGAGGATTTGTTGGCTTTATTGTAGGCCAAGGTAAACATAGAGGTTGAACATACTTCTTCTGTATGCAGAGGGATGGTCTTCTGGTATTAATTGCAACTGCTTCAGCTACTGATAGAAGACGTAGTCGAGCTCCTCTAGATAAATTACTAGGAACGCGGTAAATAACTGAGAACGCTTGGTCAAGTTTTATCGGGTGTCCAGTATCTACCAAGTGGGCTAAGACTGCACTATTTATGCCTTTGGTTACTCCTTTACTCAACCATACAGGTACATGTTCACGTGCGCGCATGGATAAAGCCCTCTGAGTACGGCCAATATAACTAGCTCCACATGAGCAGTTGAATTCGTAGATGCACATTGATGAGGCCATCTTTGGTAATTTATCCTTTACTTGCTGTGTGAGTACTGGTTTAGTTGAGAAGTTTAGTACCAATTTAGCTGCGGGAAATGTTCTATCTATTGCTCTATTGAGTCGACACTTTAGAATGTCAGCTGCAATTTCCCCTTTGTAACTTAACTTAAGATACAAAGGTTTCTTGTCTACGGTATCCACCTTTACCCTGTCTATAGGTATTGACATATACTTTCTTAGGAAGCTCTGTGGATATCCATTCTCTTGCAGTGTGAGTTTTAGTTTATGCATTTCTTCCTTAATGCATTCCTCTGAGCATATTCGTTTTATTCTGTAGCTAAGACACTTAACTAAGTTTCTTTTATGCTGAATCGGTGTGAAACTATGGAAATGGGTGTACTGACCCGTCCAAGTTTTCTTTCTAAATAATTTCCTTTGTAGATATCCGTCTGTCTTCATGGTAAGTAGGACGTCTAGGAAAGGTAAACTGTTATTGTCTTCTTCTTCACATGTAAACTGAATAGTTGGGTGAACACTATTAACGGTATTCAGAAGCTCTTGTTTATTAAGATTTCTATTACAAACGATAAACGTATCATCTACGTATCGACAATAATAGTGAAGCCCTTTAATCGTGTCTTTGAGTGGACCATTTTCAAGCTTTGCCAGGAAAATATCCGCTAGCAAAGGGCCCAAAGGTGATCCCATGGCTACCCCATCAACTTGTCTATAAAAACCATTATTGAACATAAACTGAACATTCATAGTGCATTTCAATAATAATTCTTTGACCTTTTCGGGTGGGATTCCTACATCTATTTTCTTTTCTATCAGCTGGTCACATATGTAGTTGACTGTTTCAAGCAGTGGGACGTTGGTGAATAATGATGCTACATCCAGTGACATCATTTTCTTTCCCTTTACATTCAAGCTTTTGGTAGTTTCCACAAAGCTGAATACGTCTTTTACACTGAATTTCACTACTTCGCGATGTAGTGGTTCTAGTGCCTTTACCAACCACTTAGCTGTAGAATGATAAGGGGATTGGCACAAGACTTTACGCCGTCGATGTTCTTCCTCAAAACCTGAAGGATTTATTTATTAACTACGTTAATGAAGTTCTAAAAACTCGAGAAAGCAAGAAATTGATATTATTAACCAAAGGACTAGATACAGAAACGACTGAAACTCATTTTCCTATTGGCTATAACCGGTACTTTTTCAATTTTTCCTCTGTATGCTTAGATAAGACACAGCTTGAAGCCTTATCTCTCGGTTTAAAATTCTGTGACAGACGTAATCAGGTTGATCATTTAGAGACTGATGTCCAATTTGAAAACCTATTTGCCCAGACAAGCGACCTAACTCCTACGTCCAAGTATGAGCTAGAAGGATTTAAAAGTATCCTAATCGAGTTTTTTATTGTTGTTATTTTCAACCTTGAACTTAAGCCTAGACCGCCCCATTCGTTGGTTTATTTTCATATTGCCTCACACACCCTGATTACACTCACTCTTGAAACCTGTATTTTCTGTTAACTATATTTACATATATACACACATCATTAAATTAAATTATTTCATCTCATTCTGTCCCATGTTGTTATTGACCATGCATATTAAAAAACTATATGACTATATGACTATTGTTTCATCCCATCTTATACTTGTTCCACAATACACTTTCTGATATGATTCTAATTCGCCTTTACTGGCTATTGTATGCTTACATTAATGGATTTATAATTGTAGAGCCTGAAGAAGAATTTATTGAAAACAATTGTTCGCTCTAAATATTTTGTTCTGAATAAATTATGGAAATATTTAATGTTTTTGTATTCCTTTGTGTTCTTAGTGGAACAAAGTGTCTGAAGCTTCAACTTTTAATTTTCAGTAGCATTGTTTTTATTTTAACTGATTGAGATCGCTAGTCTCTCACCGAACCATTGCTCTTTGTCAGGTTTGTTATCAGCTATGTGTAGTTTGGGAGTTGGTTGGCAGGGGATCGAATCCTCGACCACCTGAGTGGCTGGTGAGGCTTCTACCTCTGTTATACTGACGCACGACATAATATTAGGACGAATTTATTAACATGTGCTTGTATCGCCCAGGTATATGTCTTATACTGTCAGTTTAAGAGGGATATCATTTATAGTTGACAAGATCATATAATTGATCACGCGTAAGTGACTACAAAACTTTTGTAATTTTAGGGTCTGAGATACTTACCAGTGATTTAATCATATGGAAATTCTTATGTGAAATAAGATATGAAAAGGTGAACAACATAATTTGTACTTATACTGAAAAAATTAGTATTCTTCAGTGAAGCATAACTAATTTTAAAACAGATTACAGAACATCCTTGTAAAGAAACTGTTTCTGCATGAATTCTAACAGTTACTGGTATCTTCTGATTGGAAAGTAGTAGTAGTAGTAGTGGTGTAATGTGTCTAGTCCTTTTTTTCTTTGGTGCAGACTGAATTCTATCAGTCAAGTTTGCAATGTGGTTACCATTCTAGTTGGCTCACCATCAAGGTGAACTTTAGAATGTTGATATTACATAATTGGAGATAAACGTTGCAAACTTGACTGACAGAATTCAGTCTGCACCAAACAAAGGACTAGACACATCATGCTAGTTACTAGTGTCCAATCAAAATATCCACTACGGTCCTACAGGAAGTCGATCGCCAGCCCGAATAGCTCATTGGTAACGTCTCAGACTGCAGGAGGCACTGGGTGACGCAGGTTCGAATCTCAGACGGGAAATGAGTTCCTTCAAGGTTGTAGATACGCCTTGCTGACTGTTGAGTGCCAACTAGCACAGAACCTAGGTCCAACCGCTTCCTGATGATTGCCTTCAACAATCTAATATCAGTTACTGATATCATTAGTAAGTGTAACTGATTACATTAACATTTTAAAGTCAGAAAAATAAAAGCAATTCGTAGTGCTACATAGAAAATAATTACATCATATAATAGTACTCACTGACTAAGAGAGTTGAAATTTTGCTCCCTATGACGTCTTTCAAAAACACAATTTTCTGAATTCGTTTTAATTAATTGTTATTACAATTATCCTGGTGTTTTGTACTGATTCAACTCTCTCAAGAAAACCATTTAGGATACAATGAATTGATGAGTTTACAAACTAAATGACTGGAAGAGTCTTTCGGTTTGGCTTACTATCACAGAAAGTTGGTTTGAGTAGTTTTCAGCAGGTTAAAACCAATCAGTAGGAAATAATCACTGTTGTACTCTTGATTGTCAACTTGCTCCTAAATATATTTTGCATCACTGTACATACTTTGATAAGGAAACTTTGGTTTACATCACAAACTGTGTCATTCACATCATCGAACATGATTAAGCAAGGGACAAACAAGATCTATTCGTAGCTCTATTGTAGCCCATCTTGTAGATACTGAGCATAAGGTTGACGTTAATACTGCATTGAAAATTATTTATCGCATTCCTACTAATCTTAATTTTGCTTTACGAGTTCGTCTTCTACACACAGATGAAGCAATCGGAATTCACCTGAAGAAGCCAAGCCTATGTGTTCAGAAGAAATCTGTACAGCCACTTTCCTTACCGTGGCCATTGTTATAAGAATGCATAAACAGGACTACGTCACACCCCTCCCCCTAAACCTATAAAATTTATAATTGTCCAAATTATTTTATTTATTTTGACCACTTCATCTTTAATTACATGTTATCCTTGTAAAATTAATTTATTCTAACCATTTCTACCTTTTAAATATGTAATGATTTTCTTCGTTAATTATCACCCGATTGACATGTTGACACTGACTAATTATTGTTAACAAACATATCAGTGCCACTTGATTGGTAAAGTGTTGTGTATTGTAATAAAAATGCTGTACGTGCATATTACAGTAGAGTCAGAGATAAGAATCTAATTGGAAAGTAAATATTTCTTCACTCAATCTTTCTGTTTTCTAAATAGCTAATTGCCTTCGAAAGTCTGAAGAATCTATTATGATTCAGTATTTCGAGTAGTTAGCTACAATTTATTACATATATTCAAGAGTTGTCTTATAGAGATTTGATTCGTTTTAAGCATGATCACGAAATAATATAAGTTTGAAAAAGTCTGAAAACCAAAGAGTACTGGACAACTGTTTCACCCTAGTTTGCGACTCTTCATCACTACTTACGCGGCGGTGTTCGAACTCAGAACCTTCAGGTCACAAGGTGAGGTCATATGCATTTCAGCTACTGAAACTCAATCCAATGGTCCATGAATTCTAACTTCAACCAATTTGTGATTTATACGCGACCGCCAGAAAATGTTATCCCCCCCCCGAAAGTATTTGTCGTAACAGCCTACGATGAGGACCCAATTGTTCTACAACTCCCACTAAAACTCCCTGTCACATATTTATTCATTGACAAACAACATGAATCTTAAATCTTTTAAGATATCATCAAGTTATGATCACATGATGTAACACATAAGCAGAAATCAAAATTACATGGTGACACTAACTAATATTCAGATCTGTTCATTCTTAGCATGGAAAGGTTTATTGTGCTGCTGTTCAAACAACTCAGTTATTATGACTTCAGTGCATCCGTGGCACAGTGGTAGAATGTTCGGCAACCACGCCTCATGTGGTCCGAGGTTCGATCCCCGGCCATCGACACACCCCTTAACCTCGCTAAGCCAGTAATAAAAGTGGTAAAGAGGGAAGGTTGGGCATGAGGTTAAAAAAATAATCACCACTGCTATCTAAACTTCAAGCCTCTAGCTTAAATCCCCAAGGTTCTACTGGGAACGTAAAGGGATAAGAAAAATGACTACGGATCAAAATGGACTGTTCGTCTTTGTACACTATTTAGTGATAACTTACGTGATATATGTAACAGAGCTTAAGCTTTTAATAGTATATACAACTGACAAAGAGTCTCGAGTACTACATATAATTCACTGTGTTTATTTTTATAGGGCTATTGCATTCTTTCAGAAGCATATGGGTATCAATCGAGCGTTAGTTACTAACCAGCTCACAAATACTACGGAATCGCCATCCTTACCATATCGAACAGAAATGCAAAAACAATTACGCAGTGGACAAGTTAGTGAATTTGAAAATTCATTCTTATGGAGAGCATCAGTTGTATTGATGGCAAAGGAGAAAAATGATGGTAAGTTCTAATGAAACAGTCCTCTTTATTATCACAATGACCTTAGTAACTGTTATCTTTTTTTTGTAAGCAGAGACTTTCACTTGGGGCGTAATAATGATAATCATTTTAATATCGTCTTTGTTCAAATCAAATAGGCGTAAGGCTTCTGAAGTGACCGACAGTTATTCATATGAACTGTGATCAAGATTTGACCGGATACTTGCAAAATAATTGAGCGCTCAGTGAGAAGCAGACATTCATGAAATTATATTTGTAATATCTCAGCGAAATTGAAATGATTAATTCGAACGTTTCGTTCGGCAATCTGGTCCGAACTTCTTTAGGGAAATTGATCGAAATTAACATAACAAAGTTTATATATAAAAAGGACATCTCATTTTACGAGTTGATCACGGATTGATATCAGTTAGAGAACCATTGAAAACCAGGGAGTGCTGGACAGCTGCTGTTTCATCCTAGAAAAAGTACATCTCTTGTTTTAAACTGTTTGTCCTGTCATACGAATCAAGAAACAGCTATCAATAGGTATACCAAACAAAACAAGAATTGTATGATTCCATTATGGGTAAATTTTTGTTTTGATAAAGTCTCACAGTGTTATACAGTAATGTTTACTGATGACCACGTTTCGAGCACAATTTATTACCACTCATAATCATATCAAGGCACCTAATCACACGACTTCCTAACTTCATTTATATGGTTCCATTATTTTTCACTTGATTTGATTGGTATTAGTATTTTCCATATATTGGGTATGATTGATGAATCAATCCTATTGCATGTGTTTGATGTAGACTCGATGAACAAGGATTCAGTAATCAACCTCTCTCTCCACCTATCTAGATTACTTTTTAGAATTTTAACCCCCTCCCACCCCATTGTGTGGTTGTATGTTAATGCGTGAAGTGCAACTGCTGAATTTTTTTCTAAATTACTTATCTTCTCGGGGTCAACCATTCTTACCTTAGCTAAATTCTTATGTTCTGATAATCTGACTACCCCTGACCTACTAGTTTGACCTCTGTAGTTGACCTCACAATCATTGCAGGGTATTTTGTAAATTATGTTATTTTGTCTAATAAGGTCAGCTGGGTCCTTTAACCTACAGAGCTTGTCCCTGAGTGAGTTTGTAGTTTTAAATGCCACCCTAATTCCTGCTTTATTTAGAATCCTACGTAGGGTCTCAGATGTCCCCTCTTTATATGGTATAACTGTAGATGACATATTCTCTCTTATTTATGTTATTATTACTAGTTTCACAATTATTTTTATTTTTCGTTTGACCTTTTTTGATCTTCCTAATGGATTTTAAAGGATAGTTATGTAACACCAACGCCTCTTCTATCTGTTTTAGTTCATCATTTAGGTCTTTTCTTGCGCTACTTAGTGCTATGATCAAAAATTTGACCTCAGACTTTCAAAATTTGTCTACTCTTGTTAAAATATATGTGTGTATGCAATTTACAGTGGTGTGTGTATGTGTGTGTGGGTGAACAGTCACAAAACATTTGTTATTCTCATATGAGCTGTGATCAAGATTTGACCGGATAGTTACAAAATAATTGACATTTTTACAAATATAATATAATTTTTATAAATTTATTATTCTCTCCATAAGAAGACGTAGACAATCGGAAATTTGACCAAGTGTGACTAGTTGTTGATACATATCCAATTCTATTTATTAGTCAGGATTTGCCATGCATCAGCTAACATCACACCTTCACGTCTGTTTAAACTGTTGGGATTCACCCATATATGTAGGGCTTCTGCAGCCAGTCAGTCTTTCTTTAAATGAATCAAAACCTTTCTGTAAAACCTTAGTCTTATCAACGTCGATTTTGTGTCCCGTTTCTGTAGAATGCAGTGCAATCGCTGAGTCGTTTTCTAGCTTCTTCAAGTCTTCAGAGGTCTTTGGAACCGCCTTTAGACATTGTTTATGCTCTTTCACTCTTATATTTACCTGTCTGGAAGTTTTTCCTACGTATACTGCGTTACAATCCCCACAGTTGATCTGGTATACGCAATTCTGCTGATTTTATTGTTCTATTTTATCCTTAACCTTCACCAGTAATGAGAGTAAGGTGTTAGATGCACGAAAGTACACTATTATGTTATGGTCTAAACACCGGACGCTGTTTCGCTTCTTTTATGCCTTGTTCACCAGTGGTGGATCCATTCAGACTCAGCTGAAAGAGCTTAATCAGTTCAAACCACTCGAATTCTACCTGGGTACTTGGCAGACTAGTAATATTCCCATGTTTAGTCAGAACAAAAAGGCACAGACAACGAAGAAAATTTTCCTTCTCACTGTCTAAAGAAGACATTCCCAACAGATACCTTATGTATCACATTCTCCATCGGACAGTTAATCCGGTCTAATGTTAAGAACAAGATACCGCTTTTGGCCACTTCATTGTGTATTTATTAATTCACTTGCTCGTGTAGAGCAAAGTAGATCATCCATACGCAAAGTCAAGTCCACAAACGTGTTCTGGAACACTGTCCAGCTTCGTTGGCCACAGAAGTAAAGAAGAATAGCTGTAGCTCTATCTCGAATACCTTGTCAGCTCCGAACATCGAGCACCCCGTGAATGCCTCGCAGTGCTACACATAGTCCCTCGATATCGTACTAAGGGACTTTGCGTACGCCATCTGTACATAGCTGAAGCATTATCTATTCGGGATTCGAAACCGGACCGTATTTATAAGCGTAATGTACATTCACTTCCCCTACAGTTTCAAGAGTAAAGTTCTTATTATAATCTTGCTTCATTATATAAGTTTACTATTATTAGAATTATTACTATTATTTTATTGTCAATATTATTCCCATCATCCACATTTTATTACCACTCTATTACTGTTTATTAATAACATTGCTTTTTCAAACAGACTTTATATAAAACACTTTATCGCCTTTACACTAGTTCATGTCCATTCTACACAAGCCTGCTAATTAGTCGTTATCTGACACTTATTACATCATGCCAATTTCTATCTCTTTTCTACCTTACAACTAGTTACCTCTTATTACACCCTACATTACGTAATGCCATTTTTCAAGGAGAAAGTTTACCAGTATCTGATTGGTTTAAAGATTCCTTTGTTTGATATAATTACGATTGTACAGCTCATGAGAATGTGCCTTTTTGTTAAGACTAGTAATACACGGAATTGGATTCGATATTTAACAATTATACATTTCGCAGAGTAGTGAAGTGAGGTAATTTCTCCCCTCAAACTCTACAGGCACTACTGGTTCATGTAGACGCTATCTAATCATTCATGTCAACCGGCTCCTAGTATTCAGAATCAAAATGCCTTCTAGTGCACATGTACTGCTAGGATTATTGATAAAGTTGACAGTTTTTACATGAATGAAAAAAGAGAAGTATAAACGAGTTGAGCACATTTGATTTCAAGCACAATGGGTAAGGTTTTGAAGGTGAAATTTCAACATTATTTAATGGTCACTAAAAAATGTTTCATTAACTGATAATATCTGTCATGTGTTGTACCACAGAGTCTAGTTCAATTCTTCCTGAGACTATGAACATTGGGCGTAGATTATATATTCGCTAAGCACGTCATTATATTTGACTGTATCAGTTATCATTGTTTTAGATTGTGGAAAAATTGCTTAGAAAGCTTATCCGCTACAATGAAAGCGAGTGGTTATCAACCTTTAAGTTTTTATTTACCAACTTCTCAACTTTTTCAAAATGTCAATTACTAACTTTCAGGTGACTTTACTAGTACACAGAGCACTGCTGGGCATTCTTTAGGAAGTACATCTGAAGTAAACACACGACCATATTGTTCAAATATCATCGGTACAAGTGCTGCAAATCAATCTAGCCACAGATCAGGACGTTTTGGAACCTATTTCAACAGTAATCAACAAAATCATTTATCAAATCTTGGCCGTTTACAAAGACATATGGCTGTCATACCTAGACCACCGCAAAACTTTCAGCCAAATACTCAGAAGCGCAGAACTGACAATTTTAATGAATTCTACACTCCTTCAAGTATTGATTCTTTTAACAATGATCCATTCTGGTCAACTGTTGTACGACTCCTACTTTCTCATGCTAACCTGAAACAAGAATTAGAAATAGAATTTGATGGTGAAGAAGGAACTGGTCTAGGTCCAACAATGGAGTTTTATGCCTTGCTTTCAGCTGAACTAAGGTTTGAGAATATTGTTTATTTTACCGCTGTGTTTTTCTTCAATTGATACTTTTATATGATGACCTAAATTGTGAGGCATTCATTAGAATTTTGGTCACCATAAAAAAGATAAGGAAGCTGTCAGTGATGGTAAGCAATGATACGTTTGTTTATTCAGACTGGTCTCCCTATTAGCGGAAAATAAGAAGGCTCCCATTGCTTGATCGTATACTGACTGGTTGACAGAAGATTAACGTTTATTTACAGACTTCGGCACTGATCGACTATTGTAAATCTGTTTCATTATCGCTTGAAGAATTAACAACCGTATCGGTATTCTACGTATTAGGCTTAGTCTTCTGGAACCAGCGATAGGTCCAGGATATTTGAGATCTGGGTAACTGACAGAAGCCATCTGATTTGATTAGTTCTTGAGCAATTGGAGTCGTTTTATTGCACTTGTGAAGAAAATATCAAATGTCCATAGTGAAATTCATAGTTTAGTAAGGATAATTATTGTGTTGATTCATACGCAGTAGAAAGGAATGTACATGCAATTTGAAGCCTGTATAGGTGGTTTCCTCTTCAACATGTCAATTTTAAAAAATGCGCTCGGGAATACTATTAATTTCTTTTAATTTTAATTTTGATTACAGCTTGATTCCACACTGTATTTTTGGTACAAGTATGGAATTTTCAGCATGTGATATCAGTAGCCCGAATTTTGCAGGCCGACCATAGATATCAGGTGTGCGTCGGCAGGGGCTCGAACCCTGTACCATGTGCATGGTCGGCGAGAGTCCTAATCGCTGTACTACCGACGCACAGCATGGTTAGTAAAAGAAGAACACAAACAAGTATACAGTTCGATTACAAAGTATCTGATGAATTCTGGACATTCAGCTCCATTTGTAAAGTTCTCCAAAGCCATATACAAGATGCGATCAAGCCTATCAAAGGAAGTGAAATCAAAACACCTAAGAATAGCTGAGTCACTGGTTATCCAAAACTCAAGCCTGCTCTATGTGTTCAGAAGAAATACCTCCAGCCATTGTTTCTACCATGACCATCAGGAAAAGTCAGCCTCACTAATAATGATTATCCAGTTACATTTCTTGTCCAACCTTCCCGTTTATTTCTGTTATATTTAAGTTTTTAGTCTCTATCCGCATTACTAGATTTGGCTACTGTCATTTATTTTCATATGTCCGAACCACCAAGCTATTTTGTTAGCACTTAATCAGTAATTGACGAGTTTTTCAGTAATTATCATCTTATTATTTCTGTTCTGCCCAATCTTCCTGATTATCACACATTGTTATAAGGCGAGCTCGTAGACCACTGAGCCACTGGAACCCAATCCATGTCCCATGAATTCTAACTTTTGCCAACTCAAGATATAGTGTGACCACTTAGCAATGTCTTCGATGAGTAAATGTCTTTACCTTCGACCTGCTGTACCCTATATATGTATATATATATAGTTAGAATTCATGGGTCACTGTGTCGGGCTACTGTGGTTTAATGATTTACGAGCTAGCCTTATAGCCAGGAAGTCCTGGGTTAGAATCCCAGTGGATGCGTACTGGGGAAGAGTCCCCAAAAAGGAAGAAACAGCTGTCCAGTTTTCCCTGTATGTTTTCCAATGGTTCTCTAACTAATGTCATCTCATGATGAAATCCTCCAACCAAGCAAACAAAATCCCTACTAAACCAATACTTGAATATTACACATTTTAATTTTTTTTAATTTGACCTTTGACCTGAAATATTTCTAGAACAGTACCACTACCTGCCTTCTGTTTATTACACTTGGTAATTTTATTAATTTAACTTTTGATCAGAAACAATTCTGGGACTTCGTCACACGTTTAACATAAATACACGAATGTACAGCCTAGTTGATGACTTCGTCGAAAAAAAAAAATTTTCTTCGCTGCCACCTTCTTTTTAATAAAAGACATGTCTACATTCAGTATAAAGTATATTTTTTTAGTTTAGAATTGCTCACGTTTCGCAAATATTACTGTGATGAAAGTACTCATCGGTTCTTTGCAGTTTATCGCAAATCATAAATTAGTGGAAGAATGTTTGCCGGCAATAAGAAAAGTCCGTATTCGATTTATGACCGACATACACCTAAATCACGTCGTGTTTACTAGTAGGCCTGGAAACGAGAGAAGGGTAGATATAAGGTCAGCGAATCCATCGCACTCTGAAACTAAAGGAATTGAAAAAGCTTCATGAAATTTTAGAAAATAACCGTCAAAGTCTGCATCTGATGAAGAACTTCCTAGAAAAGAATCTAAACACAATTATAAGGCTATATTTTAGTTGTACATTGATATGTCAGATAATATCTTACTCTATTTGTATGACATTAAGGCATTGGAATGGATAAGGAAATGTTATTATTTCATAATTACTCAAAAAACATTTGTCACACTCTTGCGGTATAACTTTTCGAAATTAATAATCATGTGCATTTTCCTCCTGATTGTTTCTTCATCTTTGGACAAAAACCTTCAGCGTGTCTTAAATTAGCCCTTCTAGAAAGTTGACAAGTCATAGACAAATCCTCTGAGAATTTAATTCGAATTTATTCCTATTTCGGGTGAGAAGCAGAATAACACTAATTTATGTAGTTACTATTTTTTAAGATATCACTTGTTAGATATTTGGTTACAAGATTTCATCACGAGCTGACATCAGTCAGAAAATCATTGGAAAACCACGTGTGAGTATTGGATAGCTGTCTCGTTCTAGTTTGGGACTCCTCATTAGTACGCAACCACCATGGTTCTAATCCAGGACCTTCTGATCACATGGTGAGTGAGCTCGTAAGCCATTAAGCCACTAGGACTCATTTCAATGGCCCATGAGTTCTAACTTCTGCCAATTCACAACATAGTGCGACCGCTAGCCAATGCTTTCGGCGAGTATTTGTCCTCACATCTGACCTGCTGCATCCTACTGGTTACGACTTCCCACTGGAACCCCAGGTAACTACCTACCTGAAGAGGGCCAGTCACCATATCGATATTCAAGTATTGGTTTGTAGGGATTTGATTGATTGGTTACAGGATTTCATCATGAGTTGACATTGGTCAGAGAACCATTGGAGAACCTTGGAGTACTGGATATTTAAATAACAGAAAAAGTAGATATAGCACTTCAAGTTTTGTTGATAGAACAGATATCTTTTTACTAGATTTGCCTTCATTTTCCCACTCAAATATGTACTTCTGAATAGAATTAGCTGGATTCTGCTTTTTTATGACCAATTTCCCATTAGATTTTGCCTTCTGTTGTTGAATTCACTCAAGTCAAATGTAGCTCCTTGCATAAATAAGACACTCTACTTACAGAGATATGAGATGATCCACCGAAACATTTCCAGCCTTTGAAGACAATAAAACTACTAAAACAATTAAGTTTGTTTGTTTAAAAGAGTTAAAGAGGCTTTGTGAATCAATTTAGAGTCTGTTATACTTAATGTTACTCAACATATTGATTAACATTAGTTCACTTGTTGTTTCATGAAGGGAAAAGTCTTATAACAGTTTTCTGTTTCGCTGTTCATTCGCACAACTGAACAAATTAGTAAACCGGCAATTCGTAAAATCTTTCAAGTTATCTCGCTAACAAAGTATCTTATCACAAATGAAATATGTGTAATTTGTAACAAGTCTGTGTATGGTATTCACTTCTACATAACACGTCTCGGATTTCTAATTACTTGTAGTGAAAATGCTTATACACTCAGGATCGAGAATGTTGAAGATAATTTCTTTTTGAAAATCAAGTCAATGTAATTGAGATATCGGTAAGAAGCAACTAAAGTAGTACTGATGAAGAGTCCCAAACTAGGACGAAACAGCTGTCCAGTACTTCCAGGTTTTTCAATGGTTCTTTAACTGATGTCAGCTCATGATGAAATCCTCCAACCAATAAAATAGTAATCATTTTGTGGTTGGATGACTGTAAGCTTTCATCACCGTTTTCTGACCTTGGTTCTGGGCCAGTCGTCAGCCAATCAAAACGGTCTTTTTTCTAATGGCCTTGCCGAATCCTTATGTGGTTAGAAATATACAATTACTGTATGCGTTGTTTCATAATACAGATGTATCCTAACAGTCACGAATGTGTCCTTGTCTTTTGATATTTACGTGGAAGTGGAAGGTGCGAAGGACGAATAACTGTAACTGGCATATGAGTTAAGGTGTCCATGATGTACAGCGCTATTCTACTCACGTATAAATTCACTCAGTCATATCGATTGACGACGATATAGTAACAAATATTGGACATTTTTCTATCTAATTATCTGAATTATGGGACACGGTAGGTGTAAATCCTGTGAAGTAGTAAAGTATTTAGCAAGCAAGAACATTTCTCTGACAGCAGAAGAACTTAACAGTTATTTATTGTAATCTGCTTCACATAATATTTACCACATATGAGTTAAAAACTGTCAATATCTTTCAAACCGTGTATTTATTTTCTAAATTAAAGACGTTATTCTCATGGATTGTGGGTTACTGACGATCGCGACACCATAAATGAAACTAAAAAGCTATCAAGTATATCACACGAAGATAGTATCAACCACAATGAAAATCCTCAAGATGATTCACTGGAGGATAAATCACAAAATGATTTCTATGTAAACCCCTCAATGGGTCTATTTCCTGCCCCCTGGCCTTCAAATCACTTACCACCTGGATGTGAATTGAGATTTTATGTATTGGGTATTGCTGTAGCTAAATGTTTGCAAGTGAGTTTAAATTAGTACTTATTCTTGTCATATATTTTGGATAAAAGTCGAATTCATTTTCGAAGAAGTCATTTGTACAGATCCTTCTTGCTCTGTTCATGAGGCCTCTGAGCAAGCGGATTTTGGATCTGGTTGGAACGAAACTAAAAAAAATGTGTATATTTTCCTACACACATAAATAGACATATAAATACTGCGTGTAAAAAAGGGGAACAGGTAACAGTTTCAAAGAAACAACTGTTTCTTGAAACTGTGATTCAATGAAATCACCTAGAACAGTCAGTATGGCAACAGTTCTGAAAAAAACAACTGTTCATAAAACTGCAGTTTCTCGGTGACAAAATCAGCGAAATAATAACACAACGACTGAAGAATGAAGTTAAAAGAGCTTATTATACAGCAGAGGTACGTTGTCTCTTCACAACCACCCTTTTTTTGCGTTCGAGAAATAGGGATAAACTACCTATATTTGCCTCCTCTATGCAGCTGCGGAGCCAGCTACATCGGGCATACAATTAGGCGGGTTCATCATCGTATTTCCGAACATCATCCAGCATGGTTAAGCAAGGGACAAACAAGATCTATTCGTAGCTCTATTGTAGCACACCTTGTAGATACTGAGCATAAGGTTGACGTTAATACTGCATTTAAAATTATTTATCGCATTCCTACTAATCTTAATTTCGCTTTACGAGTTCGTCTTCTACATACAGCTGAAGCAATAGGAATCCACCTGAAGAAGCCAAACTTGTGTGTTCAGAAGAAATTTGTACAGCCACTTTCCTTACCTTGGCCATCGTTACATGAATGCACAAACCGGACTACTTTACCCCCGTCCCCCTAAACGTTTTAAAAATTATAAAAATTATAATTGTCCGAATTATTTTATTTTTCTGACTACCTCATCTCTAATAACGTGTTATCTTTGTAAAATTATTTAATTCTTATGACCACTTCAACCTTAGTTACAAATCGTCATTGTCCAAACTGTTTTATGTTCCTTAACAATCTGTTACGTAATCAACCTGTGCACACACTTATTCCTTAATTACTCTTCATTTTTCCAAAATTATGCATTATGCAATCCACTTGTTGTAACCATTTCCACCTTTTAGTTATATATACTAATTTTCTTCGTTAATTATTACCCGATTGACATGTTGACACTGACTAATTATTGTTAACAAACATATCGCCACTTGATTGGTAAATTGTTGTGTATTGTAATAAAAATGCTGTACGTGTGTATTAGAGTAGAGCCAGAGATCGGGGATAGTTAGATCATTAGAATCAAAGGTAAGAATGGTTGACCCCGAGAATATACGTAATTTAAGAAAAAGCTCAGCGACTGCATTGCATGCATTAACATACAACCCCACAATAAGGTGGGTGAGACAGCGTCAAAACTGCAAGAAGTAATATAGGTGGGTGGAGAGAGGTTGATTTCCAAATCCTTGTTCATCGAGTCTACACCCAACATGTGCAATAGCAATGACTCATGGCTCATACCGGAAATATGGAAAATACTACTACCAATTAAGTCAAGCGAAGAAAGATAATGGAGTTATATAAACGAAGTTAGAAAGTTGTGTGAGTGCCTTGATATGATTTTATGTGCAATAATAAATTGTGCTGAAAACATGATCATCAGTAAATATCACTGTAATAACACTGTGAGACTTCATCAAAATAAATTTTAGCCGTAATGGAACAAGTCGACATAGTTTAGTAGCAACATCCCTAACTGGAGAACTGGATGACGCAGGTTTAAATCTCAGAAGGAACATGACTTCCTTCAAAATTGCAGGCACATCTTGCCAACTGGTGGGTGATAATAAGAACGAAACTAAGGTCAAAGGCTTTCTTCCGTTTGTCCTCAGAAATCCAATACGTAGTCTTCTTCTGTAGCAGTTTAAAAGCAGTATACTAATAGATTTCTTGTATATTTAAGTGATCAGTCTACCTAAAATCTTCAAATTCTATAAAATAGTAGAATTTTTATTCGTGATTATTCGAAGTAAATTAGTAAATGGTGACTAACAGTGGAATCTAAGATGCTTATTTTGCCTCATTTGGGAATCGTCAACTGAATGTATTTGCATGCCTTAGTGATGGTGTTCCCACTGAGTCTCGAACCCATTACCAGTGACTTCAAATGCCAAAGTGTTATCTCCTATACCACTTGTATCACGAGTCCAAGATAGGACAAAATGCACATCCTGGATTCCACTACTAGTCATTGTCTACCAGTTTACTTCAAGTTAAATGGTCCTGACATCATCGAAGCATCTGTACAAGGAGATGATATATCATTCTGAGGCCGAGCATTTCGGTCCAATCAATCAGCGGGAAAGTCCAAATTGATTTGAACAGTGATGATTTATTTAAATAAAATGTGAAATGGAAGCAAGAGTTACAACCTATTCTCTTAAACTTTTCATCTTTGTTTAAAGTACGGTAAGATTACCTACTCACATTTTTTACTGATTTTGCTTTTACCTTAGGATGAACGTCAAATGGATTTACCATTCTCAAATGCATTTTTGTGTCTTTTATGTAATAATGGAAAGGCATCTGAGTTAAACAATCTTATTAATGATAGTAAAAGTGATGAAGATGGAAGTCGAACTCGGTCCAATTGGTTTTATAACACATTAGATATAAAACACTTTACAGAAATTTATCCTGAACGTGGTAAATTTATACTACAATTAAAAAAGTATCAATACATGAAGTCTGAATTATGGCATAAGTATAATGGTGATGAATTGATTCAAAAAGATTTGGAACTGCAAACACGCTTATTTGCTACTGATTTAGAATCATTATGCCTTACAATGAGTTTTCCTTCAGTTTCTAAGGTAAGTAAACTATTGCAGTGAATTAATTTATATGATACACTATTTATTTTATTATTCAGTAGTATTCCTTTGCGTTCCCAGTGTGACAAAGGATTTCAAGCTAGAGCTTTGAAGTTTTGGTAGCAGTGGTATTTATTTCTACGGCATAGGGTTGCTAACCTCATGCCTAACCTTCTCTATTTACCAGTCTTATTACTGGCTTAGCGTTGGCCGGGGAACGAACCCCGAACCACATGAGGCGTGGTTGGCGAGCATTCTACCACTATGCCACCGACACACTAATATACAATACTAATGACGGCATATAAGAGATGTCTGTCTAACTTCAGTTTATGTTTCAGTGAATGGTTGTACTTTGTCATTTGTTCAACAAGTCCATAATCTGTTCACCTTTGAATTCGGGTAGTGCAAGAATCTATTTGATGCTAGTAGTACTTGTTCTGTTCATTTTAAATCTTAACAGGTGATAATGTTCTTTTGGACAGTTAACTAATATCGCTTATGAGTAACGCTTTTAAATCTCTATTCTTTGGGGGAGATGAATGTCAACGAAATATTCCCATATTGAGTCATAAGAAAAACACATAACACTGCGTTTCATACAGATTTTATATAAATAAAACATTTTGTCGTTTTTCCACTAGTTTCTGTCCATTCTTTTCATTCTAGTCATTGTCTCACACTTATTACGTCATGTCAACTTATGACTATTTTCTAACTTCCAATTAGTCACCCCATCTAGGTTACACCTAACATTACGTAATACGTTTTCGAGGACAAATTTTACCAATATCTGATTGGTCATATGATTTTTTTCCCAGTATAATTACGATTGTACAGCAGTTCATGAAAATGAATCGTCGAAAAGGAGATGAATACATATTCAGTTAATAAACGAGATGGTGAAATACTGAAGCCGAAGACATGTCTGAATGAATTTGGCTATTTGCACTGCTTTATCGACAAAATTGACAGAAAAGAATTCAGTAAAACTGACACTACCGAACAGATTATAGGACACTTCATTTTAAAGTGTAATGATATTGTGGATATCTTCACAGGAGGTTTAATTACAAATATGATTAGGATTTACACCACGGCAAATCTGTTTTCTCGCTGAGCATCCAAAGTTGCCAATGCAACCAATATATATATATATATATATATATATATATATATTAATTTACGTGTATATCTGTGATACAAGTAGAATAGGCAGAATTTATGTTAGAGTTCGAGTTTTAGAATAATGATGTTATTAACGCCTAAAAATCAGGTGGTAATGATGAAAATACGCGCGTTTATCAGCACATCATAATCACGTACTCAGAAGCAGTTGAATCACTGTATTAATAAATCGCACAAAGAACCATTTTATTCACAAAATGTAGAATAATAATAAGACTAAGTCAGGCATAGACATTTTTGTAAAGGTTACTACTGAAGACTGTCAGTAGGGTGAGTGGTGTCCCAGTGGACCACATAGTTAACGTCGTTGTCGATAGGCACTTGACTTCATGCAATAAATTTGCTAAAGGGATTTTGTCTGACTTGGAGCATCCGCTTTACCCTCAGCTTTCACCTTGCATCTCCTCAGGTAGAACAAGGAGTAACTTCAGAAAACTGTATGCTTGCACGTCTAAGTATAAGAATTCTATGATATCATACTTGTCACGTATATTATGTCATGAAAATAGTGTCAGGCAAGAATTAACTAACCTTTTTTCATCTAGTAAATAAACAATTTCCTCCATCCATCCTTATATACCTTTAAGTTTTACTTTTATTATTCCTATTATATTTATGGTCCTGTTACTTCTCTGTTTTACTCTCATAATTGCAAACACCAACTTATCTCTACGACGGCTGTAATCTTTTTTTTTCCTCTCACCATATCATGTAAAGAGAACATTGTATTCAATAGTTTTAAACATGTTAGGACTTCTATACCACATCGACAATACTGTGTGAAACAAGTTCACGGCAATTTTTACTTGTATTCTTATTATTACTACCCTAGCTGTTATTATTATTATTGTTATTTCCATTTTATATGCTGCATGTTTCTGACACTACCTCTATTGTAAATGTGGAAAATTTTCTGTGTGATTAATTTTTATTTATAATTTGAGGAGATTAGATGCAATATTGTGATTAATGCTGAAAATTCCATTCCGTATGACAAGTACCGTTTTTGGAATAAAGTAAATCATTATTAATATTATTACTATTAAAAGGATGGCACCGTCGTGCAAATAATATTATATTATTATTCCCATTGGGTTCCGAATGAAACAAAGGATTTCATCAGCACTTTTTTCATCCACCTTTTTTCAGTTCTCTTAAAGTCTTTCTTAGCTGACCCTATGACAGCCTATAAACCTTTATCTCCTCCTTGTAGGGTCTCTTCTATACCACCGTCAATCATCCAACTGTTTGCTTCCTATTTGGATTCGACTCTTAGGTCTGTTGTGTGATGTTACTCAACGATATTCTCAATGTGTCTTCAGTCCATTTCCACTTTCTTTGGCATTGTTTTGAAAAACACACAAGCATTAATTACGTCAATGGGGAAATCGAGGGAATCGGACATTTAGCTCCATAAATTAGAATATCGCGGATTGCTTACAGTTAGATTTTACGGAATCAAAACCGCGAATTATTAGAACGCCTTGAATAAAATATAAGAAACAAATGAATTCCAAATTACCCGCTTATTTTATCCAAATAAATTTTAAGTTCTTCTCCTAATTAGTACTATAAAATTAGAAATTTTAGGATATTTTATTCTTTTGTGGGATTATTCTCTACCACAAAGTCAAAATTTTATTCACGTGTGGAATAAATGAATGAGGTGTTGTAATTTCTTAGAAAACACCAAGGTTAACACCCTTGGTTCACTACATCATAACTATTCGCAATATATTTTGATTGGACACTAGTATCTAGTGTAACGTTTCTAGTCCTTTCTTTGGTGCAGACTGAATTTTATCAGTCAGGTCTGCAGTTACGCCTTGCTGATGAGTGCCAACTGGCACGAAACCTAGGTCCAAGGCTTCCTGCCGATTGCCTCCAACCATCTAATACTCGTAATATAACATACAGTTCTCATTGTTAGTGGTTTTAAACCTTTGGGTAGTAGAGGTAATTGGGGAAATACTATAATACAGCTGAGGTGACCACCTGGGGACGTTGCTTGCCAGACCCTCAAGTGGAACCCAAATTGGGAACAACGAGTTATGCTTAGGACTGAGGTGACACAAAGGAGATCGAGTCAGGAGGAGATGAAAGCTTACGGCCAATCGTATGGCCAACTGAAGACGACTACAGAGAACGGGTGACATGGAGGTGTACTGGTGTATCCCTATGTTCCACTTGGAACCTCCTGGGGAAGACACTTGTAGTGCACTTTAGGGAGCTTAGTTTTCACTAGAATATGAGCAATAGAACAAACCATCAACATGATATCTTTCAATGTAGCAGTATTTAAGTATGTCCGATGAGGAATTACAACAGACTTTTATTATTAATTTGATATGTAATCAAAACAAGATTTTGAGCGAACAATTGTTTTCGATAACTTCTTCTTCAGGCTCTACAGTTACAAATCCATGAATAATAGAGTACATATAAGCAGTCAATAAAGGCAAATCAAAATAATATCAGAAACTGTATTGGGGTGCATGTGTAAGTTGAGATGATAGTCCATTAGTTAGCATAGTCAATCCAATGTGTATAGGGTGTATAATCAGAAAAAATGTAATGAAGTGTGAATGAACAATTTTATTTTTTTTTTATTTTGATTACAGCTTGATTCCACACTGTATCTTTGGTACAAGTATGGAATTTTCAGCGTGGATATCGGTAGCCCAAATTTCGCAGGCCGACCATAGATATCAGGTGTGCGTCGGCGTGGGCTCGAACCCCGGACCATGTGCATGGTCGGCGAGAGTCCTAACCACTGTGCCACCGACGCACCAATTGGGTGATATAGTGTTGTTTTATAGTTAACAGAATACAAATGTCCTTGGGGTAAGAGAAATATGCGATAACCACAAAATATATACAAATACACATTAACAAAAGGGACACTGAATGTGAGGGCTGATCGATAATGTCTAATGATAAAATAAAGAGGCTAAATTGTAAATTGTAATAAGATGTTACAGAATTGGTAGGCTTAGTATAAAATCATAAAGGTTGACAAAAAATAACGGTAACAATGAGGTGAAATAAACTGGGTGGAGAAATGGATATGTGGCTGGTAAGGTTAATTCTTATACTAGAACGTATATATAGATATATCTTGATTCCATTTTTACTGCTTTTGAAATTCTTTTCAGAATTTTGGTTTCAGTGAATTTCCATTAAAAGATGTATATGATTGGGAAAATGATAATAATTATAATGATCTAATGAATGAAGATGACAAAGAATGCGACACTGTTGAAACTTTAACCACCGACTTAATTGACGCCTATATACAGCGTTCTTTTGAGTTTGCAATGCAGAAAGGAATACAAAAGCAGATGAATGCATTTAAAAGTAGGCAGTAATTTAATTTGAGTCATGGAATTTTTGAATAACTGCCTTATGCTTTTGTCAATTTTTGCATGAATTGAAATTCCATTTTCTCTTACTAATTAAGTAAATAATGTGTTGTTTTAATTTCTAATTTCTGTTATCAATCAGGTGAATTTTAGTGCATACCAGAATACATTATTCTACAAATGTGAACACCCTACTTAGAAATTTTAGGTTGTCAATAGATTGAATTGGCAGTTTTAAGCAAAACAAATTTTCAAAATGTCATATCATCTAGGTAGATTGAAAAGATGCAATACTGAGATGTGCATCGTGTAAACAAAAGAAGTAGCGGTTTTCAAATATAGCTAAATGTACACACGAAGTGCTGATGGTGGGGTCTTTTTGTCAGAACAAAGTGTAGATTGAATGAAGTTGACCAAATCGCAGTAATAATTATTTTGTCACACAGCTATGAAATCGTCAGCTGCAATTCTGTGAACGGTCATTTTAGAGATGGAAAATGTTTCCTCTATTGCCTCCAGGAAAAGATTCTTGTGGGTAAAATAAGTGATGAATTATACCTCTGCTGAAATAAATTATAACAATGTGTGTATTCTAAAGACTAACATGAACAAATGGAAAGAGAGACTACTAATAACAGAATCTATATTCATTAAGGTCACGCCGTCGGATACACGTGACAAGGGTGACTCAATACAACTGTCAACAACCTGCAATATAATTCTGAATACAAAAACATGAATAAACAAACAATGAACTATATATATGAGTACAAATCATAAATGTGTGAACAAAACAATTCCATCAGTGGTGTGAACAAGGGCAGTAATTTCGGTCGAAATATTCCCAATAACAAAACTTATCATTGTGTGTAGACTATTGAAATATAATTCTACTTTAAATGAACTGTTGTCAAAAGTTGACAGAATAGTTCTAAAATACTTGGGCGCCGAGTGAGAAGTAGACAGTTGTAAAAAATTATATTTGTAAAATCTCAGCGAGATTGAAATGAGTAATTCCAACGTTTCGTTCGGCAATCTGGTCCGAACTTCATTGGACAAAGTTTTTAAAAACAAGTGATGTTTCTTTTATGTATAAACCTTTGTTGTGTTAATTTCGATTAATTTCCATGAAGATGTTCGGATCAGATTGCCGTACAAAACGTTGGAATTACTCATTTCAATCTCGCTGAGATTTTACAAATACAATTTTTTACAAATAGTTATACTTTATTTGATCTTTTCCACAATGCTCAAACTTTTTACTGACATTATCTCTGCTGAAGTTAATCTTACTATGTAAATACAAAGAGTTGAATAAGCATTTTAAATGTGAGTTTTATATATGGGATACCATTTCATCTAGCACAATATGACAGCAATCCTATTATATAAAAAAAGCAATGGAAGTTCCAGCTTTTACAGTGATTTGGCACCCGAATACAGAAAAAACGGTTTTTCTTCAAATTTTTAAACAGGCGAAAACACCAGTCGTATTCAAAATGTGTTGCTTAGAAATCATCGCTTTTCGATCCATCGGGTTTATTGTGAGAATCAAATATATAATTGGCAGTAAAACACCATTAGAGACTTATCTCAGTGAATTGGCAGATGAACTCTGCTAAACAACCTCCATTTCTTCGACTTCGAAAAGGCCTTTTAAAGACATCGTTGAATAAGGAGCAATTTGGAGACCAGTTCAATACTATGGAGTGCCGCAAACTGTTTATCAAACTTATTCAACAGCTGGCTGAATGACAATGAGGCAACGTGTCAGGTGATCTACAACGGAAAAATCAACGAAGCTTTCGAAGTGAATACAGGAGTAAGACAAGCTGGCCGCCTGCCTATTATCACCGATGATATTCTTAATTGCGGTGGACTAGATTGTCCGTCAAACTGTGCGTTGGGAGTAAGAAGACAGAAATACGTTGGATCGATGATAAAACTCCAGAAGATCCTGATTCCACATATGTAGCACAAACTCAAAGACTTTCAAGTGAAAAAATATTAAAAAAATGGCAAACGAGGGAGTCAGAGAAGACAGGACTGCAGGTGAACATAAAGAAGATAACCAACCACCACCAACAGCAACAACAACCAGCACCAACCACCATTAATGAGGTAGATTTGACAGAGGTTACTTCCTTCACCTACCTAGGAAGGATGATTTCAACCACAGACAATCGGAACAGATGAAGATGTCAAAACCAACCAGAATTGTAAAGGCAAGCCACTCCTCCAGAAACCTGAAACCAGTTTGTAAAGCTTCTGCATTAACTCAGCAGCATAAATAACAAGATTTGAATATTCAACACAAGTGTTAAGTCAGTAGGTTCTTCCTTTATATGGGTCATAAGCGTGCAATAAACAGGACGAAAAGGATTTTCAGCAAGGCACAGACTTTTATCAACAGCTGCCTTCGTTGGCTCCATACTGAAGATCAAATGGCCGGCTGGCCAGGAAGAATTAGCAACAAAAAAAATCTGGCATAAAATCAAGAAAGAGCCGATTGCTGAACAAATGTGTGGGAGAAAATGAAAGTGAATCAGGCATGGGCTGGCTGAGGAGGTCATCGAATGACATCGCGCGCAACGCATGCCATAGCTTGGGTGGAATCTCAATGTTTCGTTGTCGTGTGGGTGACATAGAGGAGAATATGTGGCAAGGAGGAGGTGGAAGATTATCGGCAATCGTGGACCCAGCTGAAGAGGACAGCAGAAAATGGAACAAAGTTAAGATGTATACAATTGGTGGATGGTGGCTAGCAGTGGAATCCAGGATGCGCATTTCGTCCTATTTGGGACTGGTCAGCTAGATGTACCTGCATTTCTCAGTGAGTGATGATGTTCCCACTTCGGTCCAATCAATCGACGGGAAAATCAAAATAATTCAATTCAAAGTTAAGATGTGTTGTTGAAGCCATATGTTCCACTAAAAAGCCCAGGGTATAATAATAATCTGCTAAACCAGTTCATGAAGAGGTGCGTTTATATCAAAAATAGAAATTAATCAAGTTGGTTTCGGTTGAATTATTTTTACTGTTTAGCCCTCCAGATGTGTGGTTTTTAGGTACTTGTAAGGAAACTCATTATATGTTCCATAGTACCGAAGGTAAGCTGAGTTTTTCGTTCCTCTCTCCTAACCAGTAGTCACATAGCAAATTAAAGATTAAGTACCAATGATATCGTCATCCATGTGCATCTATGGGTTCAAATACCCCCTGTGGAACTAATCACAAAGACCATACCCAAAGGATTTTATTCACACTTGTACGTGAAAATGCATGTGTATAGTTGGGTAAAGCGGTAGTGAAATTCATAAATAGTCCGGCTTTAACCCATTTAGTGGAGAGTAGACATTAAATTAATCCAAGGCTGGTGATCTACCGTGCCACTAGAAGTTTTCTATCAGTAACCAAAACGATAGCATTTAATATAAGAAGACTTATTCTCTGAATCCATAGGAAATATGTCCAGTTGCTTTAAATCCCTGTGCTTACAACAACGTCAACAAATCATGTACATATATAAATAATTAACACTTTAATACCCTATCTCATTCTTTCCCTTACTGTCTTCATTAAGTTAACAAACTTTTATTTCATTTCAGAGTTACTATGACTTCATGAACATTCTTATTATGTCTATTATCATAGGTTCACATAATGCTTTTCAAATTTGTAATAATACTTTTACACAATTCTTTTTATTTCACTTAATTATAAATGGGAAGAACCTGAAAGAAACAACCTCCTTCACCTACCTGGGAAGCATCGTCTCAACTACAGGCGGAACTGACGAGGACATCAAAGCCAGAATCGGAAAAGCAAGACAAGCTTTCATTACTCTCAAATCTGTGTGGAGGTCAACAGCACTCAGCATCAAAAATAAGATCCGGATTTTCAACTCCAATGTGAAGTCAGTGCTACTATACGGATCAGAGACTTGGCGAGTCATAAAGAGCATCTCAAACAAACTTCAAACCTTCATTAACAACTGTCTCCGCTCAATACTCAAGATCAGATGGCCAGAAAAGATCAGCAACAGGGATCTCTGGGAGCGAACCAATCAGGAACCGATTGTGAAACAAATAGGCAGAAAGAAATGGAGATGGATTGGCCATACGCTGAGGAAACCATCAAGTGACATCACTAGACAAGCCATCGCTCGAGTGGAACCCGAAAGGGAGGCGGCGAGTTGGTCGTCAGTGCGAGGGTGGGGTGACTTGGAGGAGGTCATGCGAGGAGGAGATGAAAGCATGTGGACAGACCTGGAGCAAGGTGAAAAAGTTGTCAGAAAACCGAAGTCAATGGAGGTGCGCAGCTGAAGCCCTATGTTCCTCTAGGAACTAAAGGATACAATAATAATATAATATAATAATAATATTCTTACCTGATAATCACTCACTAATAATAATTTATATTTCAACAATATCACTGTTATTATATCTTGCCATTACTATCACCCTCGAGTGGAGCCCGAATAGGAAAAGACAAGTAGAGCGTCCAAGGATGACATGGAGCAGATCATGCGGAGAGAAGATGAGAGACTATGAACAGTCGTGGGACCAGCTAAAGAAAACAGCGACATATAGAGTGAATTGAAGACATGCTAGTGAGATCGTAGGTTCTACCCGAAACACAAGGGATCAATAATAATAATAACATTAGTTATTTGTTATCCATCGGTTTACGCTTAGCGTATCCTATTTGATGGTTTACAATTCTGTTGTCTTTCGCAGGACTAAATACACTCACCCTTTAAAACAGACGTTTATGTTGGGTGTGAACGGAAATACTACCGAATTATTTAACGTCATTTTATCGCATTTAACTAGTGACGATAAACCTAATGTTGATTTAAATGGTAGTCAAAACTTACTAACTATTATCATTGTCTCTTGTCGGTATTCGATGGTTGGAGGCAATCGGTAGGAAGCCCCATTTCATCTAGGTTTCGTGTTAGTTGGCACTCACTAGTCAGCAAGGAGTATCTGCATCCTCGAAGAAACTCATATCCCTTCTGAGATTCAAACCCGCATCACCCAATGCTGTAGTCAGTCAGAAAATTTGTCACTGAGCTGTTCAGGTTCACGATTCACCTCCTGTAGGACTGTATTTGACACTCGTCAATAACTAGTGTAGCGTGTCTAGTTGTGTGTTTGGTACAGTCTGAATTCTATCAGTCAAGTTTACAATGTGGCCGCCATTCTAGGTGGCTAACCGATTGCCTGTATTCATCAAATACCAACAGTTCTAAGTGCACCGTGATGGAGAGCCGCCTAGAATAGTGGCCACATTACAAACTTGACTGATAGAATTCAGTCTGCACCAAAGAAAGGACTAGACACACAGTGACACACAAATCACACTAGTTACTGACTAGTGTTCAATCAAAAATATTCTCTCTTGTACTTGTACCACAATACACTTTCTATAAACATTCCTAATTTGCCTTTACTGGCTCCATCGTGTGATAAAATTGATGGATTTACCATAATAGAGTCTGAACAAGAATTTATTGAAAACAGTTGTTTGCCTGTGATTATTCTTGTTATAAAACAATAGGGGTCGTATAAAGTTTTGATTACTCAGTACCCTATAATATACACAGATATAAACATCTTTTCCGAATAATACAAATGAATATCCCTTTTAACTTAAAAATAATTATCTTTCAAGTATTTGTTTTGTAGGGATTTTGTTTGATTGCATGGAGGATTGTTAGAGTACAGTAGGTTGAAGATGAGGCAGGAACTCATCGAAGAAGACATTGCGAAGTGGTCGCGCTATGTCGTGAATTGGCAGAAGTTAGAATTCAAGGACCATTGGATTGGGTCCCAGTGACTCAATGGTCTACGAGCTCGCCTTGTAACCAGAAGGTCCTGGGTTCGAATCCCGGTGGGTGCGTACTGCTGAAGAGTCCCAAACTAGGACGAAACGGCTGTCCAGTACTCCCAGGTTTTCCAGTAGTTCTCTAACTGATGTCAGCTCATGATTCAATCCTCCATGCAATCAAATAATTATCTGTTTGACAGTATATGTATGTTACAGTTTATCCTGATTCAATTGATTACAAAAAATAAACTTATTCAGGAACTAAAACATTTTACATTGAATTCTCTATACTAAAAATGTTCGCATTACTTTCCTTTCATTTCCAGATGGATTTGAACGTGTTCTACCTTTCAATTCACTTTCAATATTCTTACCATATGAATTGGGTCGTTTAATTTCTGGTGAATCAATACACCAGTGGACATTTGATGAATTATGGATGTATTGTGAACCAGCTGCAGGTTATACACGAAAATCACGTGGTTTTCAAATGTTGATTAAAGTATTAGCTGATTTAGAGGCAAATGAACGTAGATCATTTATCTGTTTTGTTACTGGTTGTCCTACTCTACCACCGGGTGGAATTAAAAATATACATCCCAAAATTAAGGTAATTAATAATACTGACAACACACAAGTTGATTATAGTATCATCATAAACACCGTTTTTATACAGTAGGTTTTTTATAACTGACTAAAAAAATTCTGCAGATGTAAAACTCAGCCAAGTTCAACAGTAGCGTCCCAGGAGTGCAAACGCACGGATAACCTTCAGCTGACCAATCATAAAAATGAGGAATGTTTGCTGAAAAAATGATGTATAATGACAAGAAATTGCTTGAAAACGCACTGATTAGGTTAGCTTTCTCTGACATGGCTTAAAAATACGTCCTAGTTATTTCGAGGAGTATCAATTGCTAAGTTAGACTAGTTTCTGTACATGTTGTATTCACCGAGATGACTACAAATAAACTGTTTTTGTGAATCGTTTATCTCTCTCATCCTGCTTGCAATCTTCCAAAACACCCCTCAGATGAATTATTATAGTCTCCAACAAGAGGATAGACGACTGCCTAGCAGAAAGACGTGAATAATAAAACAAATTAAACTAAATGACATCAACTATAAATCTATCCCTAATCGTAACCACAAGCTTAATACTGACCCTAATCATAACCCTTATCCAAACTGTAATTCTAACCTTAATGCTAAATGTAACCCTAATCCTAACCATAACAAGCCATTAACACATTGTTTTAACAGTACTTAAAAACGTGATCTGGGTGAAATTTGCTCCTAAGTTGCTGAATAGCGTTGTTATTTCAACGATGATAATGACAGATGCCGTCAGCCAACGACTAGCATGCATTCAAGGTCACTGGAGCGTTTACACTCCTGGGGCGCTATTGCTGAACTTCGCCTAAAACTCTTCCCTGGAAAAATTCACTTTGAGAAAAACAGATAACGCTTCCAACAGAATCGCAATGCAACATATCATAATCGAATGGAGAATAAAATACCAGGCGGATGTCTTTCTCAACTTCGTCAACTTTCAAAAGGACCTTCTACAGTGTTAGAAACTCTATCAAGGCTATGGAATGGAGCACCTCAATCTTTATGGATCTCATTCACCAGCTATACAATGATGCCATATATCGAGTGATTCACAGCGGAAATGTAAGTGAATTTCTGGATTTTACGTATGGTTTATGTCTAATAGCACCGGAACTCGAAGATATAGAGGCGAAAACCAACAGGTTGACAGAAGAGACAGGCAGTGAAGACAAAACTTCAAGTGTATACGGAGGAGACTAAGGTGATAAAAACATCTAGCCAAAAATAACAATCATTTACCACATTCAAAGGGAGATATTTGAAGGAAGTTGTCTTTTTCACCTAATAGATGGTGTCCCTCCATCTACAAGTGACAGAGATGGGGTTATCAAGGCAGGATTGAACAAGTAAGACAGACCTTTGTCACTCTGAATTCAGTGTGGAAATCTACTGCTATAAACGCTGATATCAAATCGGTGCTTCTATATGGATGAGAGACTTGCAGAGTCACTTTTATCATCAGTTATCATCGATCGATACCGAAGGCCGACTGGCCAGAAAGGACTAGGAACATGAAGCCGTGGCAAAGAATAAGAAAACAATCTATTGATCAACAGCTTTGCAGAAGGAAATAGCGATGAATCAGGCACACGCTGAAGAGATGTACCAGGGACTAGAATGGAGCCCAAATAAGAAATAGTGTATTGACCATCACTTCAACGAAGACATGGTGGAGATCTAATGAGAAGGAGGTCACGGCTTATGAGCAACCATGGAGCCAGCTGAAAAAGACTACAGAGAAGCGGATGAGATGGTTATGTGCTGAAGCCCTATACTCTACTCGAAACCCAATAGAATAAAAAATAATCACAACAGTACCTAGGCAATTTTAAATTATTATCATACTAATGACTTAGTCATTCTGTCATTACTCTTGTCTCAATAAACTTATTTCTGTTAGGCTTTCCAGATGAATAACCGCCAAATTACATTAACAAGCCGAGATCTTCTTAGTGTAAGCACTAACACATGTCAGTTGCATCACACTGCATTACACTTACTGAAATTGTCTGTAGACACATATAGAAGAGAAACCATCATGTTACTTGGATTATTTCACGAACATAAATAAGCAAGAAAATCATTAGGGATTAGCGAGCACTGTACAGTTGCTTCAGTCCAGTTTAAGACTCTTCATCAGTGCACATTATTGGCCACACCAGTAATAGGATTTTCCCCAAAATTTTTAGCACTCAAAAAGGTAAATTATTCTGATTTATGCAGTTAAAAGAGTAAATTTTGACGATGAATTCAATCGATCACAGCTAGCAGCAAAGTCGTGCTATTTAGTTTGATGTAAATATCATATATCAAATCCCAGCTAAAGCCTACGCAGCCTAATCGGTTACTGTTCATTGGCCTAGTCTCTGTATGATAACTGCTACCTTGTTGTGGTGGTCGGGCTTGAATACCGTAATGACCCAACATGCTAAACTGACTGGGACTCTGTCCCTGCAGGTCCTACCATGTCAGTAAGGTTGTTTGGATAACGGTTAAACTAAAAGCAGTTACCATGGGGTACATGGGCTCCAGTATCCAATCCGATCAAATGGTGTATGAATCCATATGGGTCACCGACAACCATGGGAATGCAGCTCCCGCTGCCTTTCGGATTAGACTCCAAGTCAAAGGCTCGGGGGTGGTCCCTTAATAAAACCGCCTCCTTCGGTCTGGGCGCCCGGGCGGTATCTCAGTCCTCACACAATGAATTGAATGAAGCAACAAACAATCAAGGAAACTTATCGCGTGCTATTACCCGTGTTGGAATTTCCTTCTCTCTTGCCTTCCCGATGATAGTTAACGAATACTGTTTGAACTTGTTAAGCATGACTCTTTTCCTTCCAGATGAAGTTCTTTATCCGTTCTCTACTTATATATTTTTTTCTCTTCTTTCTTTTTTTCTTTTGATCTATGTTGTTTTACTATTATTGTGTGACGCATCCTTCTTGGTGCCATATTGTACCAAGTTTTTATGCGTTTAAATAAATAAATAAAATGAACTGTATGAGTCTGTGACGATTGGTTTCGACTGCAGTAATAATGAATATACATTATTAACTTGCAAAGTACTAGAAATGCTTTTGAGTGCTAACAATAATCAAATCTGCGTCTAGGGGTTTAAATTTGTTGGTTTCTGACATTTAACTCAGCATATTACAATAAGATGAATGCGGTTTGATGTTAATTATATCTAAACAAATAGTTTCATGCTTTGAACCTGTATAAAAGGAAAATGGGTGTTACTAGAGTCATTTTATGAGCTACAGGTTGAAAGTACTTTAAACATTGGCGGTAATAATAAACATCACAATAATTATTGCACAGTGATAGCTTTTTGAATCGGTAAAATAACTGTATTTCTATGTTAGATAAGTTTATTTTAAATATCACACAGTGATGCAATGATAATAACTGGATGACAAGGTTTCGAGCAGAAACTGTTGCCATTCATAATCATATCGGTTTAGTCACACGGATTCACAATGTGTTTTATATATGTGTATATACACTCTCTTCCTCTTGTCACTTGTCGCCACTTTCCGTATCTTAAGTATAGGCATTGAGTCATTTCCATGGTACGTGTGTAGATAAGATTCAGTGATTAACCTCTCTCTCCACATAACAATACTTTCACCCACTGCCCCACCCAAACTGTTTTGTACCTACATGCAAATGAATGCAATGCCTTGACTGAGCCTTTTTTCTAGGTTATTCAACTTAGTAGGGTCAGCCATTCTGAGTTTAGCCGCCTAAATTTTTATGTCTCAATAATCTAGTTGAACCAGATCCACTAGTCTGATCTATGTAATTGACCTTACAATCATTACTTAGCTTTTTTTTCTTTTCTTTCCTTCACGTTCCCAGTGGAGCATAGGGACTTAAGCTAGTAGCTTGAAGTTTCTGTAGCAATGTTTAATTTTTGCAAGATGGGGTTGCTAGCCTCATGCCCATCCTTTCCTATTTACCGAGATTATTTCTGGCTTAGCAAGCTAAAGGAGTACGTCGGCTGGGGATCGAACCCCGGACCATGTGCATGGTCAACGAGCGTCCTAACCACTGTGCCACCGATGCACATTACTTGGCATTTGGTAAATTATATTATTTTTCTCAATTGGAGCTGTCAGCTCCTTAAGCCGGCAAAGTTTGTCCCTGAGACAGTTGGTTGGTTGATTGGTGCATATGTCACCTTAATTCCAGCCTCGTTGAGAATCCTACGTGATATCTCTGATATCCTTTCTTTATATGGCAGTACTACAGAGCCTTTAAATTCTACATTATTTTTTTAAATTTTCATTTCTAATCTTATATTCGCTGTAGTTCTCCATACATTTATGAAGAAATTCTTGTGGGTAGTTATTCACTAGTAATATTTTCCTTATTTGTTTGATTTCATTATTTAAATCTTTTGGCCTACTAGTTAGGCTACTGGCTTCTTTATATAGACATTTAACTAAACGTATCTTTACCGATTCTGCATCGGTGGCATAGCGGTTAGGACGCTCGCCGACCGTGAAAATGGTCCGGGATTCGATCGCCGGCCGACTCGCTCTTCTACCTCACTTAGCCTAAAGTAAAGGTGATAAAGAGGAAAGGTTAGGCATGAGGCTAGCAACCCTATCCTGTAAAATAAACACTGCTACAGAAATTTCAAGGCACTAGCTTGAAGCCCTAAGTTCCACTGGGGAACATAAAGGAAAAAAATCTTTACCGAGTCTAGATAGGATGAATTAAAGTATGCATGAGTGTACTGTATTCGCTTGCATGTAAACACACAATAGGTTAGGAGAGACACTAGGTGAAAGTCTCAGAAAGTAATATAGTTAGATGGATAGAAAGATTATTTACTGAATCCCTCTTTATTGATTCCACACTCAGATGTGTCATCGAAATGATTCAATGCATTTATGCATTCGCAACTATGATTCAATTCTCTCATGGGATATAACTTCTTAAAAAACCATATAAATACGATTGTACACCTTGAAAAGTCTCTTTGCGGAATCACTTGTTTTGATTTTCTATAAACGTATCTAGCATGGAATTAAATTCTACCACAGTGCCAAAGTTCTACACTGACATCAAAAGTAAGTGTATGTCTTCTCAATCCTTCTTATGACAACATTTTTTTGTTTTTCTTTCCACTAAAGGTTGCAAGAAAAGATGGAACAACTTGTGGTCTATATCCTAGTGTGAACACGTGTATGCATTACTTGAAATTACCTGAGTATAATACAGAACAGGAGTTAAAGCAGCATCTTTTAGCTGCTGCTTGTCAAAAAGGCTTTTATTTAAATTGATTTTAAAAAAAACGAAATAAACGTCTGTGTCAGTTGGGTGAATGACTGAATGGGGGAAAATATCTCCATGAACTATCATTCATATGCTTACTGAGAAGCTCCTACAAAATAAATGAATTGTTTTCTGCTATTTCCGTGCTTTTTTCTTGATTATCCTTATGATTCCACCATAAAAGTCTGATAAATTTGTAAATAAGTAGGGATCGAAAATGATTTCCTCAGAACATCATGCATTGTCATTGAACTTGAATGACGCGCGGGTAAAAGAAAACACTAATATAGTTACGAATACATTTTGAAAACGATGACATTCATCTGTCTTCTTAGGGATGATCGTAGAGCAAGTTAAAACATTTTCATTGAAAAACGTTACTTTACAAATTGAATTCACAGTTTGCAACTTATACTGTTGAAGTTACTGAAGCTTCACCATAGTTTTCTATAGAAAATGAGGTCAGTCAGGTTAAAATATATGATCTGTTTGAAACCATAAATGATAATTAAGGGGCCAGGCGTAAATGCATAAAACTGTATATACTAATGATCAGTTGAGATGACAAACTAAGGAGCTCTACTTCAAACGAGCAAAAGAACCGTCCGCTATTTATTTGGTTCTATGCAAATATACATGATTTCTTGATTAGCATTTATGCTACAAAGTCAATCACATACTGTGGTGATTTGAATAGTTTTGATTTCCAAAGGAAATATCTCTTCAAACTTTGGGAACTGATGGTTCACCCAGATAGTTAGCCAGAAAACTAGTGGTTTAAATTGATTTGGCTATCTGAGACGGGTCAAATCTGGTACACCGATGATGATATTGACCTCAAACGAGAGGAATGACCGTCCGGTGTTTAGATTTCTTATATCTGGTTAGCCAGCACGTCTAGTTGATGTGAAAGATATACAACTACTCATTTCAATTAGTCAGTAGTATATCGTTTTAAGCATTACTTTTTATTTATGAAGGTAGAACGAACATAAAATGACTTTGAATCTGTTTGTTGAACTGGTTTATTCCTTTCAAAATCCAAAAGCTTACATCTGAAAATAGGAAAGTAGATACAAAGTTGTTTGACACTTCGAAAACTACAATGATTATTTAACTTTCTTAAATTAGCCATCTGATTCAATAGAATAAATACGACAAAAAGTAACAATATCCAAATTTCATGGTTTACTAAAATTAACTATCCTAATATGATCATTATTAAATGAGATTCTCTGTGAACAATTGATAACTGCTTACTGGTGAACATACGAGCCACTAGAAGGCGAATAAAATAAGCTGAAAACAAACATTTTAGTGCACATGCAAAACTATATGACAAGAGGTATAGCAATGAGAATAAAGAAAGTCAATGATAAGGCTACACAGAAGTTGAAGTTGGGATCCAATTACATCTCTGCTGTAAATTTTGTTTGTCACATTTACTCAAGACATGCAATTTACGGTTGCCCACCCAATATAAGTTGCTTACTTCTAACCATAAATCTACAAATATGAAAGACCAGTTTCGTTAACACACAAACCCATCAAGTTACTACATCAGTCTAACCATATATTTCCTGTTGAAGGTTTTCCACTTTCCCATCGTTTAAACCGACGAATCTAATCAAAAATAAAATAAATCAACTGAAAGATCCCATAAAAATGATAGATAAAAACAATGTGATTTAAAAAAAATATCTTGTGTTCAACTAAATTTATGGGTCAAACGTCCAGATCACTCAAAATAAGAGTGAATAAACCTAAACGCCTAACTAAAGGTCAACCAACTGGAACACAAGGCTACAAGAATTTAGAAAAAAAAATTAATCTCTAGCTGCGCACATGATTCTGAATATACAAAAATGAATGCACAAGAAAATGAACTGTGTATGAGTACAAATCATAAATGTGTGAATTAAAAAACAAAACAATTCCAGCAGTGGTGTGAACACGGGCAGTAATTTTGCTTGAAATATTATCAATAACAAAAGTTATCATTGTGTGTAAACCATTGAAATATAATTATACTGTATTTGATCTATTCTACAATGCTTAAACTTTTTACTGACTTTAATGTTATAACTATTTGTGTGCGTTTCTAGTTTCTGCTCATTTCACTTTCGAATGCCTAAATTATCACTTCTCAATCAGGTTTCATTCAAAGGCTGACGTAGCATGTCATTTTACTCAACAATCTCTTAAGTGTATGTCCAACATATCTCTCTATTTATTTCTGAATGTTTGACGGGTCACAGGTTCTTGGCTGGTTCTCTTTCAGAGTCTGCGTTTAAATTAGCAATACTACAGAAATAATTACTTCTAAAATGCTCCAACGTTTTTACGTTTTGATTAAAGTTGAAATAAGAGCCTGGATCGTGGTGTAATTGATATCAGTGTTAGTATTCCAGAAAGGGGTACGCGATCCACTTCCGATCATAACCCATAATATAGGTAGCATTGTGTGAATCTAATACTATTCCAATTAAGTACACGAATCGTTTACATTTAATACTTAGAATTCACATTTACAGGATGATGTCCTATTTGCATAATTTACCAATGTTACATTCCGTATTGTCTGACATAATACCATCTTTAAATTATAGGTATTGTAGAGATTCGAATTAATGTCAGAGTAGATTTCGTCACAAACTAACATAGTTTAGAGCATCATCCAAAACCAGGGAGTACTGGATGGCTGTTTCGTCCTAGTTTGAGACTCTTATACGAGCACGTTCTAGGGTGTACCAGAAGTCGAACCTGTGACTTTCAGGTTATGAGATCCAGTTCGCTGAATATTCAACCACTCAGATCAGAATTTAGTGATATAACACCACTGTCAATGAACGCCATCGATAAACTTTTTTGCCTTGACGCAGCGAACTTCACTAGTAGCGGATTCTCCATTACAACTTCAGGGCATCCATTTGGTAGCCTCAAATGAGCTGGAGATTGATAGTAAGAGTACTGTTTTCACAGTGACATGGGTTAATTTCAACGCGGAGTTCGTCACAAACTAAAGTTGTTTAAAGAATCGTTAAAAGCAATTTTCTCAGTGAATACATTTCGCGTACAAGTGATGTATTGCTGATGAATAATAAGTGTTTTTATAGTTTCAAGCTAGCCGCTTTCCTTTGATATTTTCTCAGCTCAATGAACAATACGATAAATAAACAACAAAGCTTGTGGACAGTATTATCATTATTACATTTGGTTTTAGGTAGAACTGGGGCTACAGCGTAATATTTCCATCTCCTTGTGTTCTATGCAGTCTGTTTTAGCTGATTTCATGATTGCCCATAAGTTTTGATTTCTTCCTCACATGATCTTCCCCATGTAACCCATGAAATGACGGCCAAATCATCCTTTCGCATTCGGGTTCACTCGAGAGCCTGATGCTCGAAGAGTTTGATATTTAGTGTCGTCACTAACTATTCCTCATTCTTAATTGGTCAGGCGAATGAACGCGTATTTATTATTATTACAATTTATAACTGGAATATACGTCTTAGTTGAGTTAATTATTTGAGACTGGCGACAGGTTACTGCTAATTCCATTAACTACAAATATATCTGCTAATCAACTCTCCAGCAAGGAGAATAAATTATGTAATAGTTAACATAATAACCATATTCAAATTGAAAAATCAATAATGTATATTTCACAGCAGATAAACATTCACTCATGACAAGCAGATGAATAAACATTTTCATGATTCTTTTATAACCTTAATAATACATCAAAATGATCATAAAATTATTTATTTCATAAAAAATCTGGTTTTACTCACAAAAAAGGAATTGGAAAGGAATTAGAAAGTAGAAATGGATGATAAAAAAGCCTTTTTCACATTCCCACTTGGATCAAATAATAGTGCAGATTCTACACCACCGCCATCGCATACACCATGTTTAGGCGGTAAGCGTATTGCACAAACACTGATGAATAAATGTCCCAATGTTATTTCCAGTTATGGTGGGATCAACTTTGATACAGTGAATAGACAATTTCCACCGATTGAATGTAATATAGGATGTAATGTTGGATGTAATCTATCGAATCTAGAATTGAATAAGTTAAATCCTACACATTGTGCTCAATTAAGTGTAGGCATTAATGAACAGGCTGTCAAGTTGAGATTACGTTCTGAAGTGCCTCATTTAACAAGGAAAGATATTACAAAGTAAGTTTTGAATAATTGAAATGAAGATGTTGGTTTTTATGTATTTTATTCTTTTGCCTTCTGAGAGGCAGACTGGGCTTTACGTTTGAGCTTTGAAGTTTCAGCAGCAGTTGCATTTTTACTTTATGGAGTGAGTATATCAATGGTTAAGGGAGTTACACCAGTGGTGGGCTCGACTTCAAACGAATAAAATGACAGTCCGCTGTTTATTTCCATACGCCGTAATTCCTTCTACTTTCGACTAGATTATGCAAATGATCGTACGGTGCAAGTAGACAGGAATGCGTTGGACTAAGAAGGAGACCTTAGAATATTTTGACTTCGGGGATAATTAATGTCCAGTGTCATACAACCTCGAAGAAAAGAAAATTAACGAGTTGGCAGAAGACGCAACGACTATAAGACTTCAGCTGAATTAATATATATGTAAAACTGCGGCACTGTGGTAGTAAGTAATTCCATATCAGTTTGTTATTAGATGTATCACACAGTGAAACAGTATTATTTACTGGATGACACATTTTCGAGCAAAATTTATTGTTCATATTATATCAGTTATAATCACACAACTTCGAAACTTGGGTTTTATGGTTCTCTTTGTTCTCTCCTATTTTTCGTCGTCAGGTAGTAGAATTTTCCAGATATCTGCCTGGACAAGTGTTGAATCATTCCTATTACACATATTTGCAGTTGTAATTGGAATGACTCAACACTTGTCCAGGCAGATATCTGGAAAATTCTACTACCTGACGACGAAAAATAGGAGAGAACAAAGAGAACCATAAAACCCAAGTTTCGAAGTCGTGTGATTATAACTGATATAATATGAACAATAAACTTTGCTCGAAAATGTGTCATCCAGTAAATAATACTGTTTCACTGTGTGATACATCTAATAACAAACTAATGTGGAATGACTT